CCCCTACACTGGTTATAGGGGCTCTCCAGTCCTGTTAAGCTTCTCCTAAACATCCAATTCTTTTATGAAGTGAAGTCAGAAAGGCTGAATGACTCAAGTCTCCTAGCTACTGGCTTCACTTCAGTCAGGACAAAGATCTAATGCTTTAGATGCCATTCATATTTCCTGTTTAAAAAGAGTTATTTTTTTGTCTTACTGCAGGAGTTTGAATAAGCTCATCTAGAAGCCCACTTTACAGACTATTTCCAGGACAACAAGCAATACTGGTAAAGTAAAGACTATGATTAATTCCTTCATTGTTTCTTTCACCATGTCATAGTTCTATTCCATAGAACACTGATTTTTTTCAGTTACATACCGGCATATTTATAGTACAGAAAGAGATAAACAGGTGACACCCACTTCTGCAGAATGCAACTGGAGCTCTCTAAGCATTTCCTCTAAATATTCTCTGTAAATGAAATGAGTCAGCTAAGCTGGTGAGTGCATTGCACTGTTTTCATAGGCTGTAGGCTACCATCAGTAGGGATGTGTGGTGAGTGACGAACTGGTTAAGTTTGCGTGATGGTGACAGCAATTAATTTCTCATGTTAAGGCTGGCTATACAAGCTAAGGTTTCCAACCCTCTCTGAGCCAGATGCTGTTTTTCCTCTGCCACACACTGGTGCAGCTGTCAGCTCCTGGCAGCTGCAGGAAAACTCTTGCTGCAACCCTCTACAGATTCCCCTAACATGCAATGTATAGCATCTGTATTAGGTTCTCAAGAAGAAAGGAGCATGAGAACGTGCCTTGCTAATGCTTTACTTAATAGCATTTGCCACAAAAGTTAGTTTATCTTATCTTAGAGTGACTCCCATGCAGTTTTGGCAGGACAACACTATGGGAGAGGCCAGATTCTTCTTCTTGTTGTTAGTAGTAGTATTATGATGTATGTCGTTTATGTTTACCTGCCTTGTCCAAGTCACTTCTAAAATGTCACTTATTCAGAGCTACCGGCTAACTAAAACTTCGGCAGGCTGCACCTAGAGTTTTCCTGTTTCAGCAGATGACTTGCCTGGCTCCAGGTCTTTTGAAATTGCTGGCTGGACATCATTTAGTGTCTGTATGCCAGACTGATCAGTCCCAAAGCATAAATTACAAGCAGCTGTAGTTCAAGTTAAAGATGCAAATATGACTGACTTCCAACCCATTAATTCCAACCCATCGACCCATTAATTTAAAATCATTAATTAAATTCAGTGATGATAAGACAGCCTAAAAAAAAAAACCCAAACCCCAAAGGATGAGGATGGTTTTTCAGACTTCATCCAGCATGTCAATATGTCAGCATGTGCACATTACATCTTTTATGTAGTACAAAACAAACACCAGGAAACAACTGAATTTTATATTCTTGTGATTGTTTCATATAGGTCTCTGTGCAATATAAGAAAATAAGCGGAAACTAGGGTGGATCTCTTAAAGGTGAAACTTGACAGTTCTTGTCTGTGCTAAAAGTTGTCCCTCAGTGAAGTTGAATATGAATACCAGGGAAAGGAAGACAGTTTGTCTCAGATCCCTCTTCTCACTTACAGAGTAATGCATTTTTGCCAAGTATTGTTTTCTTATCTTGCTTCTGTCATGCTTGGCTCCTGTATGCTTTTGCCTTTACTGAAGGAGGATGTAAAAGACACAATCATATCACTTTGCAGTTTACTCTGTGATTGTGGGCAGGCAGTGTCTTCAAGAGATGCTGACACAGAACAGCACCTTCCAGCAGGCTGCAGAACTGAGCAGGTGGAGAGCTGCCATGGGCCTGCCTCCAGCACACTTGAATTCCCTGAGGTTCTGGGCTGCCACGGCCAACAAGTTTTCCTATAGTATCTGGCTTATGGGCATTTGTGGGCCATTCAGACATTACTGTTATGATCCATGTATTTGTCAGCTCCATGCTTCTTGAATTTTTCCATTTACCTGCAGAGCTTCCAGGTAGACCAGTTTCTAAAGCAAATATTTAGAAAATACTGAAAGCAAAATTAAAAAAAAAAATCTTGATTGTTTGGATTCCAAATTCTAAAAAACAACAACAAAAAAAAGAAAATTAAAACAAAATAAAACTTCTTTTGAAACCTACTTAGTGACTTCTCAGTACTAGAAAAGAGAAGCTGAGAAATAAAACTGAAGAACCTTTTCTGTGCATATTAACCAAGGAACTGGGAAAGAGATCTTTTTTAAAACTCTTTTGGGTAGGATGAAAGACTGTAAAATATCAGAATTTCTGGCCAATGGAAGGAAGGATTTTTCTGAGTGCATAATCCAAACCTTTTAGCAAAATTAGAGAGGGGAGCAGAGAATTGCTTCCATTTTAAGTAGTGCTGTCAGTGAGAGTGTGAAAAGGTCTGAGCTGGACAGAAAATTTCAGATTGCTGCTTCTTTGGAAATCTCTTTTCATGGAGATCTACAGTCAAATTCTTTTCTAAGTTCTCTTGACACTATACCAACAAAACAGTTCCAGAGTAATTTAGGGAGACCTGGCTCCAGCTACACTCTGGACTACCTTATCTATGTGTAGTCTGACCTTTTTTTTACCCATCTCCAATGCCTATCAATCTGAGGAATAATGACCTTAAAGACTGCTTTGAAGAAAGGTGCGTATTGTAGTAGCAGGCAGAAGATTTGATTCCTTCTTTTTAATCTGTGCAAACCAAAGCTCTGTCTCATCCAACACGCTCTCAGAAAATGTGCTCAAATTTAATCCAATCTAATTCACAGCCTGTCAGCCACCAACTCATTGCCTTTCCCAGCTGTGTGCTGAGCTTCCTCTGCTACCTTTGTATCAAAGGATGATTGCTGTGGGACCATCTCCAGAAAATGGTCTGTTGATCCATCAGACATCCTTCCTGCATCTGCAGAACGTGTCTCCCTGCTGAGCTCAGCCAGTCCCTTGATGAGACTTTTTCAGATAATTCAGTATAATTTTGTATTTTACTGAAAGATAAGAATTTTCTGGTTTAAGAAAACAAATTGATTTCTTGGTGCAGATTGCCAGTGCTTCTGCCCCTCTTCTCATAACAGTTTCTTCAAGGAAAATCTTTTAAAAGGGACCTTTTGGTCTCTCCTGGAGATTACACTCTTGTAGGGGTCTTGCCTTCATCTGTAGATTTAATGGCTTAATAAGCATTAGATCCTTCTATTATACAGTAACAAATAGGAATACAATACTTTTATCGATATGTGGCACAATTAATTTTTTAATGTGAAACTAAATATTGATGCTGTCAAGTGACTGCAGTTTAGGGGCATAAATTACAAATATTCTTCTCCTGTGAGTCTTGCGCAAATTTTGCATTCATATACAGTAACCATCTAATGTCTTTCTATTCCTGTAAGCCATATGATCTGATTGCCAGATTACATGATTCTGTATTGTGCTTAGATGTCAGTGTTTTTATTGTTATTACCAATATTATCTTTTATTCTTACTGTAAATGGTAACGAAAAGTTAACTGCTTCCTTACACTATAAAAGGAATAAAGTCCCATTTACAGAATGTCTGTAAGCAGAAAATATCTCTGGAAAAAAGATTCGCTGAATAAATAATTCATAGCATGATGGGTGAGTAGAAAAAAAAGGTCTTTTGATGTATTTTGCTACTCAAAACAAAACTGGATTTTTAAACTAAAGTAACTGGCTATTTTAATGGAGAACAAAATATGCTTTCAGGAAGAATGACTGCAGGGGAGTCAGTTCTCTGTGCATTTTTACCTATTTTTCACTTTTGTAGGTAACAGAACTTGTGAAATTGATGACCCCATCCCCCTGGTTTTCCTGATTCTTTTCTCTTTGTTCCATCCTCCTGTTTTTCCATTAGCTTATTTCTTGGCTTATTTTCTACATGAAATGTCAATGCACCCACCCAAAGGAAACCGTAACATACCAAGGATTCAGATTGCAGCAAAATGAATTAGCTCATCTGTAATATAAACAGAGAGCAAGTATGCTCTTAAAACTCCTTGGAATTGAAGTCTTCCAGCTTAAAGCTGCCTATGCTTTCAGTGCATTGTGCTCCAGATTTTCATGTAAGTATATACAATTTAAAAATATCCTGAAAGCATCCCTGAGAAAATCAGCGTGTATTTTTTTTTCTCATGAAACTGGAGGATCTTCATCAACTAAACAGTAAGTGAACCTTTCTCGCTAAGTAATGAAGAAACACTGTGGAAAAATATCTCGGATGGCTCCAACAGCCTGGGAGGAGGTGTGGGCAAGCCTTACAGTAGTGTGACCCTGGGGCAGGGGCAAGGAGCAGATGCTAGTCTGCAGGGCAGCTTAGGTGAAATTGAGACACAGCAAAAAGTATTTTCTGCTCAAACCAAATCATTGAATCTGATTATACGTTAATTTTTGCACGTAAATGAGTCGATCCTGATTTGAACTCAGGTGAAACGAGAACCAGCTGGTCTAAAGCCCCGGTCAGGCTCCTGGTAAATGACCGCCGGTGAACTGCACCTTTTTCAGCAAGTCACCGCTGGCGGGCAGCGGCGCAGCTGTGCTCGGGTGGCACGTTGGCATCAGGTGAACCGCCTGGGGAGTAACTCCTCGTTTGCAGTTGGCATCAAAATGAGCACACCTGTGCTAAGTCCTTTATTTTTTTTCCATGTTAGCCTTTCTCGTTTTCAACGCCGAAAGCTCGGCAGCAGGTGGGCGGGCCGCGCGAGGCGGGGTGCGGGCCGCGCGAGGCGGGGTGCGGGCCGCGCGAGGCGGGGTGCGGGCCGCGCGAGGCGGGGTGCGGGCCGCGCGAGGCGGGGTGCGGGCCGCGCGAGGCGGGGTGCGGGCCGCGCGAGGCGGGGTGCGGGCCGCGCGAGGCGGGGTGCGGGCCGCGCGAGGCGGGGTGCGGGCCGCGGTGCCCGAGGCGGCAGAACGCAGCGGGACGCGGCTCCGCGCGCGGCCCTCGCGCCGCGGCCTGCCTCTGGGGGGGCGGGCCGCGGGCCGCTTCCCGCCCTCCTCCGCCCTCAGCGGCTGCGCGCTCCGGGCGCCCCTCACCGGCCTCGGTGGCCTCCCGGCGCCGCAGCATGGCCGGGGCCGGGCCGGGGCCGCCGGTGAAGGTGCTGGCCGCCCAGCTGCGAGGGGCGGCGCGGGGCACCGGCGGGACGTGGCAGTTGGGCCGGGCGGAGGCGGGCCGGGCGCCGCTGCGCCTGCGGGCCGTGTGGATGCAGGGCACCGTGCTGGAGGTGGACCGCGGCGGCGGCTCGGCCCGGCTGCAGGACGATAGTGGCCCCTTCACCGTGCAGGGGGTGGAGAGCGTGCCCAAGGGGCGGCCCTGCCTCAGCGCAGGTAACGGGGGCGGGGGCGGGCGCTAAGTGGCCCCCGGCGTCGGGGGCTCACCCGGGTGTGGCGGAGCGCTTTCCCTCCCCATATTTATTCTAATGATTTTACCTCGCCTCGCACCTCAGGAGCCCGTGGGAGGTGTCGCTCCCCGGGTGGGGCGAGCACACAGGCGCGGGGCTCCCGCGTACGGCCTGGGTGCGGGCGGCCCGAGGCCGTGCTCGCTTGCCCCCTGGGCCTGCACGGGCGGCTCCCCCGGACACGCGTACCGGAGGCATCCCTTCTGCCTGCGGCTGGAACGGAGCTTCCTGCACAGAGGTGCTGGGCGCACCCGCTCTCTGAAGGCGGGGGGTGCTTGCAGGCCTGCGTGCCCTCTGTTGCGTGGAGTGGTAAGTGGTTCTTGCCTGCGGGTCACGGAGCTGCCTGGGGGGCGCCCTGAGCCTCTGCAGCGGCGCGGAGGGCATGCTTTCACATGCGCCGCCGTTCGTAGAAGAGGCATCCTGAAAAAGCTGTGCTGCTGTAGCAGTCACAGAATGAGCTTCGTGTGCTGTGCAGCCGGGGAGAGGCTTTGTGCCTGTCAGTGTGAAGACTTACGCTGTCTTTCCCTATGAGTTCCAGTAAGGACAAGTCATATTTTCAGTTCTCTGCAGTTACAGGGAGCGTTTGATCAGACTGGGGTGTTTCAGAGAAGAGCTGTGAGTCTAGGAACAAGGATAAGGACTTTTTTATCTCTTTTTTCTTTTTTTTTTTTTTTTTTCTTTTTCCTTTCCTTCCCTTCACCAGTACTGTTAATTCAACTGGAGAAGTGCTGGACTGCAGCTTTGAAGGAATTGTACAAAATAGTCACATTGTTTAATTGTCAGTCATCTGAATTGTCCTCCCTCTACTTGCATGTCAGAAGGAGGAATTGTGCTGGTTTTGACTCTTACTGTATGTGAAAGTCTAATTATAAAAATGGCTGTATGGATGATGAAGCCTTTTTCTGAAATTTAGTTCCAAGCAGTCTTAGTTCCTTCAGTTTTCTTGCAGGTGTTGGCAGCTTTGATTCAAACTGCTTAACTACTTGGTTTTAAATATTTTGCTTTCTGAATTAAGATGAAAATGCAAAGGTTAATTACATTTCATGCTTGTTTTTTTTTAGGGAAGTATGTAATGGTGATGGGTGTGGTGCGGTCCTGCAGTCCTGAGCCTGTTCTTCGAGCAATAAAGATGACAGACCTTTCTGAAAACCCTGTGCATAAGAATATGTGGAGCCTTGAAGTGGAGGATTTGCACAGAGTCATCCCCTAGATACTCTTTCTTCTGCCTAAAATAACTGGAAATGTACTTTTTCTTTTTTTTGGTGCAGAACATGGGGCCATTCTGTGTATTTGTGGTTTCAAACAACCACCAGTTACTTTTGGAGTAACTCGAAGTGAGAAGTCAGGCTCAGTTGGGTGGAAGGATCAGTGTATATCTGATAATAATCACAGTGTTCATCTCTTTCACAGTCTCTTTTTATACCAACAGATTTGAGAAACACGTGATGCTTTCTGAGTAACATATCATTGTTGTTAAGAATACTGCATGCATCTACATACGTTAGTTGCTGTTTCTAGGAATGTGTGTTTAGCTAGTCATTCCTCAGCACTGTATTGTTGGCAGCAAGGGCTGCACAGAACTCAGTGTTACCAGGGTGAACTTGGTATGTGCGATGAAGGCAAAATGTGTTTCAGTCCATTTAGACTGTGGTTGGAAATAACCTCTTCGCCTCTGTCTTCTCTTTAAGTAATAACCATGTCAGTAAAGTCTACTTGTTAGACAGATGTGTCTTTCTACCTGTAAGCAGAGTCTTGTACTTAAATACCTCTCTGGTTTCTGTATTTCTGAAGTACTAAAAGCAGTACAGTAATAACCCCAGTGTTTCAGTGAAGTGAAATGAACTGAAAAGATGTGATGCAGGATTCTTTGGAATAGGTTCTCCAGGTTCAAGATGCAAATACTTTTACCACCTCACAAAACAAACTTGCATTGTTAAAGTGCATTTTTTTCTTTTAAGGTTTCCTTTCCTGTTCCAGTGTATGCTATTTTTAGTTTTTTAAATTATTCTTAAATTTATTTTTATAATTCTTTCCTCCTCCTGTGGAAAAAAAAAAAAAAACTGAAGTCAAATCAAAACACCTTTAAAAAGCAGAAATACTACTACTCTTTGTTTCCCCTCTTGTCTAAAAATAATTTAAGTCCTAAAGAAAGCATTGCATTATCCATGTGGTATGGCTTTGATTGGGACTATATTGTCCAGGAATACACTTACGTTAATTAGGAATGCATATAGGAAGGGAAGATGCTCTCTGATTGTACTCTGTACAATTTAAGGAAAGAATCAAATGGTAGTAACTAAATTTTAAAATTGGGGGATTATGTTTTCTGAGCAAATGGCAATTAAATACTGTCTTTTAAGTAGATCTTTAAATGGGAGCTTTACAGATTAAGGACTGGATTTCAGAGTGCAATTTAAGCTGTGAGTTTAGTATTCCAAACTAGACCACATCAGAGGCAGTTCTATGATGGAAGTCCTATGCTCTGAGATCCTGCTGATGAAATGTCAAAACACACATAGAGAATTTTGGCTGTTTGGGTTTGTTTATTGTTTTTAATGCTGGGGGAAGAAAAAAAATCTACTTGTGGAATGCCATAGCCTTTCAGAGATGATCCATGTGGTCAGCACATTGGCTGGCAACTGTTTTGATCTGGTGATAGATACTTTTCCATCTGAATGCTTATGCCAGGAACCTGCAGCCTGTTCTGAGTAAGTTCACCTTGCCATGCTTTCTAACTAGTCAGCAAAACCCTGGAGATAAAAATCTGAAAGGTGTATTGCATCCTTGCAAGTATCAGTAAGTTTACAGCAGAATTAGGTATGGCTTGTGGCCCCTGTCGTATGTGGTTGGTGGGTGCACAAGGTAGTAGCTATCAGGGGTGAAGCTACTGTTAATCCATCTGGCAGTGATGCATATTCACGGAATACATCTGAAAAGTTGTATTTATGTCAGATTGGATTGGATTTCCGTAGGACTGGATTGGATTTGTAGAGGATTTCTTTGCATCCTTCATCACCCTCTCCCATCCAGAAACTCGAGTCAAAGCATCTGGGATTTCCTTCCTCACTTGCTAACAATCAATTGCAAGCGTAGTAAGATGTAGAATCTCTTCATGGCCTGATGTAGGGTGTTTCAGTATCTGTCTGGCTCTGTACTGTATACCTGACCTCACTAAAAACCCAAACATCAACTCTGGTTCCAACCCCCAGCAGATTTCACATACTTGATCAAGACAAAGCTATAGACATTGCTTGGCAGTTGACTGGACGAGTATCTGCTGCTGAACTGGTGTTTCAGAAAGGCCAGGCATTGCATTAGTAAAACAGTAACTTTTCAGGGTTTTAAAGCCAAGATTGGATGCCTTTATGACAGTTCACATTAAAAAGTGCTTTCCTAGGAATTCAAAGCAAAAGATACTTTTAGGAAAGTTGAATGTTGCACTTCTAAACAAAAGATGTCTAGTGATTGCTTTGACTTGGAGTCTGGCTGTGCTTTACCTAATGGGTAGCTGATGCTGCTTATGGCTCTTGGGGGCTGCTGAACTACTGAGGTTTCAGGGTTGGGCTGAAGTGCCTCCCCTCTGGGTTTCCACAGTTTGGCACCCTCAGGCTCTACAGGATAATGGAGTTCTCCCTTTTCCACATTTTAACTTGTGTCAAATTCTACAGTAGAATGTGGGGTTTTCTGTGATTTTTGTTGCTGTAGTACAGCAGAACGTGTAATTGAGAAGTTAGAGGGTGAGGGCCTTTTCTAGCCCTGTCTTGGGGGAGGTCAAAGCTGGGACCTTGTTCTAAGAGTGCTTGGGATTTGGACCTTGAAGAGGGCAGGGGAATGGCTGTAGCTTGTAGAAAGGCCTCTGTACTCACTAGCTCTGTCCTAACTGGAATGGATCTTGTTTTATCTCAGGGCATATACCAGTAGCTGGGGAACCCAACTGGCAGAAGTGTGAGGTGTTGTGTATTTCACACTTTCTTAGCCTGTGATAGATCCTCAAAACCTCAACTTTGCTACTAGGTGTAGGGACATAAGAGTTTGTGTGGTATGCAGAAATGTCTGTGACCTTTGTAGATGTAGCATTTCTTTTTATGACCTATACAAAGGACTTTGAAGGTGAGTTGTAGGCATTAAAAATTCTCACACTTGGAAGGACTTAACCTTGCTATGCTTCTGCAGGGACAGCTGGGTGTGGGCATGTGCCTTCGGAGTGCTCTGATCAGCATGAGTTGTGGGTGCATGCAGTCCAGGTCTCCAGCAACCTGGGAGGCAAGATCAGAGCTATTTGTATTGTGTGATGTGTGGATCCATGAGCTATTCAGTGGATTTTATGCATTTTCCATAGGATGACATAGTTTGTGTACTGTATTACCTTCAGCTGAAGCATAAACATTTCAGATGATTTCAGTCAAGGTGTTCTGAAATGTGCAGTGTTATCAGTAGTTGTATACTAAAAGTGTAGTGCTGATAAAGCCAGGGGTAATGCAGAGAGAAATGCTAGTTTTGGAATGCTGAAAGGGAAGTATCAACCTGAGAAATGGTGCGTTCAGATCCTGCCAAGGGGATCCTTTCTGGAGGATCAGGTCCGTGAGGAATCACAGATGGATTTTAGCTGGCTTGAGGGATGCTTTTTGTGGGGTCATCACCTGGCCATGGCCTGCCCCCTGGCGAGTGTCAGCCAGCAGGGAGCCCACTCCCTGCCATGCAGCTGGCATCCTGCTGCCGCTGGGCAGGGATGGTGGGGTGCTGCTCACGGGCTTTTAATTCCCGAGGTGAGGCGTTACTGCGCAGGGATTAAGGCACACTTAAAAATCATTTGGATGGATGGTTTCCTTGGTGCGTCAAAGGTTTTTCGATGTTGAGGAACCTCTCGACCTGTAACAAACTACTAAATGTTTGTTGCTAGTTACTTCACGACCGGCCTCGAGGAGGAGCTTGCTGTCCCCTGGCCGCAGTCGCGCGCCTGGCCCCGACCCGGAGATGCGCGTCTCCTCAGGGCAGCATCACTCGGTGCCGGCCGCCGCCGGGGCCCCGAGCGCTGCGCAGCGCGGGGCGCCGTGCGGGCCCTCAGCCGGGGGCGGGGCGCTGGCGCCCCCTGCTGGCCGGAGAGCGGCCCCGCGCCGCGCTGCCCGCACCCCGCCAAACCGTGGCTGCTGCCTCCTGAACGGCACTGCAGGTACCCCTTCTCGAGCTTTTGCTCTGCGTGCTGACATGTTATGTTGTTCTTGCAACTTCTCCCTCAGTATTTTGTCAGGGGGGTTTGGCATGTTTAGCATGCATTATGTGGCAGTGGAAATTATGCATTATTTCTAATCAATATTTGGTATAAATATTCTTTAACTTTCAGAAATGTTTCATGCAGTTTTGGCTTCCTTATAAAATACCTCTTCTCTGTAACTAAGCAGTTATAAAAATACTTCACAGGACGACTTGATTTCTACCATGTTTTGTATAAGAGCATCTCGTGTGTGGGAGTCCTAACAACAGTGGGAATTTTTCCTGACTTGTGTGAGAACCATGTTTTACTTAGAATTTGTATAGGACTACAGTGTAAGTGTTCAGAAAGCAAGCGTAGACTAAAGCGGCGTATACAAGATAACTGAGGCCAACTGCTATTTTTGTCTCTATGAACTATAGGAGCCATTTAAACCAAGCCAGATCCAACTCTGTAGATCAGTTCAATTTTATTCTTATGAATAATCAGTAAAAATTGAAAAATCAGCATAAAAATAAGAAAGTCCAATGTTTATTAACATTATTTCATAGTTCAGAACACCATTTTTCAAAGTCTGCATATTATGCAAAGACATCTGAAAAGATTTTGCAGTGTTACCTTTTACTAAGGAATAATTGCATTGCTGGTACTGTAGGGAGAAATGTAATGCATTTTGTTAATCAATAGAACTACAATTTAGAAAGTAATTTAACAGATGAGAGGCTTTCACACAGCAATATACCTCCTTAGGACTATTTCAGGGGTAGGATAAGTACCATTACCTTTTCCAACATGTAAACTGATTTCTGAGAATGGGGTTCTAAAGATACTACAAAGGGAGAACATGAAACTGGTGAACAGATACCAAGGCAGCTGTTTCTCCTTTAACAATGTATGCATTAATAAGGGAAAAAATCAACCAGCATAAAAACGAGAAAATGATTAAATGCTTTAAATTATTTAACCATCTTATCTCTTGGACCTTATGCGTGTTGGGGCACTTCCTTGGAAAAAAGTCACTTTCTCCAGAATTTACTGAACAGCTGAGTCAGTTCTGGAGAAAAAAGAAGTCAGCATTTCTGCGCAGGTTCAAAGACAATAGGCTGCTTTCGAAAAGTAGCCCACTTGTACTAATCTGAGCTGGAAAAGACCTTTTGTCATCTTTTAAATGTATCCATGCTATACTTCAAGTCTTACGAAGAAGCAATTTTGACACTGAATGTGAGATTTTTTTTTTTAAGTAACTAATACTGTTATGTTCAATTTCTTCGGGCTGATTATAGTTTCTTGTCACTGTACTGAAATTGTTCCTCCTACCCATACATGTTTCTGTGTGAAAAGTTTTCCTTTTATACTATATATGCTTCATTATATTCAGAGTCCTAACACTAATTCAGTTACACCTTTACCGTTGTCCCTACTATTGCTTCTAGCTTGTCTACCTACAACAGCTTATTCTGGGTGCTGAAAGGGTTCTTCCATCTTCAAGGCTGGTATCTGCCATTCAGAACTGCTGCAAGCTGAAATGAAGAAGAGATGAAATCCAGTTAAGTGGTTAGTAAGTACTTAAGGGATAGACAGTAATAAGTGACATGTAATACGTGCTGTTATGCTGAGTTACAAGAAATCTATGAAGGGAAAAATAGCATCAAATATACTTAATACATTATGAAAAAGCTGTTATAAAAAGTATTCTACCATTTTAGATACAGTTTTATTGTAGGTACACTAAAATGTAAGGTTCATTGTTCACGTTTGATGATAAATTCACATTTAGGAGGAAAAGAGCAGCATTATTACTAAAGTTTATGGGCTCTGGCTAGTTCAACTATCCACTGGAAAATCCTTGACAAGATGAAATTCTAGTGAGTAATGTGGAAGTAGCTATTACTGACTGAAATTGTGTTCTCATGACCTTAGATGGCTGCTGGTTACTATGCGTGACTAGCCTGGCCCTTACAAACTCTTTCACAATATCAAGCCTCCCTTACTGCAGTTTGGTCTGTTACACTTCCTTCTCTTTAGTGTGTTTACATATTTAAAGACTGAACTCATGTCTTTGCTCAGCCCTTACATTTCTTCCCCACAGAGAGACCGCTACTCTTTCTCAACTGGTTCACAACTTAACTGAAAGATGGTGTCCAAAATTGGATGCATAAAATAAGCTGACTAGAGAAGAATTATTTCTTGTCTGAAATATGTTTAGTCATGTGTATGTCCCCAGTATACTTTGCTTGTTTAACAGCATGCTTTAATAGCATGTTATTGTTGTTAAGTGAGCTTGTGATCCACTGTAATTCCAATCCTTTTCCTGAGAAATGGGACACTGTAAACTAGCAGCACTAGCTGACTTCAGTCTTTTGGCTACTGACCCATTGTAAAACTCTGTTTTCAACTGAATATTCAGGCTCAGATTTAACAAGATTTGTCTCTATTTTATACTACTATGTTGAAGAGTTTATAGAAACTATTGGAGCTATAGCCACTTACTGCCTACAAGATACTACCCAGAAATTCCATGGCCATCTACTGATTACATGCTGGGTGAACTGAATACATAAGGCAGGTAATGACACATGGCATTATTACTGCATATAGGAGTATATGCAGGTGATTCACTTACTTATATATTACGTGTTCTTTTCTAGGTTTTTATTTTATGGCAAACACAATCATCTACAAATACCTGATAGTTACTCCCTTCCTTAGTTGGTGAGAATTCAGCAAATACCTGTGTATATATTTTAAGCATACCGCAAATATGTTTGTAGTCACCAAATCACACTTTTGAGGTGGTAGTGAGCTTAGAAGTGCAAATCAGTAACATTTCATTGCATATGTTATTTAAAAACAAACCAACCTACTTTCTCATTAATTTAGCCTTAACAAAGCACTGAGCAAAAAATTTAGGAGTGCAAACCCAAGTGCTTCATTTCAAGCAAAAGAGTAAATGTTTCCATTGCAGTCTTTTAAAAATGTAATTGCATCTTAAGTTATTATGTGGGCAAGTGTATCAGTAATGAGAATGACAATAATTTATATGTGTGTTTCCTTTTAATGTTCTCACTCAATGAAAAGATACAAGCATGTAGCAAATTTCAGAGAAGGTGTTGTCCTTTTGTTTAAGGAATAACATAATGCAGATGAATAAAAGAATAAATTTTGGAGATGTTCTTGGTCATCTCAACAGACAGCAATATGTTAACAGTCAATATTGCTCAAGTGGTACAAGTTATCGTTATTTATATATCATCGTTTATATAGCAATTTGTAGTCAATGAATATCACAGTTGTAAGAAGGTACTGTAGGCAGAATGTCCAGTGGAGACTGAGTTTAAGAAAAAACCTGTAAAAGAGATGTATAATGCAAATTAGTGAACATACATAATACAGAAAATGCTGAAATATAGAGTCACTATCATCCTTAAATGGTAAGGTGTTTCAGATTACTGCAGTTCTCCAGCACAGCCCACTGTTTGCTCTTTAGGTATGTCTGTTTCATGATGGCTAAGTTGGACTGAGTAAGGTGATGCATACTGGAAACGACAACTGTGCAGTTGAACTCCAAAGAAAATAAACAAGAGGGGACTAAATTTTATTACTACCAAGTGTTTTGGGACTGTGGACTTATACAGGTTTTTTCTTTAAAGAAGAATAATTCTTTCTTTAAAACCCTGCACTTAGCAAGTAATACAGCCACAGTTAGCAGAACATGACTCCTGTCCTTTAGAGCAGCAACTGTCCTAATCTAGTTTCTGCAGCAATATTCAGCGTGTGCACCTTCACCAAAAAATGTGAGGTTCCATAACTAATTTGCACAGTAACAACAAAAATGGGCAAGGACTGTAATGCCAAGAATTTCAAGCCAGCACTACTGCTCTTTTCAGCCTTTTCAGCTTTCTTTGCATTTTTAAACAGATTCCTGGAAGACAGCTATCCAGATGACAGCTGCATTATAATACAAGTGTTAATAATCTTGAAATTCTAGGTTAAGTTTAAAGAGGATAGATAAATTTAATTAAAAGAGAGTGAAAAATAGGATACTGAGTATGTTTACTGTGTCTGTACAATATGTATTACTGTTAATATGAAGCCAGAGGCATTGTTCAGACAAAAAAAAAAGATTGAAGCAAAAATATCTGATAAGTAGAACTCCTGGGGACAATCACACCATATCCTGCAAGTATCCTTCTGCCGCCTCCTACCTAGCAAATCAGGAGGAAATAAGAAAGCCATCGGAGAGTATGAATTGGATGGATTATGGTGTGCTTCTGAGTGAACAGCGGAACGGGGGAGATAGACAAGGAGCAAGAAGAATAATTCCAGGAATAGGATCATCTTTGCTTATGCCCATAGTCAGATCCATTGATTTATTTTCTCATGTGCGCTTGAATAACAGATGTGTAAGTACTGGAGCAATGCACCCAGAATACTCAGGATGAAAGAAATGAAACTTACCACTGATGAGGAATTTCCACAGGGACAAAATTTCGGTTGCACAAATGGACAAAAGCTGCTGCTAAACTGCAGGCAGCCTTCAACTCCTGTGAGTCACAGGTGTCGTCTGTGCACATGCTGTAGAATGGCGCAGGGTCCACCTTGAACACAAAGGGGATTGGTTAGGGAAGTGGTGTGCAGGGTGCAAGCACACAGCTCTCCTGGAGACAGCAGGCTGGCAATGCACCTGCAGGTAAACTGAAAAGCAAGCTTGATTCATGTTTCTCCCAGCCCGTCCTTGTTAGAACCTTTCACAAACCTTTAGTTTCTTCTTAATACTGAGGGGCTTATTCATATTTATAAATTCTAGACCTGGATGTTGAAGACTGGTGCAAAGTCAGGCCACTACAGGACCTTGATTTGTATTTATGCTGATATAACACTTTTTTTTTTGCCTGGCTTGTTGTTCTGATTACTTCTAAAGTTATCTGTAAATGAACTTCTACACCCTTGCAACAATTCTGTGTACTCCTTTGAAGTATGATATCTGGGTATTCAGCTAGTCCTTTGGTGGCTGAAGTTTTACTTACAACTTTGAAGCAGTTCCCAAGAGGTGAATGTGATTCTTCAAAAAACACTTTACAGACTTTTTGCTTAGCTGTAATTTCACACGGCTTCACTTTCTTCTGTACAAGACTGCACTTGTTCACCTGGGAAAACAGAATTACTGAAATTGGAGTTTGGTTTTTTTTTTTTTTTAAACATCTGTAGCATGAATTCTTAAGATTTCTACTGTGAGATGGTATGAAGGAAGATACAGGTAGCTCAGTATAAGGCTCTGATTGACATTTATTGGTCATTAATATTGAGAACTACCTTGCAGTCTTTATAAACAGAAATGTATCTCAGATGTTACAGGTTACAGACATTGTTTCCTTTTTCTATTGATTTTGTTATTCACTGAAGGATTTTGGTGTGCGGCCGCTGACACAGTAAGTAGCTGGCTAGTTGTCTTAACTTTTATTATATATGACAGATTAGAGTTGTGATTTTACTAGATTCTTTTGTTGGAGGAAAAAAAATTCATATCTTTGCTGGGTTATTTGTAGGTAATAAACAACAAGGCAGCTTTAAAAAACCCTAGACTGGAGGACCCTACAATTACAGGCATTTTTGGACAAAAAAATGTGAATTAATTGGTGTTGTACATGATTCAGGTAAGGTCTCTTAGCTCACCTGTCAAAAGCTGATGATACTAAATACTAACAGAACTAGTAATGAGCAAGCATTTGCTGAAGTTTCTTAGGATTTGTTTTGACTGAACACCATTTTTTGTACTGTGTATCAGATCAGCAACTTACTATTCTTTTAATCAGTAATTTCCTGGCAATTGTTTAGAAGTTCTTTAAGCAAGTATAAACTCAAGTTATTTTCATTACTAAGAAAAATTAACTGCTGGTTTAATTGCTCAGATAACCCTCATCCTGCAGGAGTCAGACACTTGCAGTCTCCTTATTAACCTCATTGTGTGCAACAGCTGGTCTTGTAACACTAGAACCTCACTGATGTTATTTGCAAGGTCAGTGTATTGTCAAGGCTTGTAATAAAGCTCCTGGTAGCGAGGTACTGGCCTGAGTTTACAGTTCTATGTGAGGTGACTCCAGCAATCAGAGTGACCAACTGCTGTTATTTCAGGCTTTGATACCTGGCCAGATTTAACCGGACTGTGTTTTTGCTTTCTGTGTCATGTAGAGTTGTGGTAAAGCTTCTGGTCAGGAAGGTTTTTTGCAAGACCCATTTTATCAGCACAGCTGAAAACATTCCCTGTTTGAACTTGGTATTTCCACCCTATCATTTCTTCCTACCACTTTAGAAAAGTTTTTAAGACTTTGCATGAACTCCTGACTTGTCATGTTTGTATTTCTGGCCATTGCTTTAAGGATGTATGACAGCAGTACACTATTGGCAAGTCAGTCTTTTTATTACTTTTTTCTGAACAGGATATGACTGCAAACAGCACAGAGTTCAGCCAGAATAATCTATAAATTTTTCTTGGTGGTATACAGCACTGCAAAGATGCCATGGCCTATAAATAAAACACACAAATCAATAGTGTAAGCACAGCCTTTATGCCATCAACCACTTAAAGTAGGACATATATGACTTCCCAGCTCATGTATGACAGTAAGTTTCTTATGTATTACTTTTAATTAGTTATTTTTAGTTCAACTTCTCTGGGTGGTTTTGCATTAGATGGTTGCATTTTTATGAATATTAGAAGTTAATATTTGTAACAAATAAGAAAATTATACCTAAGTATACCTATAGTTAGTTATGCCCCATTATTAAACATAGGCTGAAACTCATTAGATATATCTCTCCAACAGCAAGGAAAAGTACAAGATACTTGAAACAATCTTCTTTTTTACAGTGTTGAAAGAAAGATGAAAATAGTAGCATTTCTGTGGCCAGAACTTGGACATCTTCTGGTGAGAGAAGGTACAGGGAAGAGTCACAAAATCTTAGTAGTAATAAGATGCTGTTTTGTTGTTGTTTTTTTTTGTTTATTTGTTTGTTTGGTTTTGTTTTGGTGTGGTTTTTTTTTTTTTTTTTTTTTTTGTAATAGATTCTCAAATTAGGCTTGAAGGGTTTTAGAGGATCCTGTCAACACAGCTTGAGAGCAGAGTAAGGCTACTTTTTCTTTTAGGTCAGTTGCATTCAGAAATGGCTATGTGTACCTGCATGTGTTCATATTTAGATTATTTTCAGCTGGAGATAAGCTATATGAATTAAGGTTAAGTCTCTTTGAAGCAGAGAGGTATTACATTACTGGTATAAAAGAGTTACAACATTTATTTAAGATAGTTATAGGAAGTCCTTTTATGCAAGTTTATAACAGAATCAGTAGCAGCTAACAGGCCAAAAAATCCCAGCACTTAGTCATATGGGCATGGAGAGCAAATTCACGGGCTACTGGATTCTAAAGTTTCATTTCTTGATCAGATGAAAAGCAGGGAGAAGCAAAAAGAGGCTCAACATACCCAGCTATAACAAACAGCTCTAAAGAAAACGTCCAAGAGGGAAAACTTCCTGGTACAAACTCTGGCCTGACTGATGAACATGTGGATTTGTCCCAGAGCAAGTACCAGCAGGCTCTGCATTCCCGAGAGGTGCTCTGAGTAGGAAAACATCAAAGATAATTGGTTCCAACATTGGTTTCTTCTGCTGGCAGAAGCAGCCTTGATGTTGTACCTTACCACTTAGGCCAAAAAAGCTCAACACATATCGACAGCGAATTCTTGTATGATTTTTAACAAATACATGCAAATTTTTCCCTGGTTGAACACAAGAGAACATTATATATACTATGCTGCTGTTTTCACTATCTAGCTTTAGTTTATCCAAGCCAGAACAGTATGTTGGGAGCTGCCCTTTTTGCTCCAGCACCACTGGCAGTCTGCACAGGGAGAAGCCCTTCAGCTCGTTACCTGCCAGCTCTGGGTGAACTCTTGCATATTGTCAGTAAAGGAACAATTAGGCAGTATCCATTCATTGCCAGCTTCATTATCATTGGTACCAAAAAGCCCAGCTGAAATACCTGGAATGAAATTGAAATGGAGTAAAATAGTAGTTGTCAGGAGTAGACACTGGAAAATTTTAGAAGCTGTCTCTGGGCTCTAACTATTCTGTACAGCAGAGCTCAACTGTAATGTAAGGTAAATAAGAGGGAAAGTATACTCAGGCATCCATTATGCATTTTTCTCAGACTGCACTGCCATCTCATTTGTTAGCAGTTCAGTTCATTTGCTTCTCCTGACTAGACAAAGACACTGTATCTGTTCTCTGCTAATCTCAGGGGTCTGATTCCTAGAACAGTATGGGGCATATGGATAGGAATGTAGTCCAAGTATACAAAACAACTTGGAAGCTTTTAGGCCTCCCTCTTTTGTGCTCTTGCAGGTTTGACAAGATAAGCCTGCTGTAGAGCAGTGATCCTCAAACAGGGTTTGGGGTTGGGCTGACTGCATTACATCTACCCCCTGTTTCTTTCTGCTTTATTGCAGGGAAACAATAGTAACACAGGCAAATGCTGTTCTTACTGGAATGATACAGACTGTGCTTTATTTGGCAGTAACTGGGAATGCCTAAGGCCATTTCCAGGGTGTGTATGATGAAGAGGGAAAAAGCAAGTGAAAGTCAACTGGTACTACAGGTAATTCAGAGCTACAGAAAAAAATTACTAACAGCTGACAAAAGCTGTATGATTGATACTCACCATGGTGCCACCCAGCCAGAGTGACAGTACAGAGATCATACTGAAAGTCACAAGAGACAGAAACTCCTTTCTGATTAGACACTTCTATTTTGTTGGTTTCTCTCCTTGAATTAGTAGTGGTATTTTCAAGGGGTTGATCCAGTACTTGGCAGTTCTCTTCCATAAAGGAAAAGTTATATATCTTGGATATCTGTTTTATAATAAAAATGCAATTTCAAGTATGTCACAATGAAAGTTCAATGACAGGCAAGCTCAGTCTGGATTTGCAGGTGAGATGGGGTCAACTTTGCTCAGCCCAGACTTAGGGAATAAGAATGGGGTTGTGTTAAACTTCTGCAAGAGCAGGAAAGCACAAAGTCTCCCAGGTACACTGAGACTATGGGCCCAGGTTCTCCAGACCTCTCTAACTGCCATTCTCATAGATCATGTAAGAGGAAAGCTGAAAAGTTCATTGAGCCTCTCTTAAAGTACCCAGAGAGCAAAGAGGCAGCCCTTGCCTTAAAACTGGTTTGGTTTGGGGAGTTCTTTCCTGATCAAAAAGTGGTTACTTTCTAGCACTTGGATCTGAGAGCTGTTCTGATCTATGTTTTGAGCATTAATATTTTGAACACTTTTTTTCTTCTTTTTTTTTTTGTGGGTAGGTTTGGTTGAAGATAATTTCTGGTCTGGAAAGGAAGAATGTTTGACTTTCCCCTCCTACCTTCAGTCTTGGGTAGACAGTGATCACGGTCTGGTTCATCTCCACATACAGTGATCTTAAGTTACTAGTTTCCTCGTTTAGTATTACAGTGAAAGTATTGTGAACAAAATCCTTGGCAAGAAGTACACTGCACTTTGATGCCAAATCATAAAATTTTCCATCAAAAGTCATAATATGCTTGGTCCCCATTAACATAGCATGATCTAGAGAACGATATTTCAGAAGAAACATCAGTGAGTTTTCCACAGAGCAGTAAGTGCTGTGCTACTGCTTGCATACTGCAACACAAACAGCTGCTGGCTGACATACTCTTAAAGTAATTTCTGAAGCTATTACTACATTTCAATTAGTTACAAGTTGCTCTGCAAGAAAAAATTCTCCATAAAGGAAACAAACTACTATTTTTTTTTAAAATGGACCCAGTTAGAAAACAAAGCAGCACTTTGAAAGGGCTTACATTCAAAGGGACTCTCCATCATCCTCCGTTTGAATCTATAATACTGTGCAACTATGTTGATATTGTAGAGGTCCTGGAGAGGCCTCATTAGCTTTTCTTCAATGAGATAATTAGTAACATTTGCCAGATCCAGGGAGCAGTCTGCTTTAGGAAGTATGGGCAGTTTTACTGCCACCGAACAGTTCCTGTAGAATACAAACAAAACAGTATGTGCCCTTATCTGCTAAGCTGTTGAAATGCAGTTGCTTTATTGTTAGAAATGTGGAAGTGAAATATTCGTAAGAACTGTAGTCTGGTTAGAATAACAAAACAAAGCTACACAATGGCCAAGCCCTGCAATACACCATGCCATATAAGGCCAGTTATCATAGTTACTGCTATTCTCTTTGCTGCTGAGTAGCTTCTTTGGAAATGGAGCCTCTCCTGGTAGCCAACAAAAATTAACATTACCATATGATGCCACGTGCCCAAAGCAAAGATGGTTGCCCGCAACCCTCAGCATACCCACTGACAGGAAGACTAACTTTCCACATACCCATTTAGAACACCACCTGGCAGCAGGGATCCTGCAAAAAACCCCAATTACCTGGCTGAAAAACTATAAAGGTTGAGTAGGGGCTTCCGGATCTTGCTCACAGCTCTGGAAAACATGGCCTCTGCCCACCTGAGCATCTGCTGGGTGGTCTAAGGGAGAGCCAGAAAAGGAGATTACAAAAGTGACTTCAGTATGGCTTCAGGGCAGGGTCAGTACTTGATAGTGAGTTTTATATCAATAGACAGTGAAATAGCACTCGAGTCTCTTGCATTTGTCATTTGCCTGACAGCATCTTGTCATGTGGAGGTTGATATCCAGAGGACAGACACTAGTCACTACAGTGACAAATAATGTACAGAAATTTATCTTTCCTAAAATAACATTACTTAAAGTATACCAATACTTCACTGAGTTAATATGCTTCAGTAGCTTGCAAAGGATTGATCTCTTTGTTAATATAAATTGGTGTCATGATATATCCTTTATGCTCTTCATTTCAACTAGAAGAGCCCAGACCTCTTTGTACATTATTTGTTGGAATCCCTTGTCTCTGTGGAATAAAATCAAAAGCTACATGAATGACAGATTACTGCTGCTGTGATTTCAACCAAAACTAGTAAAACCTTTCCTCTATCTGTAAAAGTACTGCTTTCAAAGCATGACAGATATTCAAGAACAGTAAATTAGCTGTGTGCAAGCTTGTTACGTGGAAAGATAACCACGCTATTTCCATAAAGAAAAATATTTAACTATTTTTTGTATTCATAGTTCAAAGCTGAGACTTAAATCTGTACGTATTGTCTTTCAAACCATTAAAAAGAGAGAATTGAGTTATACCAACCATATCCAAGCCTGCTTTCACAGCCTTTAATGCCACCTGGATTGGTTCCATTAGCCACACATCTTTTACAATCTTGGGTAAAAAAGCCTGGATTTTCTTCATGTACTCTTCTGTCTTCTCTTGCCAAACTTCATCCAGTGGCTTCAAGGTTACATCATAGTAGGCATCCTTCAAAGTTGCTAATGGCTCTGAAGCAAACACATTACAGGAAACAAACCTCAGCTAGTATGTTAGAAAGTGGCTGTTTGTTGTCCCACAGCTTCCAGCCTAAGTGAAGGAGGGACAGAAAACAGGAAAAGGCAGCTTTGCTTTCATGGCAGTTAGGTACAGCTTCACAGCTGTGTGCATGGACGCAGTGTTACCAAAAACAGAGAGGCATCTGGCTATATAACCCTGATCCACTCCTATTGCCGTATGTTCTAAATACATTGCTGCATTCCAAAATAAATGTAAGGAATGCTTTGCAGTTTGCCAACATCAGAGCTGTACAGCTCTAGCTGCACCTGCTCAAGGAATAAAAGGAGTTTGTTCACAACTAATTTCAAACAGTGTGTCAGCTAAATCCCACTTCTGAGTGGGACGAGTCTAGAGGTAAGTGGCCTAAAGTGAGGTTTAGTCTTGTGAGAACTGAAGGTTCTCAGCTAATTACAGCTGACCACATTTCCCGATGGTTTCAAATGGGCCATAGTCCAGCTGAACAGTAAATCAGAGGCTACTGGACAGACTTGGAAAAAAAATGATGAAGTGAAATCCGATTAGTACAAGCATTCAAAACGCAAGGATAGATATGAACAGCCCTTTGGGAGGAAATGCTTGCCAAGGAACTGTTAGCAGAAATGCTTCAGCTTAGGAATTAGGGTTCTCTTCTCACCCGATTGAACCCAGACTTCTGCATCCAAGAGAAGGCATCTTCAATGATTTCATTAGAAAGGTGGTCACACTGAGGGTACTCAGAGCTTATTACATCAAGGCTCCCACTCTGTAAACTTAAGAGCCAAGGTCAGCACTTTTTGCTAGATCAAAGTAGAAACATTTGTGCTGTTCAGCATCTTTTACATTCAAGTTTGTTTTGCCCCACAATGACATTGTCCTTACTCTCCTTGCTTTGCGTGGTTTTGCTTACTTTGCAATTCATTCTGCATTTGCTGGACAATGTCTTGAATTTTATCCAGATAAAGTGGGAGCTTGCTTCTCAGTATCTGCCTGATTCCACTTTGCTTCCACACCTGGGCGACAGCTCTACCCACACTGTGGAGGAATCCTGCTACCTTTTGCAAAGCTATCGAAGGCCAGCCAGCTGCTTCAGACAGAAAATCAACTTGCTGCACCTACAGTGGTTCCCAAAAAAGAAGAAATATCAAAATACATAGTGATCACAAGCAAAGCTTTGACTCCATTCCAAGGCAATTCTGAACTCCTCAGTGTTGGTGCAGAGATATACGATCTTTACTAGGAAACATACTTTTTGTCTATGTATGAACTGCAGGTCAGCACAGGATTAACCATTTAAATGTTTGAGCGAAACAAAGCAACTGCATGAAATACAATGATTTTTAATTAAGACTGTGAATATTTCATGGTGCTTTCATTGATGATGTACAGATACTTACTGATCTCCTGAATCTCCACATATATCCGTCAAGCTTCTTTATCTTCTCCATCAGTCTGGCTTTCAAAAGGCTCCCAATTTCATTAAGTCTGTGCTGTAAGAAGATGAATAAAACCCTGTAATTCATGATTTAGAATTGCTTGTGCTGGATCCAAATGACTCAAATTTGTACTAGTTTAAATGCCAGCAAAGATCCACAATGGCCTCCCATTTCTCAGGGGAGATGACTTCTGCGCTATTCAGCGGGTAGAAACAGGAACAGAAGAGTCTAAGGATAAAAAAAAAAAAAAACAAAACAACAAAAAGCGTCCTCCAAGCAGAGAGTATGTGAAACCCAATTAAAAGTAAAAGCACATTCAGGAATTCTAATCTTAGTTTTGTAACCAACATGCTGAGCAGTCCTGGCACATTACTGCTGCTCTTGCTTTACTTACCATCTTCAAGAGGATGCACCCTTGAGGAGAAAGTTCCATATTTTCTATGCTTTCTAGGTATGGCTGAACTTTTTAATTCTCACCATGGTATCTTTCCACACCAAAGTGAAAAATAATGTTGTTACAAATTTACAAATTGCCTAATTCCCTTTTTGACTGGTTACTCACCAAAACTCACACCTGAAGACTGCCTGGAAGATGTTCCATCAAACTGACAAGATTAACCAATATTCTGCAATTAAACTGCTGCTGAATGGTCTCACCTCAGCCTTAAGAACTGGATCCCCGCATCCGTGAGCCAGAAAGCTCAAGCTTCCATTAACAGCTGCTAGAGTCATTTGTCCCATGTTTTCTTGCCTTTCACCATTAATGCTGAGATAGGTATTAACAGTAGCGATCTGTTGCCCATCAGTACAAGCACTGACTTCCATTCCTTCTTCCAAATCCCCTTAGAGAATGAAAAGAGTGAGCTTCATTTACAGGAACAACATTGACAGACACTGTTTCAAAGTCAGCTTTTTTAATTACTTAGGTGATCATTCAGTGTCTGAATGGTGTTTGTGGAAAAAACCCAAGAGAAATAAAACATGAGAAAATTAGATCAAGGTCACTGATTCTTCTCTCCTGTATGGCTTGTGAATGATTTACAAATACAGATTTGCTACTGCAAAGAAAGCACTGGATTAATATAAATCTAAATAATTCTTTCAGTCACAGTGATTTACAAGCTTTTTTCTACTTTAGTCTTCTACTTTCCCTTGCTGTTGATGTTTCAAAACTGCTTAGACCATAAATGAAAGTGTGCCAGTCACTCATCCACCCATCACACACATTTGTTTCTGCCCATGTACTGATGAGCGTAAGCAGAAATGGTTGGCAAAGTGCACATAGAATTTGGGTTGAGAGAGTCGCGTTGAATAATCTCTACAAACTTCTGATTTCAGTAATTCACATGCTAATGGTCTTAATCCCAAATACATCACAGCAGTTAGAAGTGAGGCCGTGACCCTGACAGAAATTCCACAGCAGAAGTGTGGAAGGGCAAAGGGCTAGCTGAAACCAGGGATGGGATTGTCAGCAACATGAGTTTGAGACAACTGTCATATCACCAAATCTACTTGGTTTGCATACAAATCTAATGCAGTTGAAAGGTGGATGAGTCACAACAGAAAGCACTTGCAGCAGGTCTCATTCCATCTAACTTTAGTCATCTAAAAGTTAGGCCCAGTCTGAGCCAACAGTGCTGTTTCCTCTCTGTTGTCAGAACTGACCGCTGCTGAGAGGATCGCCTGCAGATGGCCATTTCATACAGCCCATTTCATACAGCTGTTTCAGCACAGGGTGGAGTCAGCCTCTGGAGATGCTTTTCTCTTTCCCTTCGCTGAAATTGGAATGTAATGATCACCTTAAACAAGGCACACAACTTTAAGATGGCTGTATCAAGATTAAATTCATCCTATCTTTCATCATCACCTATTAAAATCCTTCCCTGGCTAGTAATCATACAAATGTCTCCCAAACTGACCTTCGTAGAACAAGTTCTAAGCTTCAGCTAGCTCAGCACTAGAGAGACATAGCCTTTCTTCCTGCCTCTTCACACCAATGACAGCAATGAATCACAGAATCATAGAATATCTCAAGCTGGAAGTGCCCCATAAGGATCACCGAGTCCAACTCCCCGCTCTGTGCAGGATTACCTAAAACTAAATCATATGACTGAAAGTGTCATCCGTGAAGGTACGTACCTTTCAAATACCCTATGTAGTACTGAAAACACTCCTCTCCTTTAGATGCAGCTAATTTTACTTTCTCTTTCTGATCAAAAATCCCCTCCACCAGGATTTGGCTCTGAACGGATGAGGAAGTAGCAGTTCCTGTCAGGCCTAGCCAGATATCTTCAAAGGCTCTTAACTGCAGCCATAAAGAAAAAACATTTATTCAAAACCACCACACAGAATTAATGAACGTTCAGAGATGATGTTCCATATCAGTGCTTCCCACAGAAGGTTAAGTGGTGAGGGAAATGTTTTCCAGTGCTTGTGCGCTACCCAGGAGTTATATTCTTAAGAGAAGCACTGGCATTAGGATGATTGGCTCAAGAGCTGAATGACTGGATAGCACAAGGCTTGTGGACAAAATTTTAATGGTAACAATAAAAGAAACATACTTTTAACAGTCAATTCCCTGTGAGGCTGCTAATTTGTGCCATTTATTCCAAAACAAACAATAGAGAAAGCCCAGGTAGAGCAGCTGGTCCTTCTTTCATCTCCCTTTCTAAAGAGAGAGGAAAATAATTTCGTATTTGTCTGTTACTCATTGTCATCATGTTAAGAGGTGGCTTACTGTCTTAGTTCATTATGACTGACTACCTGCATTCCTTCTGATGAATAATTTGGGTGGTGCTGACCACATTACTTTTCTGCCTCATTGTTGCCACCATTAGTTTTCTCCACCTTACTCATTTCACAGAAAATTAAGAGCAAATGCAAAATAGAGGGGGAGAGAAAAAGGAAGAGATTTGCCTCAGAATGAGCATCATATTAGCTGTTCCGTGCCTTTCTTAAGGCCAGTTCTTTTTTCTGGCAACTGATGCTTTGTGTGAGTCTCTCATTTTGTTTCCCCCCCATTCTTTTTTTTTTAGCTGTGGTGCAAAAATACATGCCTCACCAAACAGACCAGTCATGCTAATGTTGGTGCTTTCCTTTCTCTCTTGATCATACTGTATGCACATTGCATAACTGCTCCTTTAAAAACAGAACTAAAGAAACCAGGAGTGTTTTATGTTGCCTGTACTTGCCTGCTGTTTTAGTCACTGGCTGCACCTGAGCAGTCTGGGAGATAGATGGCAGTAGGCCTTTAAAAACCAAACCCCAAACCCTAGTGCCATAAATAAAAACTCACTTCAATTTCCAAAGAATAGTTCTTCACATCAGCTGTACTCTGATTTTTTAAGGATACTCCAATCAACCCCTCATCTCTCCCATGATCAGCAAGGTGTAATCTGCCCTCTGATTGCAAAATGATGTCATCTTTGTTGAGCTGGTGTTTTCCAGAGAAAACAATTGCCTATGTATGAACAAAAAAGGTGTTAGAGCTTGATTCTTCCAAAGAAATAGGCTCTGCACAGAGTAGTAAGAGGTTGTACAATGTTAGCATTCTCATGAAATTACACACTGCAGTGATGAACAAAACTTGTAGTTTCAAAAACCAGCACATCCTCCTTCCTGTCTTACTTCATTACATCTTCAGTTTCTGTGGTATAACAAACCTTGTTCAGTGATTACAGCCTAAGACAGATGAATAGCTGGAATATAACTATTTTATTAAAACAAGTCCATCTTTTTTTGGTCTTATGCTTCTCAACTAGTCTAGCTAGGCATTTTGATGCATGCCTTTGAAGAAAAGAATCTAAAAGAATAGAGACACCTGATTTTGAAGTGACATGCATATACATTTTATGCATTATAAACAGGCTCTAATCTTGGTCTTGGAAGAAGTTTTCACTGACATCAAAATTTGGCTCCTTTTTCCTTTGCTAACAGGGTGTGACCTGCTCTGACAGTAAATGAGGAAACCAACTGAGATGCGCTTTAGCCACTTGGAAATTGGAACTGGAAAGAGACCACATTTATTACAAGTTCAAGTTTTGTGTTTGTTGTGAATATCTATAGGCAACTCAGGGGTCCAACGTGCACCTAAGGAAGATCCTGGATGGGTCTTCAGCTTATGTGTGCAATATAAAAATAAATGACCACTCTAAGGTTACCCTAATCTTCAAAAATCCATCAGTACCAGCAGAGCAGCCATAAGAAACAGTATGCTTTCCTTCCTCAGGGGAAGGAAAGCACTTTTATTCCTCTCTAGTTTCCTTTTGGATCACTTATGGGCCTGTTTTTATATTCTTCAGAAACATGAATTTAAAAGGCATTTGAGAGAGGAATAGGGAAGAAAGAACATGGTTGAAGTGAGAATGTTTACAACCATAACAGGACCTATACAATATACTACAGTGGCAAACAACCTTTCTGCTTCAACCCATCAAAAGACACTATTTATGGTTTGTAATTTACAGAAGTATGGCAATTCTTGTGAAAAGTTGCAGCTGAGTCTCCAAACCAGTAATTGCATTTGAAGTGAAGTAGGTTCAATATGCTTATGTGAGACTTACATTTGGAATGTCACAGGACTCAAAGCTCATATGATAGTCCAGGCAAGAGGAGTAGTTTGTTTCTATTTTACCCAGAATCTTCTGTTTGGTGCATGAGGTCAGGAAAATATTTTCCAGAACAGCTTCTAACTGAAATTTATCAGGATACAAGAATGGATTTCTCTGCAATAAACCAAGAAAACAAAGTTAAAACATGACAACAGGATCTTAAGACAGTCCGTGCCAACTCATCCCAGCTCTCAACCTCATCCTCTCCCTGTGCTGGCTTTTTTTTATTCTAGCAGCTTCAGGGCTTTAACATAATGTTTCCAATTGACAATGTTTTGGCTTATCAGCACAGTTACTGATCCCCATCCTACAGAATTAACTCAATAGTTTTGAAAATTTAGGGCACATTTGAGGCCTCTAGTTTGTAAGAACTCATTTTTTTCTTGATTATGCCATGTTTACCTTTCTTCCTATGCAGAGAAATATGTAAAAGGTAAAATGAAATAATGGTATTTCACAAAAAGTGGTACTCTACAGAAGCTTTCCTAAAATCCACTCAAAATTAAAAACAAGAGCGAAATAAATTCCCATCTATTAAGAACAGCTTCCATAAAAATGGTGACTTAACAGATATAACTGCCTTCTCTTACCTCATATGTTAAATTGTGTTTGAATTTTTTGTCATCCCAGTTCAGATCTAGATATTCATTAAACAAAGCTGATCTTTGCTCTAGAGACCCACATGCATGCAGGTGTTCCATACTTAATACTCTCTGAAGCTGGAAGAGGGAAAAAAAATTAAGACACACATCTTAGTAATTTTCTAAAAAAATGTGTTCAGTATATACTAGTGGAGTATGTTTTCTGGCAAAAATACACCCCCCATGAGAACCCCTGAATGGTCTGTATCCATAAAAGACTGCTTCAGCATCTACAAAGATACCTAAGGGGGTGATGACTCTGTCAAGGGAAAGCTGCATCCCAAATACAAACATACCTGGCAACATGAAACAGAATTCTTCTGTAGTTTTATTTTTCTTCCTCTGAGATACGAAAAGGGTCACTTCAAGTAAAATGTTTTCATATGATAATAAATGCAGAAAAAATTAATTCTCTGAGACTCAAAACCAGAAATGTAGCTGAACTCATCCCTTCTTAGACTCAAAGACTCATACCTGACCTGAAGAGAGTGTCATACAACCATTCCAGGCAGTGATGTTCATCTTTGATTTATCCTCCAGGGTCAGTCGGATGTCAGCAGGCTGCCCACCATTCCCTGTGAGCTGCAGCTGAAACCAAAAGAGAAGGATTTGTTCCGCAAAGCAAGACTAGAACTAGCAGAAGGGCCTGCAGGGTGATGCAGCACATGTGTGACCTAGCACAATGATCTCCACCCAGTGGAGAAAAAGAGAAACAATATTAAAACTGTGACAGAACAATGATAAAACTCCATTAAATTCTGCTCAGGGCCTTAGACACGCACACAGTGAAACTGCACTTTCACAACAGTGGCAACAGAAGTCTTTGTGTATCTTCTCTGGAAGCTGCACTGGGTCTATCAGGCATTGCAATTAATGACACCAGTGGAATAATGACACTACAAGAGAATTTATTCTTCTGAATACAATGTTTGAGACATATTGACTAATTAGCAAAAGGAACCTGAAAGCACTCTGTGGCACCACTGCGAGTATTAAAAAGACTCCAGATGAACAAACAGAACACTGCAGTTTGCGCAGCTTATTATTGAGCAGAAAGCCTTCATCACACTCGGCAACTGGAGTGTCCTGGCCCACGCAGTGCATTTTCAGACAGAAAATACTCTGTAGTCTTTGTTCTTGAAGGGTGATTTGTGGAGTTCTTCCTCTTTTTCCCCACATACACTTTGCAAGTGAACCTCACGTTTGCATTGTGAAACCTTTCTGGTCTTGTACATTTTCACACTTGTGTTATAATCTCCTATACAGTCCAAAAATGTAGGCTTGCTCTACATGGGTATCAAAGGGGTTTTGGCCTTTTTTTTTTTTTTTTTTTTCTTTTTTTGGTGGAATAAGAGTTTGTTCATCACTCTGTGGACAAAATTTGCCTCATTTTCATTGCTAGGCTGGCTTCTGTGCACTTCTGGCTTCTTACCATCCAAAATGGGTCAGGGCTAAAATTGCAAGATAGATACTGTCAGCTAGAAAATTATGCTTGAAAAAAGAAACAATGCTGGTTGTTTGGACACAAGGAGATAATAGCACTTGGTGCTTTTTACATTTTTCAGGATGATATCTGGTTTGACAATTCTTTGAGATGAAAGGCACACTATCAGTAAACGTAGTATTACAGCTTTGTATTTTGCAGCTGTTTCTCATGATCTCACCTGCTGGTTGTACTTTCTGCCTCTTCTTTCTGACAGGGAATGGATCTCCACTTTCTTCAGAGTGTAATTAAATGGGTGGGCAACAGTGGCTCTGTAGTTCATACGGTCTCTTCCAAACTTCAGAGAAGATGACACTAGTATCTGATCCATATGAAAAGATGTAGAAGGAACATGTGAAATGAAACACTTCTCACCCACTGACCTCAAACATATATCCATTAAGATTTCCCTATTCCTTTTCCTCAGAGGAATTATGTACGTAAGCCCTTTCTGAAGTAGAGAGGCAAATTAATTTCAAATGAGGACATTCTTGCTACTCTAATTTCCTACATGGTGTAGCTGAATGTCGAACTATTCTCTGTATTCTTTTAGTAAAATCATGAACCATGCTTAAGTTTGGTGAGGCTTAAGTTTGGTCTCCTGTTTAGACACTGTAGGCTCCACTGCTGCAGAGTGTTGAGACACAGCTTGCAAAGTTGAAGCACAAGAAGAAACATTTGCAGAATCAGGAACTAAATTTTGTAATGTTGCTGGGAACAAAATATTTTTGTGGCAGTTGAAGTAGTAGTGGCATTTAAATAGCTGTGGTAATTTAAGTAGTAGTACAAAAATACATTCTATACAACTTCTAAAGTTTTGGAATTTTAGCACTTCTTAATGAAATTAAGAACTTCTAATTCTTTTTGCAGGCACATTTATGTTTCTGTATGGTAACTTATTTTACACATTGCCTTTCATCTTTTGTTTATTCAGAAAATAATGTATTACTCAGCTAAGGTGCTGCATTTCAAATGCACATATAAAGATAGCATAGATAGTTGCAACTCAGTAAGCCTCCCCCATTTAACCACTTTTGGAAATCAACTTAACCAAAGTTCTTCTAGCTCTGTCTTTTTTACTATTTATATTTTTTGAAAATAATTCTGACAATTTAAGAAAATAAAAAGTGGTTTAAAATGTGCCAAAGTTGTCATTCTCACTAATAAAGAGGAGAATGAAAGAATGAAACACAAAAGAATTTCAACGGAATCAGTAATGCAGTAAATGCTAAGCACAGGTATGTGTCACACTTCTATGTGGGTAAACTGCATATATCCATGCAACAAGTAGGTTCTTAATCCTTTTCACCTTCACACTAAAGCTCACATTCGTCTTAGATTTTACTTCTTTCCCCCTAAGCTTCATTAAACATGACTGACGTTTCTGCTATTCTTTCCATCTACCCTCAAAAGCTGTCCTAGAGCCTTTCAGAGTGTTGGGAATGGCCTTTATCCAGTCCTTTGAACCATGTGCTTTTGTCCTGGTTTCAGCCGGGACAGAGTTAATTTTCTTCCTAATAGTAAGTACAGTGCTGTGTTTTGGATTCAGTGTGATAACACACTGATATTTTAGTTGTTGCTAAGTAGTGCTTATCCTAAGTTAAGGATTTTTCAGTTCCCTGTGCTCTGTCAGCGAGCAGGTGCACAAGAAGCTGGGAGGGAGCATGGCCAGGACAGCTGACCCGAACTAGCCAGAGGGCTATTGCATACCATAGGGCATCATGCTCCGTATATAAACTGGGGGGAGTTGGTCAGGAGGGGCAAATCACTGCTGGGGCATCGGTCAGTGGGTGGTGAGCAATTGCATTGTGCATCACTTGTCTTTTCTTGGGTTTCATTTCTCTCTCTTTTTGTTATATTACTTTTCATTACCATTATTGTTCTTGTATTTTATTATTAGTTATTGTTATAATTTACTTTAGTTATTGCACTGTTCTCTCAACACACAAGTTTTACTTTTATTTCAATTCTCCTCCCTATCCCACTGGGAGTGGGATGCATGAGTGAGCAGCTGTGTGGTGCTTAGTTGCTGACTGGGGTTAAATCATGACAGCATTTCACTGCCTTTGGTTACGCAGCAAGCTGTGGGGTTACTGCAAACCAAAAAAAAAAAAAAAAAAAAAAATCCTGGCTTGAAAATGACTCCAACAAGAGTATCAACTGCTCATCTTTCATAGTCATACCCTTTAATACATCCAAGAAGGAGCACAGTTTGCCTCCTAGTTGAATTCCCTGGCTTGTTTAATGCCTTTTTTAAAAACAAAACAAAACAAAACAAGACGAAAAAAAGAACCACTTGATATTCTTGTAATTCTCCTGACATTTATTTGCTCTGGGCTGCTGTACCTGGTCCTTCTCATTCCAAATGACAGTAAGATCATCCCGGTGACTGCGTGCAGAATGTTTCACATAAAAGTTGACCCTGGCATGCCATGGGAAAGGGATGGAGAGAGGATGGAAAAGTTCCACTGCAAGGGAAAAAAGCAAGTAAGTATTCCCCACCACAAATGACTTCATTTTCTGAGAAAGGCATAGGACTTACTCTCCCACAGGTAGCAGGGCAACAGTTGGTTCCCAGAGAAAACATTGTCTTTGCTCATACACACATGTGCACCTACCCAACAGCCACAATGACCTTCATGTGCTGATTTCTGCTGAATATGAACAAATGTAAGGGAAAAATCCTCTATTTACCAGCAAAACAGTAATTACCTGCAATAAACAAAAGATTGATACCTATACCCAAAGCACCTTCCAGCAGAAACAGCCAGGAAAATAATCTTCATGAAGCTGAGATGACCTTACACTGGAAGTCTCTATTTTCAGACAACAGCCTCAAGACACGGGTTTAGCCTTTACCACTCAAGGTAGTGGCCTGCGAGACCAGTGCTCCCTGCAGTATCCAGTGCAGCAGAGCGACAGAATTTATTACAGTTTCTGAAAAAAACCCCAGAAATGGGTGACAATAAAATAACAAAAAATAAAATTATATCCAGGAGGAACAAAAACATACAAAAGAAAAAGAAAATGGAAAAATAAAAATTAACTTAAAATGAAGTGGGTTTACTCTCCAAATTTAAAGGGATACTTGGGCAACATTCAGAAAAAATGTTATCTGTGGGATGTGCCTCTTTATACTTTTAGTGTACCGACTAGACAACAAATCTGAGATGCGGGTCAGCTCAAAACCCTTCCCTTCTTTCAACTGTGAGAGACTTTCATTTAGATACCCACTTCATAGTGAGTGACCCTGACCACTGGATGACTGGGTATTCGAGCCCAAATCCTCCTCAAGCTACATGTGCACTTGTGGAGCTGGGAGCATTTCTGGCTAGCATGTCCAGATGCATGTCTCACACATGTGCCAACCTCACCGCATAGTAAGACTACAGATCCTATAAAGCTCCTCCTCAGTGCCTTGACTCCTCCTGGAAGGAAATATGTACGTTTCTTTGCCAGTACTTCCCAACTGGATCCGTAAGTCATAAAATTACAAAACCAAGATCCTGATCTACACTGCAAAGCATACTACTGTTCATTACATTCTCCCCTCTCTCCCACCAAAGTTGTGTTTGTGAAAAAAATGAAACATTCACTGGCACAAACCTATGGAACTATTTAATTAAAAATGGAACCATCAGGAAGAAGAACCTCACACATTTGGATTTCTCATTCAAATCACTGCCCTGAATCAAACCAAATGCAGATGTGAACCCCAGTCAACCACCTCCCAGCTAAGTATCCTAGTGCCTTGGCTAGAATGAAAGTAGCTGCAATACTTTAACTCTCTTCTCTGTTTACAAATAGTATCTAGTCCAAAACTAGTTCTCTAGGTTTCCTTTGTTTTTCATTAAATAATTAAAAAGCAAATATAAAAATAAACCCGAATGTTTCATTTAATCCAGACCATTTCTGAAATTTGTCATAGAATAAAAATGGACATTTTGATTTGTTGATGACTTCTCACTCTGGCCAAACATTTCCCTGGCACTACTAAAGTTTATTTAAGCTTTACATTCCATATCCACAAAGCAGAAATAGTGTTCTGAAGAGGACATTTCTAACAGCCAGACTTACAATTAATTTAAAGCAAGTAAGATCTAGAAGGTCTGGATTGAAACCATTTGAAATACGATTTATATGGTTTATTTTATAGTCTACTATCAACACCGGCAAAAGACTTGAGAAACCTACCCTGAATGTCATGACCTCCAGGCAACTTTGGGAAGAGTCCAGTGTAAGTGCCTGTTACCTTTATCTCCTTGCCATCCCACAGAGCAGTGTGTCTCAGCATACGTGTTCTGCTGCCCTTCTGGTAAACAGTCATAAACACAAGATGCCTTGGAAGAATTAACTAAAGATAAAAGAGGGGAAACATTAAATCATAAGTCCTCTGAAAAGTTAAAAACCCAAGTGTGTAATTTTGATACTGGAAAGTTTTGTGGAATCTAGCTTTAGAAATGTCATTATAAAAGGTCTAGTACAATGATACCCTAAACCCACTGCTTTCATATAAACAGTTATTAATTTCTACTTAACTTTATTTCTACAATAAGTCATCTTCTCACACAACAGAACACACATAAACAACGTCTTTGCTTATTATATATTAATATTATATATAATATATATAATTATCTCACTGAATAATTCTTACACATCAAGAGCCCCACTATCACAGAATAAATCCAGCAGATAGCACAAACAAGATTATCTATCTGTGGCATCTTTCTTACTTAGAAAAAGAAATATGTGTGGTACCTGCATAATAAAAATTGGCAATTGGTCAGTTTGTAATATATTATTTTTCTTATTTCTGATATATCCTATATATGTGTTCTATCTATAGGAGCAAACAAATATAAAATCAAACAACAGTTTACACCATTGGACACCCGATTTATCTACAGTCAAATGTTTTCTCATACTGCTGGAGAAATAAAGGGTAAAATGCCTCAGAGCAGCTGGAGCCATATTTGACCTTCACTGTTTGGCATCCTGAAAGTCATACTCTAGAAGAGGGCAGTCACAGCTTGCCTTTTGCTGACTGAGTTGATGATACCAACCTGGGACATTGTCTGGATTATTTCAATGACATTAGTGTAGCTGGCTCCAGTGAAAGTTAGCTTAGCTGTAACACTGAAATCCATTTTTTCCATCCTGAGATAGAGTTTGCCTTTTGCTTCACTCATATCATAATTTACCTTTTCAAGTGTCCATTAAATTAAAAAGAAAAAAAAAAAAAAAGAAAAAAGAGAAAGAGAAGATAAATATTATGCTCACATTCTTTGCACAGTATGTTACATGATGGTCCTCAGGACCTAAAAGAGATTTGATTTTCCCTTATGTTCGTATTACAGAAGGCACAGCTGCAAAATAGCATAAACTGAGTAACATGCATAAGAAATTAGTTTTTATGTGAGCAGGTGTAGCTGTGCTGCCTTTCACTGACAAATAATCCCATTCATCTTCCTTGCTTATCCTTGGTGTTGTGTATTTTTGCACTGCAAACAGCCAACATGAAGAACTGCTTTCTGCCCAGTCTCTCTTTTCTTAGTAGCCAGAATAATTAAAAATGTTCCTTAGAGGAGGAGAGTCTACCAGAAGTCATAATTAATGTCGATGCACAGAAGCAGAGTCAAATAGAATAAATCCTTTTCAGTAGGTTGGGACCATTATCATCTTTGAAAACATGAACATCCTCAACAACAACCAAAAGGTCAGAGATACTAGTACTAGAAATAATGCAGCCTAATTCCTAAAATATTAAGCAAGTCTAAGTTGTAGTGATGTATGTGACAGAACTTGCAGATAGTTACCTTAGAAGACAGTTCTGCTGCACTGGGGAAGCACTGTAGAAATAAGGGATGAGTCTGGAGTGCTTTTATATTCAACTCTTCACTAAAGGGAAGAAATGTACTTTTGTTCAACAGTATTTCAGCAAGTCCACTCTCACTGACAGCACAATTTCATTTGAGTAATCTCTGAGTCTGCCACAGCTTTTAGAGATAGAAATTGCAGTATCTTCCACTGCACACTTACCCAGCTCACATGTTTTGATGCATTCATACAAAGGTAAAGCAAACCAAACAGCTGTGCTGTCTCTGACCTCAGTGAAAAATCTGCATATGCATCCTAGGGACACAATGTGGCCCACTGGATCAGAGATTACTTTGGCTAGTAATTTACTAGCCACAGTAAATGCACCAACTTTTTAAAAATGAGATAAGTATTTTGGAATCTGACTTTGCAAGCACTGTTATGGTATTCAGATTTAGAATTTGCAATTATTAGAGTTTAACAGAACTTACAAGACTTTTCAGTGCAAAGGTCCTTTGCTAGAAACTTAATAAATATCTGGAATACCCCAAGGCTGAAAATATGACACCTCTTAAACATCCTCAAAAGCTTATAGTTTTGCTTATATGCTACATCAAATATTTCTGTTTAGATACTGATTATCAGACAATTGAAGTAAAGAATTCTATTCATTCTTAATTTCTTTAAAGAACTCTGAAAATTTTTAGAAGACAAAAAGAATAGAGGAATTAGCACAGCAGACGCAGCCATGCTGATACCAACCTTAGAAAACTGAGTGTGTCTCGATAATTTTACAAGGTTCAACTGTGCCAAAGCGATTTAATAAGATTTAAACAGTTATGTCAAGTTAAGGTATATTTTTAAGTACTTGTCTGGCTCAGACCTAGAGTTTTCAGGATTATTTCACTGTCTGCTACTTCAATTCTGTGGGGGCGTGCAAAAAGTCAAGTGTGCCCCAAGCTGTGAGGAAGGAAATCTCTCTGCAGCCCTTCATAAACTTCCTGAGGTACACAGACTGTTTGGTGTGACTATTCACTTTATCAAAGATTTGTTACCCATTTCATCAGTGCTTTGGTGACTAAAGCAGTAACTTTTTCCATGGAATCACAGTGGCCTAATGATATTTTTATAGTGCTCAGATTGACCGTTTTACCCTTGTTGGTCTTTTTTCCTACTGATGGTAAAGGAGAAGTTAGTGTTTTGTTCATAGGTCAGCCTCAGAGCTCCTTCAATTTCATTTTCAGTCAGGACCTCTTGAATTGTCATCTGTGCAGGGGGGAAAATAAACAAATCACACACCATAGCTTCTACCCATCATTTCACCTAAACCATCAACTTGACTGAAGTTTTATCTTCCAGACAGGCCTTCTAGATGCTTTCTAGGCCTAAACCAAAAGCATCAAGGGATGTCTTCCTTTTTTTCTGTATGTTTCCATAGCTACTCATATGAATTATTGACAAATATTAGCCTTATTTTCAATGTATCCTTAGCTGGTTTAAGTCTAGAGCCACTTGTTTTTGTCTCCTCCACTCTTTTTCACATACTGTAAAGAAACCGTCTTTCCTTCTTTTTTTTTTGAAGAAACAGATGGAGCTCCACACATCTTTTACTCCAGGGTATTTTCTTCCTCCCACAGCTGCCAGCTCATCTACAGCTTTATCCTGAAACTGCTAAAGAATCCCTGTGGGGAAGATGAGCACCACCTCCCACACTTATATATCAACACATGTTGTGTTTGCCAAGTCTGTGGGAACAGTAATTTCTGAAGACCCATGATTACATTCATACCTTACACTTGAATACGGCACCTAAAGTATTACCATCTCTGTTGTTTTTTTTTTTTTTTTTTTTCCCACTCAAACATTTAGAGGATAAAAGGCATTTTACTAAAAATTAAGGGGAAGAAGCAGGGGATATATCTAATACCTTTTAATAAAATGTTGGCATGAAATACTCCCATAAAGCACTGACACTTCATATGCAGGTTTAATATTGAACTAACGTTTATTTTCAGAAAAGTCTACCTTTAATCTTGTATCCTAGCTACATATTCTCTTATTTGAAGAGAAGGTGATGGATTACTTGGATCTGCTGTTCTGTGTACTACCCTCCAAAGGGGAAGGAGATATTTCAACTAATACCTCTTTCTCCCAAGGGATGAACAAGTACAGCCTTTGTTCTTCCTATCAAGTAGTTTGGAACACAAATCTATTTCTGTTTATTCAACACTGAGACATTTTAGGTATCAATGTTACAAATGGCTTAACCAAGCCAGGGAATTCTCTAGGTACAAAGGACAGCTGTTTTCTACCAAAAATCTTTTCTATTTCAGTAAGCCAGATCAGCTAGGACGTGACAGTAAATGAGTGCCTTCCTGAAATGATTAATCCTGAAATCAGGGATTTCACGTACCCGCTGAGTTTCCTTGTAGCTGTGTACTTAAATTAACCAAGGATTCAGATAATCTGGGCTGTCATCTCTCATTTGCACTTGTATAAACCTGGAGTAATTTCACTGTAAGTGCTCTGGATTCATGCTAGTGTAACTCAGATGACAGCTCTAATCAAAGTACAACAAAAAAAATCTACGGTTTATTACCTTAAGAAAGAAGGGAAGTCCCAGGTGATGGAGAAGTGATACTGAATGCTTCACCTCTGCCATTAATTCAAATACACCAGAGAACTGAAAGTCTGTGTCAACATCCACAGTCACAGTTATATCTTTGTCGTCACACTGGACTTCACATATAGTCTTGGCTTTGTTTTCTAAATAGCCAGAACAAAACAGTGCCATTTTGAAGGGCTCATTTTCAAGGAATTTCAGTACCGCCTGCATAAAATCAATCCAGCCAGCTTTTGGGTTAAGACATTTCTCATGACAAAGTCACCTATTCAGAATGACAAGAGCTTTGGCCTGTGGTTGGAAGACTGCAGTTTTTTGGGTGTCCTTGAACATACAAACTCTTGAGTTAACAGAGCCTATGTATGCATGTGCAAGTGTTAAGTGCCAAGTCAGTTCCCAACAGTAACATGATTTTGCAGCTAGAGCTGACTAGCGCATACAGTCACCTGTAGCACCTGGCAGGTAGTAGCCACTTCTAGAGAAGAGCTCTGAGCTGTTTTGACCTATAATGACTCCTCCAGTAACAGCTACAGCAGATCAACACTGCTCAAACAACATGGCTTGAAGACCTGTCCCCCACTTTCCTATCAGCTTTTAATACTTGAAAAAGAAAATACAGACTGCTAAGAGATAAAAAGGAGATGAGAGATGTAAAACCCCAGAACTCTTTACAGAGAAGACAAAATCACAGACATGTATAGAATCATACAGCGACCACTCTGGCAGCTATCCTGAAAGCCACCTGCTGTCCTGTTGCTTTTTTCAGAATGGGTGAAAGGAGATGGTGCCACTAACATTAATATCGATTCAGTGCCTGCTAACCTCAATAATTCATACTCTTCCGTGCTCTCACAGTTGCTGGGGTTTTTTTTCAACATGAATATACTCCCATGTAAGCACTGAAGGTACTTGACCACAATGTAAATCAACAGTTGATGGATATGCACATAGGATTTACATCAGGGTAAGTTTTTAGGATAGATTAGCTTATTCAGGATGGGTTTGTCTCCCCTCCACAGTTCATACAACAAAAGCCATTTAGTACTATTTTCAAAGCCCACTTTACACCGGAATTCACATTTTTTGTGCTTTGTAACAAGGTTTTTTGTGTCCTATTGGAATCTTATTTTATGCAGCTAAGTATCTTGGCAATCACCTGTTTTATCAGGTGTTGTACCACATGAGATCTTTCCTGGAATTAAAAAACCAAATGTAATGTAACTAATCACAGACGCAGTTTAAGAATGACAATTTTACTTACATACAAGAAAAGGCCCTTTTTAAAAGAAAAAGTACCTTTTTAGGTACCTACTAGAAAAATCTTAGCCAGTTTGTAGCTGTTGAAGAAATATGTGAAACATCCTCAAAACAGTATTATATAACAAGAAACCTGCAAGGAATGGCAGGTACCTACCTGATTTCTGTAAATGAGATTCAAGTTGATTGCCTTAGGGTATCCAGACGCCTGTAGTGCCTCGCTACTATGTACACTTTGGCAAAAGATATCCACTTGGTGACCAACATAATAGGAGTTTAGTATGTATGTGATTGATGTTTCTCCAGCTGCAATGCGCATATATCTCTCCTGAGTAGTATTTCTCCCTTGAAAAAACACATCTACCTAAAAAATGACATGTAGATACAAGTTCTTGGAACATTTAAATACTATTTAAACTTAAAACAGAAGACAAATGGAAGTAAGAGAAAGTTCTCTATACTTATGTCAAAAATTTATCCAATAACAAAAAAATCTTAGCCTTTCATTAACCATCTATGATTTACCAGTATGAACTCCATTCAATGGAATGAATTTAAAACCACGGCTGCCTCATTATTTATGTCAAATTCTCATTAGGTTCTCTTTTAACCCATGAAAACATGACTCCTTTTATATAAAGGATCCCTGATCCATGCATAATGCCAATATTACCAGATAGCAGGAACTCCAATACTTTCCTGAAAATAGCACTCAAAGAACTTCTTTAAGTATAAAATTCCCATTAAAGAACATAGAAGCAATATTTCAATTCCTGATGCAACATGCTGAAATTGTTTTCCTGTAGAGTTACAATATCAACAATACACACTGTACTAATACTGACCAGAATGGAAAAATTCGGTCCACAAAGCAGTCAAAAAGAAATTTTCTATTTCAGTAGTTCAGGTTTTAGCCATCCATAGCTTTTAAATATCAGAAAAATCTCAGCTTCCATCCTGTACACTATAAATTGTAGTTTTCATTCAAGTCATGGGCTATTACATGATAATAAAGGACAGTAATTTTAATGAAAAGGAAAAAAAAGAGAAGAAACTACCTGTAAAGATGATGGGACTCTGGCTTGTAGCAGCCACGGCCAAGTATGATAGAAGTTTCCAGTTATGTTGGTACTTGTTTCAAACTCCTGGATTTGTCCTTCCAAAACTGTTACATAAGCACCATAATGCACTTTAGTATGAAAGCTCTTGATCGCTTTCAGGTTTAAGATAGCCTGTTTGCAACAAATACAAATTGGGAAAAGGCAACTTTGTAAAAGGTTAGTGAGGTTCCTGTTAGTCAAGGTTCTTTCTTTGGTTCAGGCAGTATCATCTCACAAATGTGTCAAAAAAATTAGTTTTGTATAATTTTATAACACAACATAGTTACAGAGGTCCCTTTTATTTTTAAACTAAACATTTTAACACATATTCTCCAGTATGGCCATGCCTGAACCCTATTCAAGTAGTTACATGATTAATAAAGAGTAAGTGGTGTGTTGCAGGGCTGTGTATCTCAGATTAAAAATATATGCCAGGTAACCAGAGTCTGGGATGAAAATACCATTTGGAATGTAAACCATGAAATCGTATCAGTACTCACCTCTGTCCAGTCTACTCCAGATGCACTGCAGATCTATCAGACAGACTAGGCGTATGAGCTAAAATGCACTGCCCTCCTCATGCAGTGCATGCTGCAAGCTCAGCTATGGCTTGGGCTTGTTCACACATTGATAGCCAACCTCCAACCTCTTATTCCTATGAAAAGTTCTGGTCCAGCAAGCTATTCTCCCAACCCCTCAAGAACAAACTGAGCTTCTAGACAAAGTGAGCATCTGGATTCCCCTACACCCTGAACTTTATGGAAAAACAAGACAGAGAGAAAGGGAGCAGGAAGGAGATGGAGGAGGGAGAAAAAGGAAATATAAACGCCTCGACAACAGAAGCAGGCAGTATGGCCCATGTATAATGGGACAACCGGCAAATTCAGGAAAATCTTATTCCATCAGGAGCATAAGCAGCAATGTGCTTTCCCATCTCCACCCTCCACCTGGGCAGACAGCACCTTCCCCAACTTCCTTTCATTTCTGATGTGTTTACAGAACTCAGGAGTACATTCTGCACAGCAAAAAAGTGACTGATTTGTTACCTGTCCATTACAGAGCAACATTTAATTTTACCACCACCACACTTCTCTGCCCAATCTTATCCCAGCCCTTTCCCAGATAGTCATTGTATGCACAGGTACAGATTTTAGATGTCCCAGACCACTCATTTTACACAAAAAATTACAGTTTGCACATCCTGCACTTTCATGATGAATACCACCATACTTCAAATTACATATTGAAGGACAGAAGACACTGCTGCTCTTTCTGGCAACTGAATTAAAGGTAAGTAAGGCCCAACTTAAGTAGACTATTGGCAAAGAGCAACCCTGGTTCTAGAAATAATTAGAAATGAGAATGAAACCAAAGGTGGTGTGGAATGAAAGCGAAGGTGGTGTGACAACACAGACACCTTAATTCAGAAGAATACTTTATAAAAGTTTAGACTGTATTTTAAAATGTTGAGAACAATCTCTCCCACTTGCACCTGGGACATTAGGTAGATTGCTCATGGTTGTGGTGCTCCACTTGGGCTGTATTTTGTAGCAGTAAGTTCTTTCTCCTGTATAAATCTTGACTTTTAACTGAAGCAGTATTATGAAGCAACTTTGAAATCTGTGCTATGATCTTACGCAATATGGCGCAACAGAATAGAAAAGATGATGAAGATGTCAAAGTTAACAACTGAATGAGTAAAATTCTACCCTCCTTGACAGAGACACAAAATTTTTACCTAAATAACAAATGCACAAAGACACATCTACACCCTCTGTTCTTTGCCATCTCACTTCTACAGCTACTGCTTTCATTATGACAAGATTCTAGGCTGTATTCATGTCTCCCCGTCATTGTCTGCTAACTTACCTGCAACTCAATCCTGTCTTTTATTTGCAATGTCTTCAGTGCCTCTATGTTATGAGTAAGTTTGTAGTTAAGAGACAAAACATCCAACTTCTGGACAAAGCTCAGTTCTTCTGTAATCTGTTCAGTCCAAATAAAATATGACAAGTTAACTGTGGCACATCTCTGATATTGAAACTGCTTTGATGAATTGTACTTATTGTACTAATTACACTAGAGTAAAGCTACAAAAACTAGGACATATTTATGGTGAAGAATTTTCTAACTTTTTATGTCACAACTTTGTACTATAATAGGGAATATACCGCACCAAGTGAAGATACTTGATAAGAAAGGTTTGATACAGTTTGCAAATGGAAGTCATGGATTATTGCTGATATCAAATTTGTTGCTAGAAGAAATTGCACAAGAATGGCTGAAAGATACTGCCTTCATTTAATGAAGGCCTTTAAAACCAAACCAGCCTCTGCAGAGTATTCCTATAAGGGCCTCACACACAGATTTTTCAAAAGGAGAAGTAAAATTTATCAAAGCAATTAGCTCACTTTAACCTGTATTTCACATCTTACTAATATGGAGGAGGCACGCACTTGCTTGCTGTTCACACAGAAGAGAGTAAGTCTTTTATAGAAGTTGTTGTTTTTTTCTGATATAACATCAACTAACATCCTCATAGGAATGCCGATGTCAGCAGCTCCTTGAATGTTATGGGTTAGCACCGCATCCAACTCTTGTCTTTCCTGTTAATATTTCACAGCATATGTAGGGAAACATGTAGAAACTAAAGCTTGTCACAACACACAGCTCAAACCAGAAATTTAGCAAATCTGTCCGTCCTACATTTAATACTAATTAAAACTAATTGCACTGAACTTAAGTTACACTGGGAAAGAGAAAAAAGATCAACCCTAACAGATAGAATTAAAAAAATATATATTTCAGCTAAGAAGGAAAAAGGTCTAAATGTTTCTCTCTGGTGACAAAGAACTCCCACTAGCTATCTGTTTCTTTACAGCATGGAAATACACAGAAATTATCAATTATGGCAAGAAAGTGAGTGATCACAAGGAAGAAGATATTTCTCTCGGTGTGTACTCTACTCTCCTGTGCTGATGACAAGAGAAGCAGAACTTGTAATTGTCAACAGGAAAGCAAGAGATTCACAGCCTTTCCTGTGCTGTTGTCTTACTGAAGAAACAAAACAGCAGAGTCTCAATTAATCACTATTATTTTGCAATGTAAATTTTGTGAAATTGCAATCTTTTTCTGGTTTTGTGCACTGCTGCATACTTTCATGATGAATGGTGTTATAGTGGAGTACCTGTTGTATATCTGGAGCAAGATCTGCATTTGTGGGTTTGCATGTCTTATCATATTTGCCAATTTTATATATATTTTTTATATTGTACTATTTGATGTTCGCTATATTATACATATACACATAAAGAGCATAACAAGGAAATGATTGAGGAAGTGTCACAGCCTGCATCTTACTATCCTATACATCTGTTTTACTGCACATTACAAGTGCCAGATTTTCAAAGATTTTATTTTTATTCTGGCATTTATTAGTAAAGCTTGACTATTTGTTCCTAATAAAATAGTTTAATATATGTCATTCAGTACTTTGTACACGCAGTCTGAAAGTCTGCAGGATACTTACATCAGTGACTTTTAGTATAAAGAGTCCTTGTAATTTATTTTCATCAACAGTGATCAATGTCTGTGAATCTAGGTTCATTTTATCCATCAAAACATATCCTGAACCATCAATTTTTAGTGGTGCTCCAAGATCCTGTACAAACAACAAGAAGTAAATTAAAAAATTCACCACTTTTATACTTACCTACAGATACACTATACACCTGAAACTTTTTATTCCGAATAAGTAGCTCTATTAGCACCTAGCTATAAATCTAGTATATCAGGCAATATATCCAGAGGATGTCTCAGAAATCTGGACAGCTTTTTATTACATTTTATACATTTTGTCTTTTTTATTTTGAATATGTCTGACATACTTTTAATAAGTGAATCAGCATAAATAGAACACAGGACAACGTGGCAGCTCTTCCTGCCTAAGTGAGAAGTCAATTAATTTTCTATGCTTGGCTTTGCTCCAGTGGTCCAAAGCATCCATAAATCCAGTGAAACCAGATAATATACATACGTTTATTTTATTATGGCAGGTCTGGTTTTGGAAGAAGGCAGGTGAATCTCATCTTTGTATATTCAGATTTACCCTGACTTGCATATTGAATCCACAGATAGTTCTGTGATATCATGTCTCTTAAACTTTCCGTACACTTCTCCCGTCCTTTCCATTACTGCCTATAGAGTATTGACTGGTGGGACTTGTGAGAGGCCAAACACTGTATCAGGCTTTCTAATAGCAATACAAATTTTCAGTAAGAAAAGTCACTGAACAATCCAGCTAAATTCAGAACTGCTACTTCAGGAAATCCTGCTACAGAATTTCTTCCCCACCATCTACGTACAACAGTCTGGCCTGGGAAAACAAACAACTGAGCAAGAATTACGAGAAGAACTACTTTTCACACCTTCACCAAAAGGCAAAAGGAGCTCAGCGTGTCATGCTAACTAGCTGAGAGAGGTCGTGGCACACTGCCTTTCTTTACTTAGGAAGCTCTGAAAGCAGCTTTGCTCCTCAGTTCACATAGCTCCTCCCAGGCAACGACACAGTGGGCTCCTTCAGAGATGGGTTCTCCCAGGACATCTGATACCAACTAGGTCAACTGTCCAAGAGACAGGGCTTCACTTCCTTTGCTTTGTGTAGAAATGAGATTGTACTGCAAATGATGGCACATTCGTGTGATATGGAGTGATCTTCTTCCACAGAATTCCAGTTTTCACTGTATTTTTCTACCAGCTGAATCTTTTCAACAAAGAAACTGCTTTTTTCCTTATCCTACTAGTTGCTGTTCAGACTCAGAGTCTACAGTGAAATTTGCACCAAACCCAGAAGTTAAATCTCAATGAAACAAGAGGGGTGATTTGGTGGTGCTCAGTCAGGCACTGTAAACAGTACAGTTCAACTCAGGGACAATTATATTGTCAGCATTAGCAAGAATTAGCACACAGAAATGGCTAATCAGAGCAGTCCACACCAGCTTGTTCAAAATGGTACTGTTTGTTTTTCAACTAATTCCCAGAAATATTTCTCAACTGAGGTCTTACAGGAAATTGTAATTGCTGTTTAATGCTGGCTTTTTCACTCTGTGTGTTCTCTGAAATGTCTTCATACATAACATATTAGTTTGTTAGCAATTTCAATTTTCCATACAGCTGAGTGAGGCCTAAGCCTAAACCTAACACCCACCCTAACCCCTAATCCTAAACCAAAGCCTAAAAATAACTTTGAATACTCATTATTTCTGAGATTTCTCAAACATGCTTTTTCAAAAATACATAAGAGCTAGTACAAGCAAGTCCATTAACTGTAGGTACTGATTCACAGAAAATTTGCCTTATACCATACAAAAATACAGTGAATGACTGGCTCCAAAAGTAAGATGTAACATTAAAACAAAAGAATGTTTTTCTTGTTTCTACTACCATTGAAATCATTAGACTATTTTCTTTTGACTTTAGTAGGTTCAAAGATCCTGGTTTAGATGTATAAATTCAAGAGTAAAGCAAAACCACTCCTTCCAATACCTGAATTGTTTGGCATTTGTTTTCTATAAATATTTTCCACTGAAGCTTCTTTTCAGGGTCGAAGTCCCCATTCATTTGAAGCTCACAAGCACCCGATTTCATTCCTATTCCAATATGGTATTTCAACTGTTTTTGTGCAGTGATGGACACCTTATTTTCCCTTGGGATTTCCTTCAGTTGAGGGAGGTCATGCCTGAATTGAATTGCCAGAATAATCTTTGGCTTGCACTCTGCTCTCACTTCGAGATGGGCAGTCTTGCCTTCCGTTTCAAGGACACAGAGAAGTTCTGCTTGACACTTGTCTTTATGGATAGATCCTGTGAGCCGTGACTGAGTTGGAATACTGAGCTCCTATCAAGATTTAAAAAAACTCCTTTGGATTATACAAACACTTTAAGACAAGACAGCATTGAGACTTTTTCTTCTCCCTTACGCATATGAGAAAGGAGATTTTTATGTTACAGTATCTGAGACAAAGCCTACAATCTCTGTGCTGCTATTTTTCTCCCAACAATAAGATGACAATTCTGCCTGAGAGAAGATTTTAGGACTGCCCTGCACTACTGACAACTTCTGTATCTATATGAAGTTTTACATTTACAAAAATAAAAAATGCTATTTCTTCAGAGTGAATATCCTCTGCTTCATTCAGACCAGATCAATCTCAATTTTTAGACAAATTAAGCCACAAAAAGTAATTGGCCTAACAGACATTCCTGCATCTGGTGTTACAAGGATTAATTTTTTTTAATACTGTCTTGTGCAACATCCCAAAATAAATGTTCCATCTCATTCTTTCAAAGTATTTTTAAAAACAGTGAAAATTTCACTATTTTCAATATTTTAAGTACTTTCACTCCCTCTTCACTATGGATGACACAGACTTTTCTGTAATTTTTGGTTTTATATTGCTACTTTATAGTTGAAGAAGTTAAAACTGAGCAAAACATAAATGCCCATGAACATCTGGAAATAACCCCTAAATTTGTAACAGTCATTTATTTTTAATGTAGTCACTGAGGCTAGATGAGAAAACCAGGGACATTTCACAACTTCTACTTTGATAAAAGAGACAGACCAGAGAATATATTTTTTGACAAATAGTTCAAACTAAAACTGCTGTTCAGCCTTAGAGGGCAGTCTTAGTCTGCAAAGAAAACAAGCATCAAAACCTGAACTGATCTCAGTCTACAGAGTACACCTATGAACAGGACACATAAGACACTTTCTTTGCCTAATGCTGTAAGACAGGTATGTCTTTACAATGGGGCTCTCCAACACTTAAACATTGTTGTTTTAGCTAAAATCTGGTATGGCCTGAATTTATCCCAAATCTTTCTTTAAAAGCCTCCAAGAGCTACCTGCAGAAGCTGACATTCTGTTTCTGTTTCCAGTGTCCATTCAGGTTTATTCCAAATAGACAGATCTCCTCTAGCTTTAAGTTTGCATTTGCCAGCCTGCAGCAACAAAATGCCCTCAGTGGTGGAGTCTGTGGCTGCAGATAACAGGACAGAGTTTTCAAAAGGCAGCCCAAGCTGACTCAGCCAGTGAACTGAATGCCTGAGCATCCCTTGGAGCATATATTCGTGTTTGCAGGAAGTGTCTATCTGCACATCAACTGTTCTGCCATCACACTGGAGGTTCATTAACAAGCCAACGCTGCAGATGTTCTGTTGAAATGAGCCCCCAAAGGCTACAGCATGAGGCAATCCCATCCTCTGCAACAGAAAAGATTATACTATTTAAAGCACATGAGGTAAAAAAATTGTCTCCCTAATTTATTTCTAATTAATGAGAAAGCATTTATTTCTGAATATGCTTTTGGAAAGGACTATACGAGAGAGCTTGTTTCAAAAAGAAATCAGAAATTTCTCTGTGAAACAAGAAAAAAAGAAACCAAAAATAAATGGTACGGCAAAACAAATAAAAATCCTGTGACAAACTTTTCCCAGTACTGTAGAAGAAAAAGTTTGTAACCACAAAGAAAACCTCCAAAGTTTCAAACAGAAAGGACATGCTTTTCATTAGACTCTAGGACAAATGTTTATTTTACTTAAAAAGCTACTATTAAGAACTATTTTATGGCAACAGCAGTAACATCTATCCCTGTAATACTCCTAATTCTCATCTTCAAACACACTCCCTCTGCAAGTGCTGTGACTCATTGCTCTGCCAGAACAATATTAATGACCGAAACTGACCTTTCCATAAATAACTGTGTCAGAAGATAGTTCTCTGACCCATAATGATCTGAAATACACAGATATAATGCCATACAGAAAATAATCTAGGCTTACCTCTAGGCTGAAACACTTGTTTCTAAAAGTAAGTATCCATTCTGTATCTGTTTCATTGCTTGCCAGGCTCACTTCTCCATCAGCATTTAAACTGCAAGGCCCAAGGACAACACCAAGCATGGCCTTATACTTGTCACTTCTCATGGCTGACACCTTCACCTGGTTCTCTCTGGCAATTCCCAAAGACTGAAGTGAAGGCAAAGAATGCTGGAAGTCCATTTCTAAATGAGGCTGGATGTTAGTGGTGGCATTGAGTTGCAGGCAGGCAAATATGTCATGAAAAGAAACATGTCCAAAGAAGATGACAGTAAAGTTGCTGGTAAAAATTGACCCATTCAGTGAAACTCTTGCTGGAGTCTGAAAAATTATAGAAAAACTGTTGTCAAGTTTGTTTTCCTGTCATGTCATATACAGTTTTTAAATGTTCAGGTTACTAAAAGAGGACTATTTCCCTACTACCCTGACAACATTTTGTATTCATTCTATATATTTAGAAATGCCTAAATAAATGAAGAGATGGCCTAAAATATTTAGTGTAGAGTTCCACAATAAAAATAATAGGAAAAAATCCAACTCCACAGCTATTAAAACAATTACTAATACCAGAAAAATCAACTGCTATTGCTTTTACTATAAGTAAACAGAGCTCTAGCACTGTGAGAATGTGCTCAATTCTCCTCAGACCTCAGCAGAAGTGACAAGTGTTATGCATATTGTACCCATGTTACATCAGGGAAGAACTGAAATGCATTTGTCTTTTTTGTCACTAGAACATACATGGGAATCAGTCTCTGTGACTACTGCCTTTCCAGAGACAAATGTAATCTTCTGTAATTTCACTCACAGGAGATGTTTTAACATGTTCTTAAGAATATGTTAAGATTATAAAGTTTCTTTCTTGAACAGTTCAAGAGCCACAAAGACTTTCACAAACAGTTAGCTAGAAAGAGCAGAAAAATGAGTAAGAAGTAGTAAACCATGGAATTCTCAGCTTGTGCCTCCTATGCTCCCTTGTCCAGTCCATATCAGGTTAGCTGCTCTACAACAGACCAAGACCACTTATACCGAGTTCAGTTCTAACTGGCAGAAGATACAGTTTGGTGACTTCAGCTAGAAACACTAACGTGACTCTTGCCTTTTGCCTGGTGCACACTTCTCATCTCCTGATATTAGTTTTCTGCTATATGCAAGCTCTTGCACTGAGCTCTGAAGCAGCGCAACTTAATTGTTTGCTGTAAGACACAGGAGTATCTCCTTTAAAATTGCGCCTGTTGGGCCCATAAACATCCCTTACCTCTACGTATTCGGCAACTGGTGCACAGCTGTGCACCACAAATGTAAATCTATATGACTTGAATGCATGTTTGTTGACAATCTGATTCAGAATAAACAATCCACTGCACGATGGTGAAACTGAGTGCAACCTTCCCCACTGACTGGTATAGCATTTGATGGAGAAGTAACCTGATCTGCTTTTATCTGTGAATATTAAGGGAGTGAAAATATCTGAAAGTGTGTGCAAAACTTCCAGCTAACTCAAATCCATTCCTACATCTCTGACACTTTTCAGTACTTAGATTACCTTACTGGTAGTTAAGACAGCGTGTTGTTGACAGTAGAGTTTACAAATGAAGCCAGTACCTCAAAATGTTGAAACATAATTGCTCCATTGCAAAGGCCAGAAAGTTCTTTGTTAGCAGATTCCCCACGGCAAGCAACCTGTTGGCATTATTAACAAAGCATGTTCAGAGCATGAAGAAAAGCAGAGAGGACTAAAATAGAAAGGACAGAGCTAAAAGGCTGCTTTCAGGATAAAAAGCATGAAGATACTAAAATACAGCTTTAAGATTAAAGGTTAGAGAGCAGTTTCAAAAAAGATGAACAGTTCCGTGGATCTGAGGCTAAATCACGTCTCTAATCTTGCACTATCATACCAAAAGATTATCAGCATAGATAAAAACAGAAGAATATCTTTAAACAGCAGGAAACTTACTTGCTAGACAGAACTATTTTTGACACTCTGGATTTTGACAGGAGATGGTGGTATTTCTTATGTTTGGCATAGAAAATACCACTGTCACAAGTAGACATTCAATGTTTCAAACCTCAACAGCTGTGTCCCTTGCTGCAGAAAGCGAAGTTCTTGGGGATTGCTGTTGGCTGTATGAAAACTGCTGCCATTATTATTCACTCTGCTGTCAATTCCACTGCATCTACAAACAACCATGTGATCCACCTGCAAACCTCGCTTTAGCAAGATGGAAAAGCCAGGACTGCATATTATTGTGCCTGGGCAAGCATCCACTACAGTTTCATGACATAAATGTTTTGTTACCACCACATCCTGAAAACCTGCTCTTCATTGCTAAGTAAACAATTTTCAGGCTTTCTGTATCGGCCTCGTTTGACAAAATCCCTCTCCCTTCTGATCTGCTAGCTTGCTCTCAAGAGATAAATCTGAACAGTTGAGAATGCACAGCAGAAAGCTGTATCAAATACACTATATAGCAGGATTTCTGCTAACCTCTAGTATGCATGGAACAATGTCCATCAGTCCTCCCACATCATGGTGAAGTGAAAGAGAAATTTCCATACCACTACCAGTGGTTTTCTTCTCTATTTCAATTTTAAGCTGTTCCATCTCCACTGTGGTTGTTATCCATGCAGCAATCTTTCTGGGAAATTCTATGCACAAATGAAACCAAATTACGAGAGAAACAAACAACATCATCCCAGCAAAAACTGGTGAAGGCCATCTGTTTCACCATGCTTAAATGTCATAGCCCGTGTCAGGGCAGCAGCACTGGTAAAACAGAAGTGCAAATTCATCAAAGTCACTTAATTGCAAATGGAGATTTTCCAGTTATGCTAGACCTTCTGAATGCTGTGTAGCAATAATTCCTTCTGGCTCCAAAACATGTTGAGAGCGTTCAGTACCCTGGAGGATTTGAGTCCTAAGGCGTACACAATTAAATCACTGAAACTTTCAGTAAGCAGGGCAAGAGGAGCTGTATAGAGTTCTTCCTCCCCACACATCTCACTGTACCACAGTGCCACAGTGGCTGGGCCCACCACAAATGTTAGTATGTTAGTGACTTGAGCCTTCTAGCATATGTTAGAGCAAGCAAAATATTTGAATCCTTCTTTTATGGAAGGATAATTTGAGATGCAAAAGAGCTATATGTTGCTCACAGACCTATAGCAGAAATGAGAGAAGAGCTGCCAAGAAACACCGTACCAGGAAACTTGATCCATGACATTTCTGTGGGTAGAGATTTCCAAATGGAAAGCCATGCTAAACACTCTTCTGCTCTTTAGCGGACATCCAAAGGATGACATCAGAACTAGTTAAACCCAGTACCAGATACAGTGAAGTACCTAGGCTCACTGACACTTACCTGACAGCTACATACATTAGTCCTGCCTGTCCACTTCCCATTTATAGAGGAAAAATAAAATTGTACAAGACTCCTGTTCCTATGCAGCAAAGCACTTACGTGAAAACTGAATGTAACATCCCATTTAGCCTAGAGTCTCCAAGACTTCAGGTGACAGGTACGCAGTATGACAAGAAGCCAGCAAATACCTTTCTTTCACATAGTAACTTAGTACATACTATCTCAAAACCGCAGATGCTTTTGCAAAAAAGCACACATGAATAACCTACAGTTACTAGAAACGGTTCTGATAGAAATTAAACACAGGCAGAACTCTTTTTACCTCATAATAGCCAGCAGCTTCCACAATAAAAGGGATCCCATGTTTCTTTATCTTTGAAATGTTGTGCTTTAAACTCACAGATAGCTGGGATTTAGGAGGCTCTGTGGACAGTCTGTGACCTCCAAACACAGCAGTAATCCTTTCACTGCCACTCTGTAGGGCTATCGTAATGGTGTGATTTCTTGTACCATGGTCACTCATGGCAGTAAGAATGCCATCCAAGGGCAGTCCTGTTGACATGGAAGGAAGAAAAATCAGCATAATTCTTCTGGGTTGTCACTGTAAAATATAGAAAAGATGTACTACAGATTAAGAGAAGCTATCTATAGTTTTTCTTAAGAAAAGACAGGTGTTTTTTTAAAGTGTGATCAACCAGTTAGCTGTACTTACTGATATTTATAGTAAGAAGGATATTACTTATCATACAAAAATCACATTAAAAAAGGATTGTTAAATTAAAATGTGACGCACACCTTCAAAGTCAAGAATTTTTCTTTTCTTAATAAAGGATGTCTATCAATGGGTAGCATGTCCAACTCCAGAAGCCAGCTGTTAGAAATTTTCAAAACAGATTTCTTCAGTCCAAAAGGACAAAAGCAATCTACCCATTCAAAATTACTGATAACTTCAGTTCACTAAACCCCTTGGTTTTGCTTAGGAAACAACACTTGGCATATTTTAGTCTTCAGTGTGATTTATTCAATGACTTTCAATGTTTCAATTCTGGTCCAAATCAAAAGAGGCCTAAAAATATTGTTAGAGGAACTGATGAGAATGCAGGAATACAGACGTACAAGAGAAATAATTGACTCTAAAGTAGTTCAAAGAGTTTTTAAATAGTTGTTTTATCCATTTTATTGTATTTTCTCAACAATATTAAAAAGAATGTTACCAAGACTGGATCACATTTTGTTCTGGTGTGAGCAAATGCAACTCATCTGCATTGGCCTGCATTGTGCATTGGTGCACTGGTCTGCACTCATTTAGATAATCTCACTTTGATACCTTGTTATGCTACACCATCAAGTCAGCGTTTTCTTCATACCTGCATTTTTTAAAAAGCTGATATTATGGGTCAAAGTCCCATTGACTCTGATGTGCCCATGACTCATGATATTGGAAATATCTAGAGAAAGGGCTTTCTCATCCACCTGGAAGCTAGCTAGCCCCCTTTTCATCTCTTTACTCAGCTCCAGGTGTCCTTTCAGTTTTGTCTCCATTGGGATTGCGTGACTGCCATTCTGAAACATCGCAAAAGCAATACTGTGTATGGTGGTATTCCCAAACACATTTCTGTTTCTGAGACGGAGTCCATACTGTGTTTTGTTGACCATCACATTGATGTTACCTGTAACAGGCAGAAATTATTACTGTGGAGAGAGTCCTTTGGGACAGCAATAACCAGAATTTTATAAGCAACATATAAATTAATCATTAATTTAATACCAAGAGGAAGTAGAAGAATTTCCATTTATTATAATAGATAATTTAGCCTAATTAAGAGAGCCAATCAGTTTACTGTTGAGAGGGAGTTTCTCTACTAGTAAAAGTGTCTGTGTTTGAAGCAAATTGCATAGTAGTATTTCTGGCAGCTGTTTCTTTTTATTTACCAAGCTGTGTGTGCCTTTAGGCCATGAACTACACTGCACTGCCTTCCGAAGGAAAATTACAGAGGGACTATGACCTATTACTTGTGTAAATCCATGCTAAACAATCCCTCTGCAGCTCTGCAGTGACCTGCTCCACCCATGGAACCATTCAGAAGAGTAAGGGCCTCAAGTCAGCTTCCCTCATTTCAGAAGACCTGCATAGGAAAGATACCATACACTATTTCCTTCAATCAATGGAAATATGAAAATTATCAAACTATGTTATTTCACTAAAAAGTAGTTTCAACCCAATGACCAACATTGCATTTTGCATGCTAAACACTCTCTTCTGCATTATATCCAGTTCAGTAAGGAATACATTCAAGTTAAGAAGCTTCCTTAGATAGCTGCAGACCTAGCAGCAAAACACAAAGTAAAAAAGTACCATCACGAATGTTGTTTTTGCACTTCAATAATCCATTTAGAGAAAGAAGATGAGGTATGGCCTTTAATACAGCGAATGTGTGTTGGATTCTTCCATTCAGGGACAAAACAAAACCAACTTTCTGCTCCTTGGCTCCCATGAAATCCATGTGAAGCCTATTTTCATTAAGCTTCATCTCAGAAGATATCAAAAGTCTAAAAAGACAGAGATAAAAATTGCTAGTAAGATATTATTATGTTTAATTCATGATTGTCAAGACAACACCCATCTCAAAGCAGGATCAATGAGAGCAGGGTGCTGAGGAGCACATGTGGTCACATTTTGAGTATCTCCAAGCATGGACACTCCACAGACTTTCTGGACCTTGTTCTAGTGTTGTGAATCAGTGAATTAGGTGCAGTGTAGTAAGTATGTGCTGTTCACAAGATGTTTATAAAACTAGTCAGTAAAGCCTCACAGGTTGGCAGACTATTTTTCTTCAAATTTCTTGGATGCTTTTGTTATGATCCTTAATCAAAAAAAAAAAAAAAAAAAAAAAAAAAGAGTTGGACAGAGTTAGATAGAATTGGGAATTAACTCCTCTGTGTCACAATATGAAATCCATCTTCAGTGCTGATTTCAAAGCAGCATTGAGAATTCAACTTAACCAGTAATTTTAAATGCCACCACCATTTGAGTTTGGTAAACGAACCAACAATTCTTTCTCCCTATCATGGCCCTGAGCTGAATGGTGTTAGAGAAACACAGCACAGCTTTTTAGGGAAACCTGCTCGAGCAACAAGAAATTAAATTTCCAGTGTTTCAGTTATAAGACTGAGACACAATTTTCACATTGCCCTCAACAAACTGTCCACTGAAATGTCTGACTTTCTAGACTGACGTATACTACACAAAATACCTAAAAGTGAGGCAATCCCTCCAAGAAACTGGAACCCTTTTGAAAGACTGATGATGAGTAAAACCTCAGTGAAAATCTACTTGGTGGGAAGAATTGAACTACATAATTCAAGGAAGTAAGATTCATTTCATCAGTCAGACAATGAAGTCTGTACAGACTACACCTTTTTAGCAATTCCCCAGAAATATTCAATCTTTTATTTATCTGTCTTTTTCTCCCTGTAAAATAAATCCCGAATCAATTGTCATTCCAGAAATTTTAAAAGTTCTATTTTACTTCCTGTGAAGGAAGCTGCAATAAATTGCTCTGTTACAGCCTACCCTGGTATTTAAACAAATTAAGGTACTACTGGAAGCCCAGAACTGCAAGTAAGCTGCAGAAACACATGAAATACCTCTCTTGAATATTTTATCTTTTTTTTTTTTCTTTTACTAGTAAATCTAAGGAGCTTCAACAAATCTGTAATAAATTCTGATTTCTTTAACTCTGCCTCCTCATTCTCATTATCCCATCCAACTCCTAAATTGCTAAACATTAGTAGTGTTTAGACATCTACAAAACCATCAACTCCTTCACTCCACACTTCTGTATTTGTGAAATCTGAAAAATCAGCTGGAAGACAGCTGAAACTTGTGAGGGCCAAATTTCTGTTTTCCATCCTGCCACCTCAGAGCTTTCCACAATACTTAATAAAATTTTATTATAAACACTGGGAAACGCCCTCTTCCACTGGCATAACTTGTAAATATTAGTTCTTTACTACTGAGAGGGCAAACAATGGAGAGTGGGGAAAAACCAACTATTAATCCAAGACCAATACAGCAGTACCACCCGTTCATTCAAGTTATCTCTATACAAAGTCCTAGGAAAGCAACTAGAAGACATTAACATAACTTATTATACCAACTTATGAAACATAAAGAGCAAAAGTATTTCAGTAACAGGGATAACACATGAACGGCATTTGCTCAGTGGCTTCTGCTGCAGCTACATGGAAGTAGCTACATTTAAATATGTGTCAGAGAACACTCTTCAGCTCCTGTATTAATCAAGATTCTGATTTCTCTACCTTGATGGAAATATTTTGCCCATGAGTTCAAACTGTATTGATTCTGGGTTTGTCAGGATTGTCTGATGCAGGAAAGCCCTCAACTCAACAACTTTGGCATTCTTCCTGTTTTCATTGTTCATATCAAGCTCCAGCATCAGCATGTCTCTTCCACTGGAATGAAGGTAAAGAGAGCCATTCAAATTGCTCTCACCATAACTCTTTAGGACTGCCTGGGCCTACACATAGAGAAAAGAAGAACAGGACATTAAGGATCTCAAATCATAATACAGAACACTGAAACATCAGTTTGAGGAATAAGACTCCAGCCTACGAGTTGGGCCTGGGAAAAAGCAGGAGTGGGAGGGAGAAGCAGAAGGGGAAAGGTGGTTTTTAGTTTTCATCTTTGTTTCTCACCATCTAGCTCTATTTTTATTTGGCAATAAATTAAATTAATTTTCCCCAAGTTGAGTCTGTTTTGTCCATGAAGGTAATGGGTAAGTGATCTCCCTATGTGTATCTCAACCCACCACAAAGGATAAAGCTAATCCTAGAGAAAGAACCTTTTGAATTGGTAATAAAAGCTACAGATGACATCTCATTTTGAATATAAGCCTGTCACCATGCTAGAACTTTCAACAAAAAATTAAGAACTACATTGAATTTTAAGTACAATTTAACTTGACTTTCAGAGATTTCTGAATTTCAGCCAAAACACAAGTCACCTACTCCAACTGCATGTAGCCATTCAGCCAGAACAAATTCTAATCATAAAAAGTTAACAGTTTCCCTAACAATTTCCACTTCTCCACTACACTCACTGAATTCCGTATGAGTTGACCAACTTTGTAGTATATGCATACATTTGTGTTCCCATGCTTGACAGTAGCTGCAAAGCAATTTATAGCACAGTTAAATAGCTCCCAGGTTGACATGTATTCCTAATGCATGCAACAAGCAAGAGACTCAACACAGGTCTGAGTGTATGAACTGCAAAAACCAAAAGTTTAAGCAATGAGACTGTAATAATCAGGGAACTGACCTGTGAAGACACATTCTTGTTGATGATGGTTTTTATGCTCATACCATAGTCAAAGTGTTCCATTTTAGTCTGCCTGGAAAAGAGCTCCCCACTTAGGTCCATTGCTTGTGGAAACTCAATCTATTTGACAAAGTAAAATGCAAACATAATCACTCCATTCCCATCAATTGCCTTGTGTGATTTGATATCTGAACTTTTAGCATGAAGTGGAGGATATGTATAAGCAAAGGTGTGTATAAAATTGAACTAATTTTATATCCAAAGACACTGAAAAATAAATCAAATGCAGTAAAAAAAACACGAAAATGAAAGGTGTGTGTGTGTCTTACAAGACATTATTGATACAGACTACGATCTGGTCTACTGAGATACCTAGGGTCTCCGTCAGGGCCAGGACTTCACTGAACTAGGAAGTTTACAACCATGAAACACAATTCAAAAGACAACACAGTAAAACAGCCACCAAGACATAAAAAATAAAATGTCATAAATGAAAACCACCAATACCTGGAATGAATGTGTTACATCCATGCGTAAAAGATGTCTAAAATCTGTTTCACTGGATTTGTTCTGATATCTCCCTAGAAAGGTGAGAACATCTTCCTTATTGACCTTCAAGGTAGTCTCAAGCTCATGCTTCACCTACGTGTTAAGAACATGAACAAGGAAACTGCATTAACCCTGTATATTATGAAAGATAAGAAAAGTCATTCCTGCATATTATGAAAAATTAAAGAGCTGCGAGCTAATACATTGTGGCTCAGAATGAAAAATGAGCAAAGCAGGAAAAAAATAACTGCATTTGGTATGAAAGATTAATAAATACACCTAGATAACGATGAGAACCCTGAATCCGTTCTTTCCTAGTAGTTGTTATTATTAATAATATTAATGCATAAAAATATTTTTAATAGTATATATAGTATTATTATCATATATTACTACACAACATTTTATTATATATTATTATACAAAACATTGCATTAGGGAGGCACCAACTACATCACCGCCCTCTGAACTTTTTGCTTGCAGCATTGACATGGTGAGGAACTAAAGACCTATAGCAATTTAGGTCTGAAAAGACAAACTGTAAATAAACAGGTAACGAATCTCTCCTTCTAACTGAATTTAATGGGAAATTTACTCACATTTTGGTGACTTTGAGTAAATATGCATATTTCAACATCTTTGGGGAACAACCTGTAGTTATAAGGATGAGTTAAGCCAGCACAAATCTAAAAAAAGTGAGAAGAAATGCAAGGAATGTAAGATCTCTCATTTATTGACTTTTTTGGTGTGCCAGATTAAAGGAATTCTTGTATAACTCACATAGGGGTTTTCAGGATGGTAACCAAGTGTAAAAGTTTGAACTGTTTCCTCCACCCCATTTATCAAAACTTTTGTTTCCAATAAATAGTGCCTTTGCTTTTTGTCAACAGTAAATGTCTCCTGCAGAAGGAAGCTCTGCAGAATGGGGACTTTAAAAGGATGCCTGGAACGGAACAAGGAATAAGCAAAGTGTAAAAGATCTTAATAGACGACTACAAAAAGAAATCATGCAGAGTTCAACTTGAACTCTAAAATTAGCAGTTGCAGACACCATCAGGGTGTCAGGTACAGAAGCGAAACACACAGGACCAGGACCTCTAAGAAATTACTAGAGCATAATTACAATTTCATACAAACTACACACATTTACCAGATTTTCTGATAAACAGTTTCCATCCTGGATTCAGGAAAGGCTTGGAAGCGCATGGGACAGGGTGATGCTCTAAAATTCTGACATGCATAACCAGCACATCCACTTTATACATCTGCATGGCCAAGACTTCATTTCAAATAGGGAGAGTGTCCAAAAGCTTGTGGCAGCTGTGAAAATCTCACCTATCAACCACATTTTATGTTTTCTGTAGAAAAAATATCTGCATGCCAAGAATCCACAGATGTTCAGCCACCACATAGTTCAGAGTAGTTTACTATTTCAGTGTAATGTTTTATGGACTTTATGAAATATTTCTGCATAGTTACTTCATTGGATGTCTTGGAAAAATGCATTAACTTTTACAAGCAGACACTGGACTGCCTTTATACATGTTAGGATATCTCGTACAGCTCTTTGTTCTTCATTTATGTATTTTTTCCATTACTGAAAAGGCATCCTATGTTTTTTTAGCTATCTCCAAGATGCACAGTGGCTCCTAAGGGAGCCTGTGCACTCCTGTTGACCCTACTATGCCTTAAGAAAGCTGAGATGTCCCCAGAGGTGATCCAGATATCTCAAGCCTGAGCATACATTTTTACCAAGGCCTCCAACTTATGTTTCAATAATAGGTAATGAAGAAAGAAATTTCAGACAGCTAATATCTAGAAGCAACACACTCATGCTCATCAGGAAATGGAAATGTTCCAAAATATAAACAAGACCATTTGTTATGTGTTTTAAGAGGGATACCTCTGGCTTTAGAATGGCTGTATTAATCCTAAGGCCTAAAAAAAAAAGGCATCTGGATATCACAGAGGATCAGATCTGGATTTTGGAACTTCTCACTACTCCAACATTTGGACACACCACGAATCCTGCTGTATTCATGAAAGGAAGCTATACACCCAACAGAGTTGCCAACAAACATGTTGCTACAGTACACATGGCCTGTTGCCTTTGACAACTTTGTTCACTACCATTTCAATAAAGAACGTAAAAGCTAATGGATGTAAATAACCAGTCCATGAAGCTGGTGTGCTTGAGCAGGTTCAGAGCACCAGATGTGAGGAAGCACAGGCTTTGTGCATGTGGCACTTCTACTTTGTAAAGACCAGAACGTTTCCCAAGAGCATCCAGATGTACATTAAATTTAGGCTAAAACATTCTTCAGACATAGAAATAATATACTACTGAACCTGAAATGGAAGGTTCCACGTTTCTGATAGAGCATCTTTTTCTTCCGCTCTTCTATCTGACCTTCAAACCGCAGCATGACAGGCAGACTTTTATAACCTTTCCATACAGTCTTCACAGAAAAGTTTGTTGTCTTAGGCTGTATTCAAATCATGAGACCATAAGGGGAAAGGACAATTGCATCAGATTTACTGCATTCATATTCAGGAACATCAATATAGAAACCCCATTGTTCAACAGGCTGCAGAGAGGCTGTCATTGCACAGATCAACCCCCTTCCGACTCAGTTTAAATCCTGATCTCCATTTACACAGGATTAAAAGTGACATTAGCAGAAAACTGACTTCAGCAGAAGACAAATGTCCTATAACGAATCACTTGAAGGTAAACTATTTGCAATATAAGCAAACTTTAACTCTGGTACCAATTCATTTACACACAAAAATGGATTGGATTTTCAAAGCATGGAATGCTATGACTAGAAAAGCACTTGTTTTAAAACATCCTGTAAGGAACTAACCAAAGTAACTGATCAAAGTATCCCTTTGAGGGACAAACTGCTGATTATCCTTCCTGTGCTGCGGACATAAAGTAAAGCATAAATTAGTTTAAGATTGGAAGGGATGTAAAGGTTAAAATAGCCTATAAACCCAGGCTGTTACTATCCTCACTAGCAGGCAAGATATTTTGATTCTCCAAGACAGTAGAATCTTCCACACCTGCCATGTATCTGCATCAAAACATAAGTAATCACATCTACAGCTGTCTTTCTACCCATGTAGCCTCTCTTTGTCCTCTCCTCCCTGACTTTCTGCCTGTAGTTGGCCTCCCAAATTGGTGAGAGGTACTCAAAACTACACCAGCCAAGTTTTTGTTTGTTTGCTTTACACCGCAGGTTGCCAAAACAGACAGAAATAGAAGCAACACTAGAAGTGTTTAAGTTTCAACACTAACAATAACATCTCTCAGGAAGATGGCAGACCTGAAAAACACAGTGCTGAACCAAATAAATTGCATTTATATTTATTTCTTACCATTGGCAGATTCTGATAGCTGGCTGTGAAGTTAAATTCCCATTTTGTACACTTCATCTTAAAGCAGAGAAATTTGGCTCGTTCATTATTCTCCAAATGAATCTCATTCTTCACAAGCTGATTCCACAGAGATATCACTTCACTGTAGCTATGCAGAACATTCCTCCCAAAATGATTAAATGTGGATGCCTTAAGAACAAAGATGAACACATTAGTCTGGCTGAGTTAAGACAGACAGAATCCTATTGTGCCAGCAGCACAGCATGGAGGGGAAAAGAACACATTTTCTTGGAGACAATCATTACAAGAACTATTCTAAATAGTGTGCCAGCTTTTTCATTATCAAAATATTCTGAATTGCCATGAAGATCTCAAAGTATATTTTATCCCCTCTAAACAAGGGAGACAGAAAAAGCTAAATAGTTGAAAAGAAAATAGTTGATGAACATTTTTTTTTTCTCATTCAAGAACATTTCTCACAATCCTCTACACTGTGCCTAAACCAGCAGTGATCTAACAAGGGAAAGCTGCAGTTTAGAATAAAGGAACACCTTAAACATAAACCTAAGTTAAAGACTTAGACAAATGCAGAGGATTCTAAAACAAAGGCAAAAATTCCAGGCTCTCATCTCATTTATACAGAGACAGATAAGAAGTTAAGCTTCTCCAAGACAACTCTACACTTTGCATAGTGACAGAGGTTTATCATATTGCTTAATACGCAGCAACTGTGATGAAATCAGTTTTAAAACTCTACTGCATAGCACAGTATAAAATAAATTAGGAGCAAGATTAGAATCCATAGACTCAAGGCACAGTGATTCCACTCAGTGTATATTTAATAATTTTATAGAAAGTGAAAGAATTCCAGTATAAAAGAAGATTACACATTGAGAACCTGCTACTGAAGGGTCTTTCACACATTTGTGAGAGACCGGAGTCATTCCCTAAGTCACAACAAAAGAAATAACCTTTCATTTCTCAGTATTGTTCTGCATCACAGAACTATCCAGTACTCTACCCTGCAACAGGATTACCGTTTCTCCTGCTGAATCTGCTCCTATTGCAGAGTTACCTGTAGAAATACTTACTCATTTTGTAGAAATACAGTGGGTTAAAGATTATCAGCAAAAACATCTGAGTAGCAAAGGTGTTGTTCTGCAAGATCAGAACTCTAATAATAATAGAGCTCCAAATACTCATGGAAAAGTTTTACAAATCATATCAAGAGGCAGCAAGTGCCATGAACTACATGGCAGCCTACTGAGCAGGATACTCCCCAGGAAGAGGTGGGTTACATTCTTCTCAAGCAGAGAATGCCTTTAAATCTAATGCCTCAAATTTAGGTGAATGCTGTAACCACTGGGATCTTCATTTAGAAGTTTGGTTATTGTTCTTCCTACTTTTTAATTTAAAGACACTCTCAGCTGTTTCATAAAACTAAGGAACTAGTTTTAAACATTTCTTACATATTGATCTAATTCTCCTACTTCCTGAAACTGTTAGCTCACTGGCCAAGGGGGAGAGGGGGTAAGCAAGGGAGAGAACTTTAAGATAGTATTTGTATACTCCTAGACAGAACTCTGCCATCACATATCTGGGCTTTGTGCAGGGAGTGATGGACTCCCGTTCCAAAGAGGGGCAAAGGTGGTGATCCTAACATTTTTCCAAATATAATGAAGAGACCCTGGCTGTGCTGATTTGGTTGCCCCAGAGGAAGAATAGCTTATCATTTAAGCACAGAAAACAGACAAACATAAGCATTTCAAGATCCTCTCTTATAAGTTGGCACACAGTGATTAAACAAGCTATTTCACAGAGCATGCTAGGCACAAGTTATTTCAGTATGCTGATGGTTTTGTTGGGTATCTATCACAAAGCTCTATCTCCAAAGCCATACACTACAGGAACATCATGTTACTAACCTGCAGGTATGTAGTAGCTGGTGTGTAAATGTGAACTTTCCCTTCCTTTTCATTGTCTTGATCTTTGTAGAACAGTTCCACTATGAGATTCTTGATGGAGAGAGCTTTTCCAGTTGTCAGCTTCATAGTCAATAAGTAAGTAGAATGGTGAGACTGATGTAGTTTGTGAGCTGCATACAGATATAGCCATGGGGTGTCTATATTTAATCCACCTGGAAGGAACACATACTAAAGCTGGGAGAAAAGTGAGATTTCAAGCTACCTGGACTCTGACTCCGCAATAAAGCTGGGAAGATGCTGGGGTTTTGGAATGAAGCTAAAATGCTGCTACCTATTCTCTTTGAATTTTCAAAATCTCCGGATGCTATATAATGAAAAATGAAATAAATGTCCTTCACTAGCATAACATATCACACAGTGTAACACATAAGGAGGTTTGCTAATAAATGGAAATTTATGAAGTCCAGTACCAAATGGCACCAGGAAAGGGTTACACTGCAGGATCTGGAGTAAAATGTGAAATCTTTACCTGAACTGTAAGTCCGTAACCATTATTCACAAAATTACAATAATGGCCTTGATCAAAGATGTTCTGACATATGCCAACACAGAAATTCATCTCTGCAATACATACATTTTGAACAAGATTTGTAAGTTGTTTTGGAAACCAGTTTACAGATGGATCAATGTTTAGATCTTGCAAGTGGATGAAATTTTACTAGTGGGCTGTTGAAATTTTGCTGGCTATCTATCAAATTACACCATTCACTCATTGCAATACAGTTCAGTAACTCATTATTTTATGACAGACACAAATTAATCTCCAAATTTTTAAAACTTCAAAATTAATCTAACCTTTGTTTCACCTTAACAATCAGAAAAACATCCGTTAATTCAGTCCACTGTACCAAGCCAGGTGTTTTGCATTAACAAGGATCCCAGTTTTAGCTCATATGGTGTGCATTAGATTTGAAAAAAGTACTTCTCAACAGCAAATCTACACACTGACCCAATCATTGCATTGATTTATACAGCTTCATCCACTGAAGCATAAATGATAGTGGCATTCAATCCATCTTAACTAAATGTCAGAAAAGTGATTTTTGGCACACCACTGGTAACTTAACCCCTATTTGAGAAAGAACTCTAAAAAAGTAAAATACAGCTTATTATTATAAAGGCCTACTCCCTGCTGTACTTTAAGAAGCAAAAGGTCTAAGATAAATGTGATTTTTAAAAAATATACATACATATACAGAAGTGTTTAATTTATAGCTTAAAATACACCATTAGAACTCTTCTTAGTGTCCCATTTTCTGATATTCTTAAAACAAACATGACCACTTTCTGAAGAATTTTTTTTAAGACATGGTTCACTTTTTAGTCAGTTATCTCAGTCAAAAGCTAACAGGACATTACTGGTCTACATTAGGAGCATCGCCATCAGACAAAGTTATTATTCCCCTCTGCACAGCACAGAAGAGGTTATATGTGCAACACTGGATCTGGTTTTGGAGCACTCAGATCAAGGTGGATGGTGAGAAACCAGAAAGGCTACAGCAGAGGGCTGCTATGATGGTAAAGGGCTGAGACAAGAAGACCCGTGACAAGAAGAGCGGGAGCTGGGCTTACTTAGTCTGGCAAAGGAACAGCGGAACCTAATGGCTGCCTACATTTAACTTGAAAGTAAATAGGAAAGATAATAAATGCAAACCCTTCAAAAGAGGTGAACAAGGAACAATGGCCACAAATTACACTTGGAGAGGCTACGAAATTGCTGGAACAGGGTACCTAGCTAGGCTGTGGAACATTGGAGATTTTGAAAACTCAATTAGACAAAGACACAGCAGATGTGACCTACTGCTAGGATCAGTCCTGATTCAAGCAGGAGGCTGGTCTAGATAGCCTCTAGGGTGTGTCTCTTCCAACCAATATTTCTATGATTCTGTTATACCCCTGCAAGACCACCTCACAAAATCCCAGCAGCAACTTTCAATGATTGCTTTTCTAATCACAGACTGGAAATAGTTTGTGGTACTTCACCTTCCCAGTTCTTCAGACCATTTCTGGAAGCGTCTTTCCATTGCAGCCCAGCCACAAATGGCATGTGGTCATTATACTGCACCTCAAAGCTGGTGCTGCTCTGCAAATAAACCTGAGAGTTGTGTGAATGCTGCAGCTGGGTTCTATAATTCACCTGTTTTTCCAGGACTTGGATGGTAAACTGGAAAACAAGTGAAACCATTTAAATAAAAACAGGATCACACACACACATACAGAATAGCAGGAAGGCCAAAGCTAGTGCCTCTGCTCTGCACTTCTGACATTCATGTTATATATTTTCATGCATGCTGACCAATTACAGATTGGGATTTCTTTAATATGTATTTGCTACATCTACTGGAGATTCAAAAAGAAAATTCCCACTGATTTTTAGACCATTTACATTGCTGGAGAAAAAAAAAAAAAAAAAAGAAACCATAACTCTAGGTCAGTCTATGCTGGGATCACAGATAAATTCTATGCTTACAGCTGCTCCTTACAGAAACAGAATAATGACAACCCACCTCAGAAAACTATTACCTATTCTAATAGAATAACAGAGAAGACCAGCAAATTCTAAGTAATAACACAAAAATATACAGGAACAGTATACGTAGCTCCTATAAGAACTTTCTATAAATAAAACAAAAGATAACAGGGTATGACAATATAAATAATTATTTTCCTTCCTTTTGTAGCCCATAGAATGTGCTTCAAAAGAAGGCATAACTCCCCGCTGAGGCTTTTAATTATACTTTACTATATGGAAAAACTTTTTACTGATTCAGTGTAGAAACCAATTTATAACAAAAGCACCAACCAAACAATCAAAAAAATTAACAGGTCTGATCTTAGTTCGGCTACTGCATTCCATATCAACTTCCACCTAAATGCTGTAATTCTCAGTTGTTATAACCTGCACACTCCTTCCACATTGTGTGACCAAAGCAACCTTCATAAATATCTGAGATCATTTTATATGCACAAACTCTGAAAGAAATTCAGACCATACTACACTCAAACATTTTTAGTATTCGAAAAATCCATCTACTGGCTTTCTCTTGTATGTTTTAAATGTCAGTGATCTCTATGTGCCTGGGTTAAGACCTTACCCAACTCAAACTTTTTAGGTCTTGATAACTGACTTACATGTTTAATACATAACACAGTTAGAAAAAAAAAAGTCTTAATAAATAAATTCATCCCATTTTTTTTCTTAGTTTGCTTGTTAAATATTTGAAGTGAAGGTCTTACTCTTCAACTATCATGATTACCTCCATGAAATAGTTGACTAGAGATGAACTGGAACTGTTCTTAAATGTTTGGCTGATCAGCAGTTTCTTTTTGTTGCTTATTTCATCCCAGTGTTTCCCATAGTTCACTTCCATCCGGGAGGAAAGCCAAGATGCACTTGCTTCATGTTTCAGGTGAACCTAAAGAACAGAAAACCACCTTTTTCCTGTAAACCATGCCTTCTCTTTTATTCACTGCTGTTAACTGCCTGCAGAAATAGTCCCAAGTAGCAAGCAAGACTAAAGCAGAAAGGGTTACAAATTTTCCAAAGAAAAATCATGTTCCATCAAAAGATATAAATTCAATGTACAAAGCCCAAAATGTCTAGTCTGTGTGCTGCCAGTCAAACTGCTTTTCTCAAAAGCTAAGGTAATGGGACTCAGGTAATCCTGATGAACTGCCCCACATGGATTCACTGTGCAGCTGCAAAGCCTGGCAAGATCCTGCTTCATGGGCAATACTAATGCTTCTTGGCTTCAGTCCAGCTTGGACCAAAAGCAAATCTGAAAGAATACAAAAATTCCCTTTAAGTCAAAAGTTTATTTTTTAGTGAGCTCTCTGTTCTGAAACAAATACCCAGTATTCAAGGTGATTTGCCTATAAAAGACCTTTGTCTTTATGCCATTTGTAAAGGAATAAATTTTAGACAGATCTGCTTTTCTACACAAAAGGGTCACCCACGCTGAGTTTTCTAAGAAAGCATACGAATCTGAACCAGAAAATTAATACAAAACATGATTACAAAAATTAATACAAAATGCCTTATTTTCCAGACATACAATTTGTGATGAATAAGCAAATGAGTTCCTGACTTCTAGTTACAAGAAGGATAGAACAAGATAAAACATAAACTTACTAATACTATTGTTTTATATAAAACAAAAATTTTCACAACAAACATGCAGAAGTTCTGTGAATTAATACATTAAAAATTACATCACTGGAAAGTTCTCTCAGCTGTAATGGACTGCACAAATTAGCAACTTGACTAGATATCTTTGTCTACACAGAAAGCAAAGAGAAACAAGGTAAGAAAAAGACTGATCCAAAAATGACATCTTGGGCATTGCTCTGTTTAAGCCCCTCATTATGTGAGCTACACAAGAGTACTCAGCACACAAGTACATAAGTGCTTTGGTCAGTATCTCTACCTTGTGATTATAGGTCGGAGTCTGCATACAGTGAAATTCATGCCCAATATCAAGTTTGTACACGCCACGTGCACCTGTCTCCACTTTAATCTTTTGCCGCATACTGCACTCATGATGAAGGTTTTTTGCCTCTCCTGTTCAAGTTAAATCACAAAGTTACCGATTCAAATAAACCAGAAGTAAGCTTTCAAAATGTTAATAGTAAAAATGTAGTGATGGCTTCAAGTTTTCTATTTTTCAAAACCATTAAAGTGAGATTTGTCTGTTTTTACTGATATATACTTTTTTTGTTACCACTCAGTTCCCAACATCATGACATTACATCACATTCATTATATCTTAAAACAAAACAAAATGAACTTCTAGACCTTGCGGTCACTGAAATAAAGCTTAAAATAATGAATATGCAGTTTCAACCAACAAGGAGAATTACTTTTTTCCTTTTTTTAAAAATCCAGTACTTTTACAAGGAATCACTTGCTGACCACCTCAGCTAGAACAGTTAAGCTCTAAGTATGTAATTTTATAATTACATAGCTATAGCTAGACATCATCTAATACTGTTTTTAAGTGTTCAGGTACGTTTCTGTTTGTCCGCATAAAATACTCTGATTAGCATGCCATTTTTAACAAAATGATGGGGTCGTACCTGTGCAGATTTAAGAAAATTTTACTATTCATATTGCTACATAGTCTCTCTGAATATGCAACATACTTTACATAAACACCCTATAACGCTTATCATGACTAGCTACAAACAAGTATTCAATACCTTGATATAACTGTATTGACATTCACCTGCTTTGTCCAGTAAAATTAATGCACAGTTCTTATACTGGAGCCAGGAGAACAGAGCCAACAGTTTCCTAGAAACAGTGCCTCATATTTTTAAGTGTATGTATGCAACCATTAATTTTGTATAAATACCTGAGAACACAAATTAATTAGGAGCAATTCCTATTGAAAAAGTGATTTTTAATCAAATGTTGGACATGTTTATGAAAAGCACGTTACAAAAATTCACTGTTTTTTATATGCAGACTCAAAGAGTAAAGTTTATCCAAGTGAAAAGAGAAACCTGTCCTAGGTCTCAGATCACAGTTCAAGTATCAACTGAAATCTTTCTTGTTAAGAGAGTGTCCTAATCATACAGGCAAATAAGTTGCAGAAAAATGAGACAAACAGAATGCTTTTACTTTCACTCTTTCTCACTGTACCTAGGAGTCCATATTTTATCCTCAAACCATGAGACCATAAGCCCTCATGTTGCTGGAGAAGATCAATGACGTGAACTCCAAGAACACCTGGAAGGTAAGCCTCCCCTTCCAATGAATATTGTCTCAGCTTATCACCAACCTTTTTCTCCAGAAATGCTACAAAAAGAGTAGAAATGATTATGCAGTGGTAGAACATGAAGCTACTTCAGATAGTAAAAGGAATATTAGAGTGTAAAAAACACGAATGCATTCAGTCTCATCACATCTAAGTGAGGAACCCCATGATGCACTCCTCTTGTAGTAAACAAAAAGACAGAGCTGGACATTCAGTCTTTCTCCAGCTACATATACAACCTGTAGACTGTATTTCTCAAATACTGCTTCTAGTTTAGGGAAATGAATCCAGCTAAAGCTGCTTCTATGAGGAAATAAATTCTAACAGACTGATCTTTTAATTAACTAAGACGTAACGTGGATATTTACTCCTACATTAAGTCAGAGCACAGTTGTGGCTTTGCAACAGAGGAACCGGTACAGCCTAGTTCTCAGAGGATAACAGTTTGAAATTGGACAAAAACTATTTTTAGATGCAGTCACTGGCAATCCGTATGAAAGCTAAGGATGAAGATTTCACCAAAAGATAACCTCCCCAAAACCAAACTAGCATTCTAATTTCCTTAAAAGTTAGTTTTATCTGAAAATACTGTGTAATCCCATGACATTTCAGTGTTTTTGCCACGTGGAGATTACAGTAAGAAATACTAAGGAATAAAATGAGAGCCTTAGACTTAATTTACTAGTTTATTCCACTGTATTAATTTACCTTTTAATGAACTGAGGCTATACAAATAGTAAAGTCCTCTTTCTGATACGTGCCCTTATATTTTCTTCTTATTTTTTCCTTACAAATACAAGATTTTTAGAACAAGGGGTCTTAAGAGACATTTAGCTACATATATGTCTCTGCATTGTTTTGTACTAACAAAAGTGAAAACCAGAATATAATCTAGACGATGTCATTGTTTTGGCATTATTTTGTTAAGTGATTCCTTACATCTTATTTCTTCCACCCTCTTCAACAGTAATTGAAAACAGACCTAAAAAAAACGAATTTAGAATTCCCACTACTCTGAAATATATTAGTATTAATTTATCAAGGATAACCATTTTAAAAAGCAGCCTTACTGATTTGAAAGGAACTTCAGAAATATGTATCCAAAACCAGGCAACCCTAATAAATGAGCTCCAAAACTTATATTTATATGGCAAATACTTATTGGCCTCTAACCTGAAAGAAATGCAGCATCCTTCAATAAATTATTCAGGGATACTGAAAAAGCTATCTTCTTGCCAAGTTGTTTGGTGATGTTTCCTGACAGAACGACAGGACTGCTTTGCTTTATCAGTTTTACCTCCAGTTGGGTCATGTATCTGTGTTCTCCACTCAGTATCTGCAAATCAGTCATTCCCTTGAATAAACAAAAAAAAAGAAACCCAAAAACCAAACTGAAGCCACTTAACAGTACAAATTGATTAACCTTTAAGAAAATAATAGTATAGACTTGGGCATTTCAGAAATTAGATGAGAGGAGAAAGAAAAGAGATTTTTTTTTCTATACACCTAACAACCCCCTCTCACCTCCACAGACCACAGAACTTGCCACTAGTAAGTAATGGGGAGGAAGGATGGATTTGTTTTTCCAGTTATACAAAAATCACAATGGCGTGAGATGCTATTTCCTTCATCTCCTGCTGGCTTTAATAGTAACTAAAATTAGTAAGAATGGTACAATACTGGGCCAAAAACCAATACTGAAAATACTGGCAGTCTCACTGAGGTAACTAGATGTTGGACTAGATGCAAATGCAACAATCTGCAACACTAAATAGTGTTTGGGTTCATGAGAAAACATCCAAAAAGTTTTTGTTGAAGTATTACTTCAACATTTACAACAATTCCTTCAACAATTACTTCAACATTTACAATTTGCAAAAAAAAAATTGTTAAACAATGTTCTCACTTTTGGAAGATAAAGAGTGTTTGAAAGCAACTGGCTTTGGAGGCCCACATAAGCCACGGCATCCTGCTATGTGTATCAATGAAAAAATTGTTCAAGTCCTGAATATAAACAAAAATGTCAGTAGAGTTTCAGTGATAAACTACCACCTGCATTTTTGTTTGCTTTTTCAAGTTCAAAAATTGGCATTCTCTTGTTTATTCCCCAGTGCTTTAAAAAAAAAAAAAAAAAAAACCACAACAATTTCTGTGATATAAAGAACAGTATTTTACGAGACTCTTACATCGATAGAGTCCACAGGAGTGAAGAAATGAGCCTGGACTTACTCAAGTCTTTATGCACGGTCAGAATACAGGTCTGAAAAACTGTGTGACTGCATATGCACATAATGAGCCAAAGCCCACTGGAGTCAATGTAATCTTATCTACTGACTTAACACTGGAAGCAACCCAAAGGTTTTGAGTATATCTAAACGTGAAAAAATTGCTTTAGATTACTTGCAGAAGCCGTGCCTTAAAAGCTTTTAAAACACAGTAATTTAGCACTGAGTCTATCTCAAAAATATCTAATAAAGAGAACTGTTAATTTCTCTGATGGATTGCTCACAAAGCTATTTTTCTGTATGTGTGTTTTTCACAGCTTTTCTTTTCTGTGCTTTTATTTAAATATTTGTCCTAGTATGAGAGGTCACAAGCTGAAAACATACCTTAATATAATATACATCTCGGTCATCTACTATGAGCTCCAGGTGTCCAATTCGTGAATTTTTAGAAAACTCAATTCTCCCTTGGAGAAAAAAAAAAACTGTTTACTTTTTCTGGATATATACTGTTCAGTGATGCTTCATAAAACTGTACCCAAAATGACAGTTCCATTATTGTAAACACTATGTTTAACGAGTAAAAACATAATATCAGAGCAAAGGAAAAAAGTTAGGAACAGAGTTTGCAAGGGCACTGAAGTGTCCTCAGAATACACATCTCATTTTGAAGGGACATTCTGAGAATACTAACGGAGAAGAAGCAACAAAGCTGTCTCCAATAAACCAGATTAGGTCTGGAAGTGATTTATACACTTCCTTTAGGCCTGTGCTAAAACTTTCAAGCTGTGTTGTGCTGTGGAGACATTTCATGAGCTCAAAACACTGAGCATGCAAAGCTTTGCACGTGCAATCCTCCATACAATCCATTTGAAAATAACTAGAATTAAAAAAAAAAATAAAACAATTCTGGAGGGACAAATTCTAAATATGTGATATGGTAGAATACATCAAAACAAAATAAAACCAAACATCACATGGCCAGTATGTCAAAGAAGCTGAAATATGTTGCCTATATTATTACCTTATATTTATCAGTTTATATTTCATCAATGTGTTTGTTGATTTTGTTTTCTATGTTACACTGTGATTGAAATGTTACTTTTATTATAATGCACAGCAATATCATACTTAATTGATTCGGCAACAAGTAATTCCGTATCAGAACTAATAGAATACAGCAAATGAAAATTCAGGAATACTTCGGCATATGTAAAAGATTACAAAACAATCCACTGTGTTCCTTAGCCTTAACTTCATCTATACTGGTAACAGCTTTCCTCTTCAACGTGAGTTTGTGAACCAGATACTGAACTGCTACCTGTGCAAAATAGTCTTAACCAAGATGCAAAAAACCACTGGGAATGGGTGACCTAAAGCAGTAAACTGAATGGCTATCACACAATAACATAGTTTCAACATTAGATTATTGACTGAAATATATTGATATTTCTCTGTTAATTCTAATGAAGTTCTCCCAACTGACATTAACTGATGATTTGGTTCTTAGCTGAAAAACCTACCATCAATCTTGATTTTTTTTTTAGGTTGTATAAATTGAATTCTGAATTTCTTCTGTGGGATACTAAAATTTAGGTCAACACCAACATCCCTTTTCAAGTCTGACTTTGGAGTCCCAATGAAGAAGTGAAGGACAGCTTCATTTGGGATCCATGAATCCTCCTGAAGGAAAGAAAGGATAACTGCATTTGCAATTGGCACAGCATTTACAAAACAATCTATTACACTGAGTTACATCACATGATCATAGCCACCTTCACTGCTACAATAATTTTTCATTTATCTGCTTTTCAAGATTTTCAACAAGAAATGTGTATTTTACCCCGGCTCTGGGTAAAATTCCCTGTGTGGTGCTTGTCTTGGGAAACACTATCTGGACACCCTGAATCTCACAGCATACTGACCGTATGTACTGGATTTGTGTGCCAAGGTTTTGGTAGCGTGGGGGCTACTGGGGTGGCTTCTGTGAGAAGCTGCCAGAAGCCTCCCCTGTGTCTGACAGAGCCAACACCAGTAGCTCCAAGACGGACCTGCCAATGGCCAAGGCCAAGCCCATCAGTGATGGCAGTAGCACCTCTGTGATAACATACTTAAGAAGAAGGAGAAAAAAAACTGTGCAAGGGCAACAGCAGCTGAAGAGAGAAGTGAGAGTATGTATGTGAGAGAAGCAACTCTGCAGACATCAGTCAGTGGAGAAGGAGGCGGAGGAGGTGATGCAGAGGCTGGAGCAGAGATTCCCATGCAGACCATGGTGAGGCAGGCTGTCCCCCAGAGGCCCAGGGAGGTCCATGGTGGAACAGATCTCCACCTGCAGCCTGTGGAGGACTCCACTCCGGAGCAATTGGTTGACCGAAGGAGGCTGTGACCCTGTGGAGAACCCGCACTGGAGCAGGCTCCTGGCAGGACTTGTGGCCTCATGGAGAGAGGAGCCCACATTGGGGCAGGTTTGCTGGCAGGACTTGTGACCCCATGGGGGACCCTCACCAAAACAGTCTGCTCCTGAAGGACTGCACTCTGTGGGAGAGACCCACACTGGAGAAGTTCACAAAGAGCAGCAGCCCGTGGGAAAAACTCACGTTGGAGAAGCTCATGGAGGACTGCAGCCCATGGGAGGGACCCCACACTGGAGCAGAGGAAGAGTGTGAGGAGTCCTCCCCCTTGAGGAGAAAGGAGCAGCAGAAACAACGGGTGATGAACTGACCACAATCTCCATCCCCCCTCACCCTGCACTACTGCAGGGGGAGGAGGTAGAGAAATTCAGGATTGAAGTTGAGCCCAGGAAGAAGGGAGGAGTGGGAGAAAGGCAGTTTAAAATTTGGGTTTATTTCTCATTACCCTACTCTGATTTTATTGGTAATAAATTAATTTCCCCAAGCCAAGTCTGTTTTGCCTGTGACAGTAATTGCTGAATGATCTCTGCCTGTCCTTATCTTGAACTATGAGTCTTTCACTCTATTTTCTCTCCCCTCTCTACCTGAGGAGGGAAAGTGATAGAGCGGCTTTGGTGTGCACCTGGCATCTTGAAATTATGTTGAATCCTGCCAAAAATCATGGAAAAATCAGACCACACTTGCAGTTATAAATTTAAGCTCTGTAGCTCAGGCCTAAGTGACCAGCATTTGGCAGAGCTGCTTTAATCCCTTACACTCCGGTGTCAGCAGTGGGATATGGTACACAGCACCATGATCCAGCAGTGGGTGTCTGTCTTGACAGTTTTGGCCAGCCTACAGACATCAGATTCTCTGGCAGAGGAAAATGCCTGTTCCCTTTCCTGCTTTTATTAATTAGAGAGTCAGAAAACCAAAATAACAATGGGAAAGTTACTTTGCTTATTGCACGCTTATCTCACTGTCTTAGAGATACTGAGCAGTGTTTGAATACAGCCAAAGCCCAAATTGTCTCCTGGTAAAAATAATTAGCTCAAACCCAGCAGCATACTTGGGCTGTGATAGAAAATAAGACTCCAGCCACTGCCCGTGTTAAACACCTATACTGTCATTGTACAAAAAGCCATAAAATCTTAGTGTCCCCTGAGGAAGCTGAAAACCATTTCTTCCCCAGGCTTGTCCAAACAAATATATTAAAACAACAGCCTTCTGAAGTGGAATCACTGGAGCCTAACTTCTGCTTTCAAACAAGGTGTTTAATGTAAGCTAACAATCTGGGGTCTTGAGGTTTTTTGTCACAAAGAGAAACAAGTCAAAGTGAGGCCAAGTTGTTTACTACTGGACACCAAGACAAAAATCCTGGTCTCTACTTCCAGCTCTATCTGTCTTATTTAGCCAAATGACTTTGTGTGCACCAGTTTGTATATGTAAATGGTATATATGTACTATCAGCATCAGTAATTTGTTTTCGACATATCTTCCTACCATAATGGGAATAGAAATAATAATATTGTAGACCTTGAAAGCCAGTTATGTTGAATATACAGTACTGAGATATACCATTCTTTCATTAGCAAAATAAACTAAAAGGCAAATTAAAGCATGCCATAATGGTACCTGAGGAATATAGTTATATGCAGCTTCCACAACGTACTGCTGCAGGCCTCTGTCTTGCTTAGTTAATGTGACAGCCACTCTCAAAGGTCCAGTAAGGGGGAAAGCCAAACCGCTGGCTCGGTCAGGATACGACATTTCAGAACACAGCTGCCAGCCAATAATCTCAGACACTGGTGGAAGACAACAGTCAAACATTCAGTTAAAACAAAGAAAATATGCAAAGGAACACTGCACTGAAGACCTTTTAGAACTAATATGTAAAAAAGAAACTCTACTGAATAAAATGATCTGTTATAGATATTTCAGAATGATTAAGCTTTCTAAGACAAACATAATAGCTAGACTCACCATCCTCTCTAATGCAAGATCTGGTTTCTGTGTGGTCTTGGAAAACATCTGTATCTTCCATCTCATCCACCACTGTGAAGTGCAGCTTAGAGCTACGACCAAGAATTTCAAATGGTCATTTGAAAACAATTATGCTAAAGTTACAGAAATATTTAAACAAAATTCTCAGTTATATGCTATCTTCTCCCAGACTGGAAAACCAAGAAAGATGAAGTTCTGCTAAGCTCAGCCTACATTTCTACTAATTAGCACTGATTTTTATCCAGTTTCCATGTTTATTCTGTCGCTATCTTGAGATTCTTCTTCAGTTCTTCACAGCCAGTATCAGATTTCTCCATTCCGAGCGATTTGGAATGGCCAGTTTATTGCACCTCCACTCACTTCCTGGCTTCTAGGCATTTATTTTGTATTCCCTTATGGTATGTATGGACATCAGTTTCATTACAGTTCTTTCAGAACTTCAGAACTTCACTAAACTACTTGTACAAGAATCACTTGATGAGAGCAAGAGTTAATGCAATATCTAATAGAGTCTATAGTCAGTCTTTCATTCAAATAAAGCACAATACAGGTTTGTAATTATTTTAAGTTTCATTCTGGTCTGTCATCCATCCTAGCTGAAAGAAATAGAATTATATCAGTAAATTTCCCAGAGTCCTAAGGGAATGGATGGTTTAAATGCGAACTCCGGAGCTTTTTAGCTCTTTTCTGAACTACATATCTATAGTACCACAATGCCCCAAATAAAGAAAAACACAAAGGAACAACAATCCACATACTGTAAATACTTCATTAATCTGTTGTCATGTCTAAGAGGCATGTAGTTGACATGTCATTTACAATATGTGCCTTCTGCTTGGATTTCTATCAAATCTAAAAGTCCAAAGAAAAGAGCTAAAAAGTCTAGCCTAGCATGCATTAAAACAATTAATTTGCTTAACATCTGACAGTTGTTGAGGTGGTATTTTACACGGTAATCTTTACCTAACATTAAAGAACCTAACTAAGAACTCCCAAGAAGGGTATGAGCACACGTTGTTAGTACTATATTCTAAATTACTCCAGTGTTTTGCTAAATACCAATCTGTAGAAGTAATGCTAAGCTTTTCCTCCACCACTTTAATATCATGAACTAAATTCTTTGGATACTAAAGTTCCAGAAACAGCACTGACATTCAGTAGGAAAAAAAAAGGGGAGTATGAAAAACTAATTTACATCTTTTCCTAAGGCTTTGATTTGAATATATGTTTTTACAATAAAACAATGTAAAACGCACAGAATAATTTCCACTTTCTCTTCTTCTGAATGGCATATTTCAAGTATAAGTCAGACTTATTTTCTACAAAATACATTTCTGCTCTATTAATGAGCGTGCCAGTTAAGTCCTGATTCAATAAAGTTATGGATACTATTTTAGGAAGATGTCCTTGATTAATCTTACCTGAAATTAATTATTTCCATAGATTCTTCTGGAGTGTTCAGGAAAACTTTGAGTTCTCGCCCTTTTTTTACCTGGATTCCCCCGTCAAGACTAGTAGATGTCCTCACACCTGTTAACCAGCTTAGGCCAGCTTGTCCCAGAGTCCCCACAGTTCCCATTTGGACAGAAAGCTGGACAAATGAACTGTTGAAAGATTCAGATACATATTCTTCTATGAAAAGTGCTTTCTTTTTAAGGCACTTAAAGTTTTCTGTATCTCCTAAGTAAGGGATTTAAACCCAGACTTTGACATGAGATATCAGGAAATGGAAAGCAATTAGGATTGAGTATCATAGTGTAAGTTTATATCTGTCTATACAGCACTTAGTGACGTTTAGTAAATGTATTCAGTATGTATAAAAAGATACAATAGCCAAGAAACACAGGGTTAAATCATCCTTTGGTTTGTAGATCCATAACCCGTAATGGCCTGTCTGATCCTGAGAAAAATCCAAATGCCATCTCTGTAACAGGTAAAGCATCCACAATATCATCTGCAAGCAAGCATTTAGGAATTTGATTGAGAGATAGGGAGGAACAGTCGGCTTCAAACAGCACTTCAAAAGCATAGCAGTAGAGTTCAAAATCAGACAGACAGGACAGAAAACCACTGCTGTCCGTAAATCACAGCAACCATTCAGCAATATAAGGACAATGACTGCTTGAGTTCTTCAGGAATCTCCTAATTGATTACAACAGACATTCACACAAAATTTTTGCATCAGGAATTGATACCCAACATCAGGAATATATGAAAGTGACATATTTGCAGCAGTTATTACCTTGGCTTGATATAGCCATTTAGAAAGAAATCCGATTGTTGTTTGAAATCTGCATTCCCTTTGAATTTTATGTTAATTGCTGCCGAGGCATTGACTGCCAGCTGAACAGGAAAGCCTGAAATTGCTGGAAATTGCAATTCTTCAGTGGCCAAACTCAGCCTCTTATTAAACTGGACCTCTTGCCCCTATAGTGAAAAAAACCCAAACAAACAGAATTTTATTTTGCATAATAAACTCAACATTCAAAAAATTTTCCAGATATAACTATCCATGGCATTTGTCTGCTATGAAGTGTTTTTAACTGACCTGATTTGGGAAATAAGATAGAAAGCAGCCCAAAGCCTGCATCTGGTCAGGGCATGAGTTAGACACTAGTCCCGCTCCAGTTAAAGTATTATTTTTCATTTATGCATGGGTGGATTTGAAAGAGAAAACCAAGAGATAAGAACCATCAGACAGCATGTACCGAATGCTGATTAAACCCAATATATACTGGTGTCTCTTAGAGCTCAGTTTAGAGAAACAAGAAGTAATATTTTGTATCTTTTACGTATCTGTCAGAAAGTAGTTTCTCGAGGGATTTACTTTCAAATAGACAAAAAATGTTACTTTTACCTTCAGAAGTTGGACAGCCAACTCAGCCAGATTTAAAGAATAATGTTTCATTTTTTTTCTTAAATCTTCACAATCCAAGAAGCTAAGTTCATTTCCAAAGACTTTCATGCTTAGCTCACATTTCAGTGCCTCCTTTCTCACTGTTCTCTCAGTGAACTGACATGTGATAAAGAAATAAATCAGGAAGAGAATGATGTTACTATTAATTTCCTTTCAAACTTGTAATAAACAACTCCTCAGTGCAGGCTATGATACTAGTGAACAGACATTAGGCTCCATTTTATAAATATTTCAAGACCACTTAAGACCCTGGATTAGTACCTTTTCTTTCCAGCTAAACTTCAACTCCATACCACTACACTGACTTTCACTATGAAGACAGGTAATGTCTAATTCCAAGATGACTAGGCAAAATGAGAACTACTGCAATACATACCCACAAGCGAATGAAGCTTTGAAAAATATGAGCTTAATTGATACATTATGGGTGCCATGATTGCTAAGTAAACTGCTAAGTAGTAAAAAATTTACATTTTCCCTCTTTATGAATTAACACAACAGCAACACAACATGAACACGAGTTTACACTGTAAGAAGAAATCTTAAGAAGATGAGTTCCATGAAGAGAGATGGTCTAAGGCACTAAATAAATCATTGTCCCCAAGTTTTCCAGGTAATACTTCAACAATTGAAGTAAATTCCCAAAGTTTTCCTGTTACATACATAGAACATAGCTCTCTCCAAACATGGCTAAATTCAAAAAGGGTCAATGTAACATCTGACATCAAACTGGGAAGTCAGATCACAAAGAGCATGACTCAGGAACTTAACATCAAGCAGCTATTTACCATGCTGAAGAAGTCAGTAGACAAAAGGATATCAATATAAAGAGGATCAGAGGTCAAAATAAAGAGAGGAAGACCAAAACACAGGCAACATACTCCCCTGGCTGAGAGTCATTTTTTGAGACAGTAAAAGTATCTGAAAAACTGAAGATCTGGCTCTTTGTTCCTTTGTATTTTATTCAGCTGCTAAGTTCTCTGCGAGTGGAACAAGTTACATATGCTTTATGTAAAGGAGTCTCAGTAATACAGAGCAGTTGTCCAATGCTAGATGAGGCCCTAAGTTTAACTGTGGAATGTCGTTAAGTTTTCCAAGATCTACAATCAAGTACCTTTTTGACTAACTCATTCATCTTACTGTACTTTCTACCAGGACAATTCTGGTTAGCTTTTCTCAACTTTGGCTTGCCAGACTTGGTCACAAGATGATCACTGGGGTTGTACTGCTTTGAAGTCATCTTCTTCCTCTTGACTTTTCCTGTTGTTTCCTCTGGGTTTTCTGATTTGTGTTTTTTTTCATTAGTGTTTGCAAAAAAATAGTCACTGAAAGTAGCAGAATTCTGCCCAAAAATCTTCTGCACGAGAGCTTCAGCATTCTCTAATCGTACATCAACCTAGGGGAAAGCATACAGTATTGAAAAGCCTGACAGTGAGATGCATAAGCCATGTCCAGATCTATAGGCAGAAAATAAAGTAATAAATCCAGATGCAACCTTTAGAATTTGTACAAAGAAAGATTTGCATATGAGATCACAGTGGTCTACAAAGTTTAGTATCCTACTTCATGTAGCATCCAATACTGGATGTTTCAATATTAAATCTTCCCAGTAAAAGCTTCTTAGTTTGTTGACTATATGAAGCTCAGTGCAAAATAAAAATCTTTTTTTTTTTTTTTTTTTCAGGTATCAGTTCATTTACACCATGATGGGACAGTTTGAGCTAGTACTATTTTAGCATGTTACAAACAGCATTTTGTTTGGAAAACAATAATGTACCCTTTTAATACTCCTGAAAGAAGATTCTGTTTGGAAGTTTGAATAAAATAGTGTTACTAACACATATACAGGTGCAGGGTATATGACACTGAAAAAAAAAATTTTTTTTTTCCCTTGCAAGCTTAAACTTGAGATCTGAAAGCTACATTAAATTATTTCTTTCACATACACATTTTTACCTGCAATAGAGTCCATATGCTAAACATTGCTTTCTCTTGGAGGTACAGTAGAGGCACAATTAAAGATGATGAGGTTGTACGCAGGCTAATTAAATATCTCAAGCACTGGATGCTCAATGGTACTAAAACAGTGACTTCAGCTAGGTATATATGACTATCTTCTGTATTAAGGGAATGGTTTGCCCAAGCCAATCCATTTTCCACTCTAAGTCAACCAAAGCAATCTTACTACCCTAAATGAGAGCTAGACCACTGTCTCAGAAAGCACTGACTTCTATCTTCCATTTGAATCAACAACAAGAGCTGAATATAACTCACTTGGCTAGTGTATGGTACTATCAGAGTGAAAGTGGGTTTTTTATAAAGTCCGTTACACAAAGGAATCACCAGTCTGAGGCAACTTTGCTGTAGCAGTGAAAAGCATACCTTGCTACAGGAAATGTAATGGAAAAACAAAAATAATTTCTTTTTACTTCAATACACCAAGTGTCCTTTGCAAAGGGGGATTAAAAAAAATAATCCACAAACTTGCCTCCAGTAGATTTATAGCCTGTCCCATAAGGTGAACAGTCATATTTGTCATGACTGATCGTGGTAGAAAAGACGCAGGAGAAAAGACCACTGATGCTTCCATATTTGCACCTGCACCAGCTGCAATAGAAAATACCAGATGTCTGTCATTTGGAGATTAGCTATTCTCATATACTTTGCAAGTCTCATAATTCTTTAGAAAACCACAACTCTACTCATTAAGAAGTTGGTGAATAAAACAGTAAGTCAACAGGTGAAATTATTTAACTTTTTAGTATAGCAAAGACTTTAACTGACATTACTAAAAGCCTACTATCTGGCAAACACTAAAAGAAAAGCATTTACAATACATATCACACACAATTGCACTGGAAGGGATGGACAGAAAATCAAAACATTACACTGAAAAACATTATCTAACATTTTTGCTAAAAACAAATGATGAATAAGTAGTAAAACAGGAAGAAAATAGCCTGAATCTTTTCTTATACCAAGGAAAGCACATGAATCAGAATACAAAAAATACACCCCAGACCTCTGTTGCTGAAGAGAAAGGTCACTAAGGAAGGAATCAAAACTTGATGTTCACAAAAATAATCTAAGAAGTTAATCGGTTCTTATTCTTCTCTCTCAGAAAAGGCAAAGTTGCATGGTACTTGGCTTGCTGGAATTACATTTGATATACTCCATGTAAGGTCAGTGCAGAATCAAGTCTACATTTGCACATCTGGGTACTATTGAGTCATAAAAATTAAAATTCTCTGGAGCAAGATGCAAAGGACCAGAAAAAACATGGGATTTTAATAATCCATATGCTACAAATCATTAAGTTCTAAAACTTCACATACCTGAGTGGAATGTGGCGTCAGAATATGAGGAGTATTTCCATGACTCCTGGTCAAAATCTCTGCTAAGGATTTCATCAGGAATAGAATCTCGAAGGTGCTCCTTCAATGGATCATCTGTCTCCAGGAGCTGAGAGAGATGACTCCAAACAAAGGAGCCCACTTAAATTAAAGGAAAGCATTTGGAAATTACAGAAAATTTAAAACTGTTACTAAAACTGACACAGGGAACCTTTTTATTTATTTATACCAGAATTAATCCTAAACCATTCCCCCGACCACAACAGAATTTATTTTCAGCACTATTAAAAATCAGTCTGATACACCTATATTTACAATAGTCAACTTACTTAAATACTGTCTTATTCTTTCGAATACGGCACATGAGGGGCCCTTCATTCCCTAATTTCATCTATGCCTCTCAGCTAATCTAGGCAGGCAAGGAGGCACTGTTAACCTACTTATTTACTGCTTGCAAAGGATCTTCTACACTAAATTCAAAGGAATGTTGCAAAAAAACAAAATACAACTCTAATACAGACGTTAGAGACAGGCTGGGCAGCTCAAATAATATTGGACTGTTTCTGTTCCTTCTTCAAAGAACAGATGCAACAGAATTATTTAAAAGATGGTTTTAAACTTTAACTTTGGCACCATCACTCATTTTGTTCTTGAAAAATCACTGACCCAGTGTACTGAAACAAAAAATTTAAAAATAAAGTCTGAGATAAACAGCAAGCACATGAAAATCTTAAAATAACTGTTAAAAAGTTTTTAAGCAGGAATAAAAAAAGCCTTTTAAAGGCAAGCATTAAGCAACTTTAAATATAAGGAGGTCCATTAATCAGATATCCTACATGAACACTGGCAAAAACACTGGTGGACTTTTAGGAGAAAACTGGCAATAAAGTTTCTCTACATACAGTAAACAAATCATTCCAATACAAAGAATCTTTCTATACTGTGAAATGTCAAACAGTTGTGATTCAGAATTAATATTTCGGCATGACACTGTGCCGATTCATGGTCTCGCCATGCTTGCACTGTGCTGTGGGGGGCAAACATATTCCATGTGTTTTGGAGTCTGGTTCTTAAACAGAAACTTTCTTTTTCTCCTGAAGATAAAAGATATTAGGCTCCAGTGCTAGTTCAATGCATAGACACTGAATGCTGATACAACTGCATTTTTAACAATACTTCTTTTTCTCATGTTGCTTTTTCTGAATGTGGCAACTAAATACTAATATGTGCGCTATATGCCTTCAAAAGCTCTTGTTACTCAAAAAGTCTATTATAACAATTATTTAGATGTTACATCAACCAAATGAATGAAATTAACAAAATTCATGAGCACTGCATTAAATTGTTTAAAACATACAACATTTTGGAGGGACTTGTAGAGCTCCTTCATTAGTCAATTTATTTTTTCTGCATGGAGCCACAGGTAGGAGAGTCACTGAGAATACACCTTGACAGTATTTTACAGGTAGATGCAATTTCTCTCTGAACTCTGAACAGAGGGGAACAAGTCCGCTCCAAACTATAAGCCATATCACTGGGTGAATACAACACTGAGTCTGAACTCATAATCACTGCAGGATATACCAGTCTGGACATAACATCCTGATAAAATAGATACACAGCTTCAAGTTCAGAGCTGGCTAGGGTCCAGACACATCAGAGTGCAGACAGCCTGCTTTCATCTGCCTGTAAACAATCTTATAGATACCCCTTTCATTTCTGCTCCTTCTTGACAGATTTAAAAGCAAAGGATTAGTCTAGGGTATTCTTTGTTGAATGTGGAGAAATAATTTAGAAAAAAATCCCTCCACGCAAAATATGGTATCAGCTTAAAGATCTGTGTGCTTTGGTAATAAAAAGCTGATAGCATTCTGTACTTTTATAGAACATAAAGTTTCATTTCATACTAGGCCAAACAGCTTCTCCTTCAGATAAGATACTTAAAACAGTTACTGTAAAATTTAGTATAGAAGATTTTCTGCTCAGCATCATTTCCCAGTTCAGTCTCTCATGTCAGTAATCTGGCTAAGATCAGGCAACAATTCAACATGGAACCACAGAAGCAGCAAGCATAAATCAGAAACTATCAATAATTAAGACATTGTACTGATGCTAACCTTTTCCCAAAATGACTGCTACACTGTTGGCCAGCTATTATACATTTGGATATACGATTAGCACCCTTCACAAAGTCCTTTTCACAACATTCCTAACAACACATTCCAGTTCCCACATTTTGTTTTTTCCCTGTGTTGTAAACAGTTTTTTGATGCCATTTGTTTGCCATTAGATCCGCAGTTCTCAAACTGTGACCCTTAGAGAACTTTCATCTGACCCGAAGAATTGCTTCTGGCACAGTGATGAAGCACCCCCCTCTAAGCCTTGATGGTAACTGCAGGAGGCCTTAAAGTTCCTAGGTATCTTAAATCATCTAAACGAAAATCAACAGCCATTTATTTGCAGTTTTCAGACCTGCTTAGTTTCTGTCTAATGCTGTCTTTAAAATACTGCAATCAATATTAAAATCATATCAAGAACACTGTAATATAAATGTAAAAGAGGACTGTATCAAAGAAACACCATGGTAGCGAATCCTTGTAATAAGTACTTGTACTACATCAAGTAAATGAATAGTAAATGTGGAATTTAGGAGCACTGAAAAGGTAATCAAGAAACAGTTTATACCTGCAGCTTGCAGTATTTTTTTCTGCCACTTGCTTCTTTCTCAATTTAACAAAATGCAATTTGCAGTTATCCATTTGTATTTCTATCGCACTAAACAAAGTGGCTCCATGTTTCTTTTTCTCAATTAGCATTTCATTAGCATGCAGCTAATGAAATGTTGCCAGTAGAGGGAACTAGTTCTGTGAAGTCACTGCTTACTGACTATTGCTAAAGTAACAGTATCACAATTCCAATACAAACGGTGGCAATCATACAATTTTTTTAACAACCTGTAAAGTATTAAGATTAAATAAAAATTGATACAGATTGGTACCATTACACCTATAAAGTAAATGTTACATTGCAGTATTATTTTGGAACATATAAGAAGACTTCAGTAGTTGCTTGGCTAACCTTGACTGGATGTTTCTTTCAGTAAAGTATTTTGTACTTGTTTAAATAACTCTTCATGGGGACATTTCATTGCTATATAATAAGCAGCAATCCTTATTTCCACATCTTCACTGGTTGCTTGATACAGCTGAATTAATAAATCATTCTAAAAGAGAAAAAGATAAAAAAGGACAATTATGATTTACTTCCCTACAATACCTCATATATGCACTTTAAGCTACAGGTTGGTTTTTCTTTCTGAAAGAGATAGCTATTGCTTTATACCTGCCAAAGTCACTTCATGCAACATGTATATAAATGTATGTACATATTGTCTATACTACCTTATCCACAAATTTCCAGAACAAACTGCCATTATGACCTGAATCCTATACCAACTAATTTATACAGGACTGTCCGCAAAACAGAGCCTCACTTGCTAGTACTACTGTTAATGATAGTTTTATTCTACCACAGGGGAGAGTTGTTCTATTATATTTCACATGTGCCACAGCTAATACACAGACAACAATGGCTACATTTTTGTCAGCAGGCTATTAAGATCATCACTTCTGGTCTCAATCAAAGGGTAGGCCTGTAAAATTTATTCTGTTCAATACTTTACCAGTATCAACAAATATGAGTTGGTTGGTGAACTGCGAGGAATTAAGACACCAGTGAGCAATACTAGTAACATTTCTGTAGCATTTAACACCCCCAGTCCACCCACAGGGTGTCCCTTTTGCAGTTCATTTGCTAGACAATGACGGGGCGTAGGAGTATCAAATTATTTGAGATAAGTTTTGCGTTTTCTTCTATTAAAACACTAACAAAATGTTCTAACTATGAGAGCGTATTGTCAATCACAACAAGCTTCTCACATTAATACTTAGCATTTCAGAGAATAATACAGAGGAACAGACTATAGGAAAAATCAAGTACTGTGGGTTTTCAGCCATAACCCACACAGACATAAACCACCCAACTGAAGTAACTTTTTAAGTCATCATAAACATCTCAGTCACTGGCTGTGTTACCTCAACTACACCAAAGCATATTATAGGTCCATTCATCAGGGTGGTCCTACCAACCTCTCTAACAGCAGAGAACCTCTGCTGAAAGACATGTTTATGCTTGTTCCTTATTTACTTGCATGTTTTGTAACTGTTCCAGAAAATCAAACCTCTGGGACAGTGCCAGGAAGCCATCAGTCATCTACTGGCAATGAATCACTTACTCTCACAGAACAGGGAATGCGCCTGAAGGCCTGGACAGCAGCTAGACGAATTTCGATCGGATTACTTTTCAGGGAAGCACACAAGCTCAAAGCAGGAGCTAGTGAAGCTGCTGCCAGTCCCGCATTTCCAATGGCTTTTAACACCAGTTGCATCTGTAAATACAAAGCAAGGTAGAATAAAAACTTCCCCACATGTTGTCAGCTGGACCTGAAATTGTATTGAATTAACATTTTCTGTGCAAGATTCTCTGTTTAAAATCATCGCTGATCATCTGGGGGTTTACTGTAGCCCCTATTGTACCAGCTATACTCTGGGTTCAATGTGAGGACAAGACTCATGAGTATGGACGGTTGTTCCAATGCCATGTAACACCTGTAAGTAAAATCTGGCTTAGACCTGGTGGAACACAAAATCCTTTAAAAAAAACCTGCATTGCAATGGAAAAGCAGAAGTCATGGATTTGATGTACAGAAAAAGGTTTTCAAGTCCCTTGATACTTTGTCCCTTTTGATCACAGATATTTTGACCTTTTTAGTGATTCGAGAGTGTTCTGAACACAATAATCAATTTAAAATAATAATTTGTCAACAGATGCCATAATATTACCAGTTTTCTTTGCTAAACATGCAGAAAAACCTGTACAGCTTCAGAGCCCAGAAAGTATGTTACTGCTGGCAATCAATGAATTTTTAATTACAAGCTCTCTGTTAAAGTTTAGAGCCCACTAACTTCAAAGCAATATGGTGCCTGATTTTCCTTTTACTGACAATCCCCTAGAAACAAGTACACTACAGCCAGCACAGTTAAAATGTTTAAAAACCTTCCGCAACTGTTTGGGTCAAAAGAACCCATTCACCATTGGTTTAAGACATCAGGTGGGACATCTCTCCTATTATGCTCTGCATAGTCAGGGAAGTTGTCATAGTCAAAAATACTTCTCCCATGCACCTGTACACTCACTGCAACATGCTGCTGAGTTTCAAGAGCCTGCTCTTCATTCATCAGACAACTGTGTTTCATCAGTAAGTTACAGAACAGTTTTCAAGAAGCTAATGAGACTTGAGCAGTCTTTCTCACTGTGCCCCTCTTCTTCAGTTCCCTGTTCTGATTTACTAATCTCTTGGCTAATTTTAATCAGATTTGTTGGAAGACAAAAAGAGTTTAAAAAAGCAAAGTTTTCTTGAGAACAGGCACTTGGGTGGTTGTACTGATTTTGGCTGGGATGGAGTTAATTTTATTCATAGCAGCCTATGTGATTCTGTGTTTTAGATCTGTGACCAAAACACTGTTGATAACACAAGAAAGTTTTAGTGATTGCTGGTCAGTGCTTGCACAGTGCCAAGGCTTTCTCTGTTTCTTACTCCACTGGCCCAGCGAGCAGTCTGGGTCTGGGTAAGAGGCTGAGAGCAAGAGACATGAGACACTCACCAGTGCAGTGATTCCTCTTTCTGATGGAGAGCACAGACTTTAAAAGATACACCATCTATTCCAATTTTTTCTAATGAGAGTAATGTATCCCCAAAACATGTAAAATCCCTATTCTACCAAAATTAACTAGGAAATTTCATACAGCACATATTAAGAAGCTGAAAACATACACAGAAACTGCAACTCCATGGCTAATAGGAAGACAAAATTTCAGCCATGGAATTTCTTTTGGATTTTTAATCAAAATTTTGTTCATGGCTCCCAATACATAAAATCTGTTTTTTTTAAGTTATTATTTCAATAAATGGGGTAAGAATTGAAAGTGAACAGACTGCTCACACTGTATGAAGAAAAATACAAGTCCCGTGTGTTTAGCTTGCACACTGGAAAACTAAACAGACACAAATATACGAGATAAACTTAGCTCTTGGGCTCTTACTTCTGTCTGACACATTGTCAACAGTACATTTATTCTCTAAGCATGATAAGGAAGAACCAATTATTTCCGTAGATCATCAAACAGAAGATATAAAAGATATTTCTTCAGCAGCAAATGTCAATTAAAGATAAAAAGCTCCAGAATTGTGACAGGAATTACTCCTAACTGAAGATCATACATAGCAACTAAGAATAATTTTCCTCTCCTGTGAGTCTCCCAATATCGTGACTGACTTACAGCCTGTAACACTGACTCAGCAGAACTCATTAGCCAGCAATAACACAGCTAACACTAACTATACATGAATTTGAGTCAACAAAGGAACAGGAAACTTCCATCAATGTGCCATTTCACAGAGGGGTGATGAGTGTTCTTCATACTGATCAACAGCATGAAATTTGCTTCACCAGAAGATCATACGCACAAGAATGCCCATGCTGATAGATCACACTTGTTGATCTACAAAATTTTATCTGCCCATCTTATCAAAGAATATATTCATTTACAAAGTCTGTATTCATGGCTTTCTGGAAATCCACTGAATGACATTTTCATCAAACAAGTTCTAGATCATAAAGGGAATAGAAAAGTATTGTATCATATGCTTCTGTATGACTGATACCTCACTGAGTCGTTCTGAATCTTGCACAGTACAGTTTCCTCCCAAAAATTTCCCAAGAGTCCTCATCACGCTCTGCACAGCGGGTACACCATCACAGGAATTGTAAGATGAACAAAATCTATGTAAGAGAGCAGTTACTCCTAAGAAGCAGCTCTGGCTTGCTCCTGGTGACTTCAGCAAAGGCTGTAAACAAGCACAAAAAGAACAGAGTGTTTCAGAAAAGTCATTCTCATGATTACTGTAACACAACAGAGAAAATAAATGTATTAAAATATTTACATACTAAAACACAATCTCAACAATGCATATTTTCAAACAGCCCTTAAAGGTTTTAAACAAACAAACAAAGAAGGACAACCCTGCAGAGATACAGTGGAGAGCTCTTCCACCTTTGCATGTAAACATACAGGCTAAATTACGTCAACATGATATAAACCTCAGCTATTTTCACAAGAGATCATGCCCTGCATGCTTAGAAAGGAGTGTGAAAACAGAACTAAACTATTTTCCAGGACCCTTAAAACAGTAAAACCCTTACCAGTACACAGTTTCTCTAGCAAAAAGCACTGGGAGCTCAGTAAGATATAGGCAGTTTACCCATTTTTAGAATGAAAATTAGTTTTTCTGTCCCATAAGCCTGCAAATTCCAAATTCCCATATCCTCTGAAGCAAGTCTGTTACTGTTGAAAATCCCACCACTGCAACCAATGTTTACGAAGCCCAAATGAACTCAAGATGAATTATTTCATGCAGATGCTGTGGAAAGCATAATAACACTGAGAGCTGTTTTTTGTAATCCTGGTCAGAACCTGTATGATGGGGAACAACAGGTTGTGATATATTCTGCAAGATTCTCCATGGCTGACCAATGGTTCATTAGCACACAAGCCAGGCATGCATAACATTTCACTTAATTAAAAAAATATTCTTAATGGTTTATTTAAGCTACAAGACTATTTATGATTTTACCACCTAGAACAATGCAGCTTCACAAAAAAACATAACAAGTCCAACTTCAGACTTTAAGGACAAGACAGATTACATTGTACAACTCCAGCAGAACAACAGATCTTTAAAGGAAAAATATACTATAAAATGGAGCAAGTATTACTCTGCATACAATTAACTCAGTTAAAGAAAAACATCAAAAGCTGCAGTAGCGCTGCATATACAAAGCACTGAAATTACTCCAGGTGTTAAATACAAAGCTTGTAATGTAGAGAGCATAGAGCTCTCTATCCAAAGCAAGGAGTAGCTGCAACAGCATCATTCTCCTCACACTGACCTCACCTTGAACCTCAAAATTAATTAGCCAAACCAGTCTCTGGAGTCCACAGAGTAGTTAACACTTCTTTTTTTTTTTTTTTTTTAAAAGTCTCTAGGCAAATGCAAATCAAGCTCCAGTGACCAAACATGACTGCATCCTCTTTTGGAATCTAGATTAAAATAGCCAGTAGTTTCACTACCCAAATTACCTGGACAGACAGAACTTTGTATAAATCTGTGGAAAAGACTATTACTGTAAAATACAAAAATTATGAGCCAGCTAGATTGATGATGAATTTTAAAAGAAAAAAGAACATCCACTCACAGCAAGAGATTCGATCATGCCTGAGGTGGGTTTAGGAATGAATGAAAATGACCAGAAGAAATATTCCACTTTGTCTTCCTCAACTTCTCTGGAAGTTATAATTTCTTTCATTAGGACAACACATGGCTCTGTAGCACAGGATGGGAGAGCATCTGTTAGTGGCTGCCTGCAACACAACAAAAAAGTACAGCAAATATAAAATGACTAGAATACTCAAGAATGAAATCAAAACCACATTGAGGTTGGGCTTCTTTCAAAGTAAATAAGAATCCACTGGCTTAGCAAATGCCAGATTCCACAAAAATCAACATCATCCTTTAGTTTAGTGACCTTACAAAGATAGGCCTCAGACAAGATAGGAAGTATACTGATGTTTCAAGCACTCTATGTAATTGGGCTTTTAAGAAAATACTCAGTTTCCTTCTCTGAAAATGAAGCCAAAACATATCCCAAGTTTGACTTCTAGAGACTGAGGTACCTTAAAGCACTGATTTGTTGTTAAGGTGGGGTTTTTTCTTTCATTTCACCAATAACAAATGAAAATATTAAAACTGAATTGACTAGATTTTACTTCCTGTGCTTTTTTTAGACCTTATCTAAGTGGAAAGGTTACACCAGGATGATAGACAATAAACATTTCAGCTCTTAAGAGTCCCTCTGTAAATATTCTGTACCTGTCTCCTGTACTGGTGGATAGACACTTCTGCATTAACTAGGAAGCAGTTAAACTAAACTGGGTAAAAGCAGTTGCATCAGAGGAAGAGAGTAGTCTGCATGGGATTCTTTTTAGCTGCTAAAGTTAATAATCTTGTCCTGAGTAAAATGAGTTTAAAGTTAATATAGAAAGAGGCAAAGTAGTTTAGATTACTTTCTAATATTGAAAATATTAGCATGACTATTTGTCAGAAGGTGAGACTAGGACTAAACTAAAACAAAATTTGCCTCCTTCGCATGAAGTAAAGTTTAAGATACTGTTACAAACATAAAACCTGGCAATAGATTAAACAGGCTGATGACATTTGGTACTGAAATAAAGTAAAAAAATTGTTTCTCCGTTTATACTTTTCAGAATATTGATTTCAGAGGGAGAAAAAAATTTTATTGATTTTAATAGTACTGGATTAGTATTTCTGAAAGTCTCAAACCATTGGATCAGAACTATTCCCAACTGTAGAGAAGTGAGGGCCTTGATCTTTAAAGCGGCAGTTCAATGATGTGTATAAACCATGCTGCTGGAAAGGCTGCTACCAAAAGATGTGTCTCCACCATGTCCATAGTCCCAGCCTAACATTCATATCCTCCCTGCCATGAGTACTAAGGGAACTGAAGGTACCGATCCAGGTAAGCTTTTTCATAACAAAAGGCAGTAGATGCTTAAAACCAGCAGCATTGATTTCCATCTAAGCCATGACTCTAGTTTCCTGTTCACATTGTTCCTGAAACAGGAAGTCTCTCTTTGGGAATAGGCATGAGACAGGAAAGTCTATTTTGTACACAACGTACATTCAGTAAAGAATGAAAATCATCCTTCTGTCATATAAACAAGATCTGCAATACACATTCTTCCTCAAAAGTGCTCCAATTTCAAATCCAACATTTGGGCATGGATTTAAAACATTAATCTATTTTAAATATTTACAAAACACTTCTTTCCTATAAATATATATTTTTAAATGCAATTACTAAAGGGGCCTTACCAGTTGTCTCTGCATTTAAATGAAGATCTTTGCCATAGTGCTTTTAAGGCCTCAAGAGAAAGATGTCGAAGATCAAAGACTAGAGTCATGAAAAGGTCTGCAGTCTGTAAGAGAGCACAACAACAAACGTTACAGCTGTGCAGAAACCAGCTTTAGAGAACAGAGCACAAGAGACTTAACGCAAGAGTAAAACCTCCTCTCTTCCCTGTGCCCCTACCTTCCTTCTCTCCCCTGCTTTCCTGTTCAGGCTGCAAATAGGCAGAAGGGCTTTCACTTAGGATGTCAGTCAGTCCCTCAAGCAACAGTGGTCAGTGACCACTGTGCACACCACTAGCATACAAATGAGCGAGAAACCAAAATGCAGCACTGTGGTTACAAACCAGAAGAGAAGGCCATAATCTTCTCTGAGTTTGTACAGCAAGACCCTGATTTATGACCAGAACTGCTGACATAGCTTTAACACAAAATGAAATAATATAACTCCATACTAGTCTTAAGTTTATGAGAAAGATAACTTAACTGAGGTTTGGACAACACATAAAAGTTTTGCTTGAGTACCTCTGGTGCTGTGTGAAAATATTCCATTTTACTGAGGTAAAGCCTAAGCATAACTGCTTTTGCCTCTGCAGGCAGCACAGGATTAGTTAGAAGTGCAGAGAAGAGCTGTTCTCTCTGGCTAAACTGAATTGCTACCACATACAGCAGCTATTTTACCTGCAGTGCATTATCACAGACACTTTTCAGTGTAAATAAATTCTAGCCCTACATTCACAAACTGCCTCTTGCTCTTGTGGAAAAAACTGAAAAACTTACTTTAGGGCTACTTCATTGCAAAACTTAGTTCTGTTTAATAAATTATTTGCATGTGCACGGCTGAAAGAAATTAAAAGCAATTCAGAGCTGACTCACAGTTTTCTGTGAAGTGGACTTTTACATTTTAAAAAAAAAAAACACCTCTCCCACCCTCCAATTAGCTTATATGGCAGTATCTGTTTCCTACCAGCTGAAACAGATATTTTGCAGTAACTACTGTCTCAAGGTACTTTTGGATGTGTATTACATTACCAGCAGCAATTTTTATTTTCTAAAATGTGATGCTGGGAATCAAATTAATGAAATATTAAATTGAATCAAGTACTTTATCAAGACAACAAAAGCCTTTCTATTTTTATGCAGTACAAACCCTCCTGCGTCATCCTGACTCAAACCAGGCTCTGTATTACTTACCCAGCCTATCCTCTGCTGAGGAAGGAGGATCTTTCCCCCTTTTTTCAGATTATTTTCATTTGCACATACACTATTCATCACATTGTTATTCTGGCCTCAGTAGAAGCTTTTTGGAAAACAGTATTTTAAAGGCTAAACAGCATGTAGAAATGTTCCTCTGAGACCTGATCCAAAGTTCAAGAAGGGACATAGGCCTCATTACTTGAAAAATTAGCAAAATGTTAAATACAGTAGCTGGAATGTTCGTTTTAACCTAACTTTATAATATACAAGTTTTAAACATGGTCCCTGTCATACAGATTCACTTCAATTCTTTATTCACTTCAGATGTGAAAGGTTTAGACATGGGAATACTGCTCTGGTTCCAAAGAAAACATTTTCCTTTGTGTAAAAATAATACAAACAAAGTCTCTTTCCACTAAGTCACATTTCCAAAGGTCCGGGGAGAGACCTACTTTGACTTCCTGACCTTCCTTCCAGGAGCTGCTTCCAAAAGCAATGAAAAATTGGAATAACCCAGAGCCAGCATGTGATTTTAATTTAAGACTGCCAAGACATTTTCAGTAAAAAGAAGCTGTCTTTCAGTAAGAAGATGGAGTTATTTCTTACCATGTTGTTTGACAGGGTGAGGGAATAATTCATCAGATCCAATACAACCATTGTTTATGTTTTTGTTCTCTTGGGACTTCTTTCCTTTTTAGCAATAGTATATTAAATTTCATCAAATTTAATTTTTTTCTCATACATGAAGCCCTATTTAGGTATTAATTCCAATAACATTTATAGTTTCACTGCTAAAATTCAGTTAGATTCACATGTATTCCATTCTATTCCATTCCATTATTACCTTTAATGTCTCTTTTAAAAAGAAATTACCAAATCCTGAACACTATGGGGCTAGTGACACACATTATATTTCATGGTCTATACAATATTCAGAGAACTGTATTTAATTACGTTCTTCAAAAGCATTTTTAAGACACGCCTTACATGCATTTTTACACATGCAAATACACTATGGGCAGCATGATTAGGGGAGCTGGGCAGTCTCACAGATGTCATCACAAGGAGCTGCTGATGAGCTCAGGTGGCTGCTCAGCTGGAGGCGATAGCACAGTTCAAGACAAAATTGCCAGACTGATATATTTCCAGGTGATACAGTTTTAGAAGCCTGACTTTTCTATGACATAGAAGCTTGATTTTCCTTCTATCATCAGACTTACTGTAGCTCTATTTAGAAAAAAAAAAAAAATCCTCTGAAAGCCTAAACATGGAGTAGTTTAGATTGGAAGGTAAAGTAGTAAAATGCTTCCCAATAAAGTGTTTCTATTTATGTTATATATACAAACACCTACCTTCTGGAAGTTTGACGCCTAATTCGCTGCCAAGTATAAGCCCATGTAATCACATAAGGGAGGTTGCTTTGAAAATTTGTTCAGTGAACACCTTTGGTTTTGCCTACTAATTCATGTTTTCAATGAAAGTGTGAGGCTGCCTCTCCAGTAAATTTAGTATATCTCTTTGGAATTTCATAGCTGCCTCTTCTGTATGGAGCTTCTGGTTTTCAGCTGTCTGATTTCTTTTTTCAACTATACATATGTTAAAGAACAAGTGATTTCCTTGAATTTAAGACAAAGTGTGAAATCAGATGGAGGTGACACACTCTTCTCCCTGAAGTCTACTAGTTGGACTGCTATGGTTATTCTCTCCCTGTCACGGCATAACTACCCTTCCTTCTGATCTCATCAGTTCTTTCTTATTTGATTTCTTACCTTGTCATCTAACCTTATTTCACCCACACTTTCAGAAAGGATGTAATTGTGCTTTGTCATGGACCAGGTTTAAGTGACCTAACAGGCCACTCCCAATACTATCCTGTAGGACTTTCCAATTCAAATCAGGCAAAGATTTCTGTTCCTGATAAAGTTATTATTACAGTCATACAGAAAAAGAAGAGTCGAATTTCAAAAAGCAAAACCATACACGTAACTACAGTATCTTAATTCATCTTGATAATCCTCCTTAGCTGGGAAATATTCTGTTAATACTCCCTACACCCACAAGTTAGAAACATGCAAATCCTAACACCCAACTAGGTAGTATCTGGCAATTAAAATGCCTTATAAGAAAAGCAAATGGTGAGACCATGCCCCAAAGGTAAACTCTTTTGGGTCTGACTGGGGTACAGGAGTTGGGCAGAGTGAATCTGACGTACTCTTGCCCACACTGCTTAATGCATACATAGTCACATTCACCAGAGCTACCAATCCAGCAACAAAATCTAGACAGCAAAATGTAAATGCAGCCCCCAGCAGAAGCTGTGTGACAGGCTTCCTTCAAGCTTCTCTTCAAGTGAGGGTCCCTTCTCACCATCCCTTTGACCATTCTTTGTCAGTATGCAGCTTGTTCACTTAATGGTCCATTAGCTAATCTACATTCACACAGAAGTTCAATCTTGTCTCATAATAGCATTAAAAAATTAAACACCAACTTTGCTTCCTTGGAAATGACAGTCTCCACCCCCATTTTCTCATCCCTTCACTGTTTTCCCTGGAGTTGGGGATTTTCCCTTCCATTTATTCTTGGTTTTGTGTCCTGAAAGAAATGCATAATCTTGCCTCATTCAGAGTCAAACAATAAGGGGACAAACAAGCTATACATGAGTAACAGCAGAGCTGTCTCCCAAGCAACGCTGTGAGCATTCTCCTAACTTCTTTCCTGGCCCAAAGGACATTTTAACAGTTGGAATAAGGGATAATAAAGATCCCCTTTGAAATGTCTTGTCACACAGAAGGAACACCCTGAAACAGTGAAAATGTCTGACAACCAAATGAGCCCTGTGCTGGGACAGGCATATGATGAATAATTCACCTCTTTTTTTAGGCAGTGGCACAGACAGCAGCCACTTGTGCTAATCTTAGTAATCTACAAAACAAATTTCCCACACATTAAGCCAGTTGGCCTCTTTGGAGACAAAAGTGACATCTCACTGTTACTGAGAAAAATTGTCTACCATTCTTTCAAAGACACTGAATTATGGGTGTTCAAAAGAAGGTAGGATTTAGAGAGAAAGTTTCTCAGGTTCACTGCTGTAATTTTTTTTTCAACATTTTCCAAGCAGTACGTAGTCCTCTCGTCTGTTCCTAAATGCCATTACACAGTGCTGTTACAATGACAGCCATATAGAATTAAGCATTATCATACCCGGAGAGGCTGCTTTTATTCTACATTAGCAAGAAGCATTATGTTTATGGCTCTTTTAGCTCTCTACAGCGCCAGTCTCCCTAGCATGCTAAAAAAGATGGCAGACTTGCTTATAACTCAGAGAGAAACCTATCCGAGATACCACCATCCCAAAAGGCCACCTGCTGCTTTCTCCTCAGCCCTGTGCTGAGTTCTTTGTCAGGCTGCGATACCAGGTCAGAATATGATCACCATTAAATAGGTTGGGAGTAACTGGTAGGGTTGTAATTTATCACAGCTGACTGAAGTTGCCCACTTCAGCTGTTATGACTGTGATCCTCCTCCACCCTGTGTCTTTGCCTTAAATCTCATGCCACATTACACAAACACCTCTTTGTGCTCATTAATCACAGCTAAAGCTGAGGAAGGTGAATATACACAGTATATTAATTTCTGAACAGGCACCAATGGCCTGCAGAGCTGTAATCCAGCAGTTCACTCTTCCTCAGTCCCCATAAAGACTGTACTCCATCTCCCAGTATCTCTGTGTCCCCCAAGGAAGAGACAGCTAGAGCTTTTGTTCTTTGACATGGAACTTAACCTAGACAAAGAAGTGCCTTCAACTAGGCTAGGTCTGAAGCAGTGTTAACATCACTTGTACCCACGTGCATTTACAGGAGACATCACAGCCCCACTGCACAAGAAATAACCTTGCTCTAAAGTACAAGCAACATAACAAGACATGAACATCAGAGGACAGGGAATGAGCTGACTAAACTCATCAGTGGCAAATTCATGGAGGCATCAAGGCCCTGTTCAGTGCTTTCCCCATTAGACCATACTTGTTTTCTAGTAATATCCTGACCATGAATGATTTAAACAAGAATTGTGTTCCTCTATTTTCAAATTTACATTTTCTTAATGTTGTTCTATGTAAGAATTTCATTATTAGCAAGAATTACTCCATCTGAAGGATAATGGGATATGAAGTGCCCTGTCTTTTAAGTCATTGCCCTCAGTTCATCTCAGGTCATCAATGAATAAGCACCATCATCTGTTGATCCTTCTGTATTGTATATAGCAGGTGTTCTTGAAAATCTCTGAATTTCACAGAAAATAGGGATTTTCATTTCAAAGACAGTGAACAAATACTAACTGATCCAGATGCTGCCAGTATCAACAAGACTTGTGCAAACTAAGGAGACAGGCAAACCCTCAGCTAGAATGATGGCCATCATAGGAAAAAAAAGCCACTGTATGTTCCACATGACCAGATTATTACACCCTGTCTTAGCAATATTCACCAGTGAAAATGATTTAGGTAAGAAGAGATCCCTTCTGGACCCAAGCAGCATCCCCACAAAACGACAGTTATTACGAGAATTCATCAGAAGCACACGGAACCAACCAGCCAAGATCCAGAGGCAAGGGTTTAATGTGCAGACTGTTTTGACAGGATGAGGCAACAAGAGAAGGACTGCAGAACTCCAATAATCATGGAAACAACAGCACTGCCAGGGGTGGTATCCCACAATTAAGTTGTAGAAAAGGGGATTTACAATTAAGCATCAAAATCATCAGTAATAATCCAAACCAGACACTTTTTTTGTTGTTTTTCCACAGCAAAACAAAAATTTGGAACATTTTCTTTCAGGTTAGTTTAGAATACAGTTCAAAATTGCTTTTGCCCAACATTCAGGGGCCATATGACGTTTTGACTCTTCTTTTCAGTTTGATTTATTGTTTATACAGGAAAATGACACTTTAAAGCATTTCATCTTCATATAATTCCACATTACAAAATGCTCAAGACAATGGAAGGTTTCAGTATTTCAAGATTACTGTTCTCCTAGTCACCTCTTATTTGTGTAGAACTCTCAGACCACAAAGGTCCTTACAAGGAAACAAAGGTTATATGTAAAATCTTACCTCAAAACTTGCACTATGTGCCAAGCAAAGCTTCCACACTAGTTCAGTCACTTCCCCTGCAGTGATTTTCCTCTCAGTTTCTTCCCTTTCATAGAGCATACTGGTCACATACAGATCCTCGGGGTCCACTGGAAAGACATAAGGAAAAATCAAGTATCTGGTGGTTGCTGGGCATTTGCTATGTTTAGCCCTAAATACTAGGGGAAAGTTTCTCTCTGAGCCTCTATTTCTACATGTAAGAATCTCTCTAGTCTCAGTAAAGCCATGGATGAATATGAATGCCTGCAGTCAGGCTGAATTTAAGAACACAACAGAACAAAGGCCAAACAACAAGTGTGACCTGAAAAAAAGTCAGAGAAACAAGACAAAGGAGATACACTTGAAAAAAGTCACGCTTTCCATCAGTATACCTCTTACAATGGCCCTGCTACTTTACATTCATTGCCCTTTCCAATTTTATCTAATCACTTGCTTCATCCCACACTTCAGCCTCCCAGAAATTCAACAGATCTATGTGCCAAGAAAAATAAACAGCTCAGCTCTTAACCTCTTCCTGAGGAAGAATCTTGTCATGGTATGTCGGCATAACTATAAACCAAAAGGGTCCTGGAAATTTGAATTTTCCTTTAAAAAAAAAAAAAAATAGAAGACGACAAAAAAAATAATACAAAATGTTTCTCAACATTTAGAGCTCAACTTTAAAATCTTTCCTCAGGCAAGCTCCCACTGATTTCAGTAAAGTCATTCTAAGGAGAAGCACACAGAGAAAAGAAGGAGCAAAAATTAAAACAGTTCTCAGACACGGCATGTCCTTAGTTCCATTAGGACTTGCAATTTAAATAGTTGCATTTGTACTCCATCTGTACACACACTAGGAATTATCTACCGACACAGGAAGGCTGATGCTCTGTTTACAAGGGGGCTAGGTATATAAAGTAGGTAAAAAAGATTTGGCTTTGGCTGTTACAGAAATCTATCACTTTTGGAGCCCCAGCCAGCTTTGTTATAGAAGGCTCCATCTCCCAAAGAAGGGACAGCTCTCAGTAGCCCAGCCTGTAAAAACATCCATTTTTACATAGTTTAATACATTAAAGGAAATATCAGGTGCAGAGTTCTCACAGTCAAGACGCAGTCCCAAGACTTTTCTAGAAAATAAATTTCATTTATTTTAGCAGAAACATCATGTTACCTTTTTTGTACAGCGTCTCTGCTTCCACTTGAAAGAGTTCCAGTGAAGATTGTGTCTGTGTCTTTGCCCCACTGCCCTTCTGAGAGAACAGTGTAACAAGGTTGGAATCAGCACATTTAGCCTCTGTCAGGACCCCATCCTTAATGCTCTGAACACATTCCAGTTTGGAGGACAGGATCTGCTGCTCAGACTGAGAAGAACAGATACTTCAGGTAAACTCTTGGTGACCAATGGCAGCCTGCCCAATCCTTTCTCTCCCAACTTCACAGAGGATTCCACTTCTGTGATATAGTGTGAAGTCTCTTGCCTAGACCTTTGACAGCCTGTGGAGGTTAATACTCTCTTTACTTGCAGTCTAATTTTTCCATCACTGAAATGCAACTGCTACTAACTTGCAGTGTCAAATGGTCTGAATTCATTTCAGTTCACAAAGCATCAGCATTAAGCAGATCTTTTTGATCAGCAGAGTTGAGAAAAGCAAAAAGCTGGTAATTTATGACTAGCTAGTATAATATGAGAAACAAGTAATATTCACCTAATAAAAATGGCACAAGATAACAAACATTGACTGTATTTGCCATGAATAGTAGAAATCTGTAAACTTGGCTTGCAGAAAAGCTCCTACCTTTCCAAAGTATTCTACAAAGAATAACTTTGCATAATGTATTTCTCTTATCCACATCTCTCTATTCTTCTCTTTCACACTCTACTTTCAGTTTCCCACTATAATATATTTTAATGACAGAGTTTAATCCTGGCGCCTAACAACCTCTTGCATTTATACTATAATGTTCATCAACTACAATGCAAATTTGCGTTAAAAACAAATTCTGTGAATAACAGGCATTACAGGGAAAATAATATTAGCAATTTCTTTGCTAAGGATTCAAGTTTGGGCTGACACACACAAATATAAATGAGCATAAATGACTGTTCAAAAATGTTTTCATTTACATTATGACTCTTCAAAGAGATTAAAAGGCCTTGTGGAAGAATGAGTGTCATTCCCCAACACTTACTGAAATATGAGGAAGAACAACAGACTGCACAGAAGTAAAACCGGAGTACCGATGAGAGCAGAGGTTTAAGTCCCTTGTCTTGACAAGAATAGGACCTTTTTGCTGATACCTGGTTGGGCATATTCCCAGAACATCCACCTAGTAACAAACATAGTGTTGAATCACACATGCACACATACAGTGCGAGCAGGTATTATGGGCTGTTACAATTAATTTTAATATTGCTTTGTTGTAATAACAATGCAACAAGAGATCTAAATTCTCCCTTGCAGGACACTGGCTTTGACACAAAAGCCATGGAAAGGCAAATAATTTTGAAGACCTTGGTCAAACTTTATAATAGCCTGGGTTTGTCTTGTCTAACTTCACTGTGTTATTCTGAATCAGATCATTTACAGATGCATGCTTTTTCATTTAACATTTTGTGGGTTTGCAGGGCAGCATTAATTTAGAAGAACATTTCTACTCAGAAGAAATGTAATTATATATGGGTGCTGCAAGCCTTATTGAAGAACATCTATTTAAGCACTGATTATGTAGCAATAGCATGAGAATGAGGTAATGTACATCATGCTGAAGGTCAATCTAGAGACTACTCTTCACAACAGAAGTGCAACCATTGAGGTATCTCAGCCACACTCATGCAAACACATGGGTGACACTGGGGTACTCTGGACTATTATTTCAGAGTAACAGCAGAACTTAGGCTTAGGTATTAAAAAAAAAAAAAAAAAAAAAAAAAAAAAAGGCAAAGAGCCCTGAGAAGCCTGATCTTAAGGACTCCTGAAATTAATGAAATAAGTCATGATAAACAATCATGAATAATTAATATTGTATTTTCCCTGGAGAACAAGTAAACGCAAGCCCTGGTGTTACAACTCCTCAGAGAAAACTGCAATACACAGCTTTTCCTCAGGTAACAAAGTAATGGATTCCAGCCCTTAACAAGAAAGCAAATCATTGATAATTTCATAACATTCACTACAAAAAGCAATCAGACAACCACCACTGGCTGCTGCCCAGTCACCAAGTGGCAAAACTCTCTAATTACTTAAAAAGATCATAGACTTCACATGTACAAGGGCTAACAGCCACCCTAGAACATGACTCCACTGACAGTCTCACCTCTTCGACAATTGCACTAGCAGTGGATGCTTGTGATGTCTGCAGGACACTGAGAATTCCTCGCTTTATATTCAGTGCCCAGGTCTGTTCACTCCTCATAGGACAGAGCTTCAGAACTTTCCCATCATGGAAAGAAAAAAGAAGAGGATGCTGTTCTAGTATCTCCCTGCAAGAAAATAGTTTATAGTTTCTTGTTTCAAAGAGTGACTGTAAATCAGTTTATGGCATTAGACTCAGACTTTCTGAACAGAGCTGTTCCTTCACAATGGATGTCTTACTCTGTATCTCTATTCTTTATGGCAAGATTCTATTCTTCGTGCATTCACCCTGACCCTAAGTGCCCATAAAACAAAAACCAAAAAAATCCAACCCTATCAAGATAACCACAGCATCTTCGACATAACTGTAACACTTAAAGCCAACTCCTGCTAAATTGCTTACAATTAATTATACTTAATGGCAATGATTGTTGTTTAATGTAAGAGGGAAATTCCATTTTATGACTCAGGGTGCCTTTAGCATTGGTAAGCATGTCTCAATTGCAAAGCAACTGCAAGTACTCTCTATCGTTCCTCTTCAGCTGTGATACACACAACAGCTGCTTTCCTATCAACTCATATCTTCCTGCTCTGCTAGGTGAACATACCTGGGCTCCATCCCAAAGTTATCCTCCAGTCTCTGTTGTCAGTCCACTCCTGGATTGCTTTTGCTATCCCAGATTGAGAGTACAGTGCTTTCTAGTTTTTCAGGAGATTACTTTTTAACACTGATTTTCATTGCTAACATAATGTACTTTAAACATGTATTTCCCCTCTACCTGGGGAAATATAAGCCATCCAAAGGAAGAATTCTACATTAGCCCAATGGTCAGCTGCCATACAGGGAAATACACAGTTCATCTGCTTATTAGCTGTGGAACTAACTGTTCATCTAATCAACCAGGTCACAAAGACAATGTAAGAGAAAAACTTTTAATGCACCAACACTTGGATAAAGTCTTTCCAAGAGAAAAGACTGTGCACATGGGATAAGGGCTTCTGAACTCCTAGGCTGCAGTGGTTGTTTTTGCTACCATCTGTGGAAATTACATGCATGTTCAGAGGACAAGCTAGACCACTGTATATTTACAATAGGCTGAGGCAAATGCTAATAAGGTTCATTCATCTGAATAATTATTTTCAATAGCCAAGCTTCACTGAATGCTTTCTTTGCTACCTCTAATTTTTAGCTTCTCTACCAAGAACAAGACAAAACTGCTCTTACCCTCTATGAAAATCCTACAAATAATTTCACAGAAGATGTGCCTATACTCTGATTTTAACTCTGATACCACTACCCGTACTGTGGAACACAAAACTCTTCCTGATGAATACAAAAAGCAACACATTTACTCCATACTTGCTCTTTATGACCCTTTGAATTGAGTCAATCACCTCAGTTCTCAGTGTCCTTTAAAGGCTGAGAATCCAAGTGGCAGGACAAAGAGGAAGATTACAAGGCTGAGTTTAATAAGACAACAGAACTGCTTTTTTTTGATGACACAAGAAGCATCAGCTCTCTGGGAAAATACCAGACCTCCACTGTTTGAAAGAGACCTTTTTGTATAGGCACCTTCACTAGGGTCTATGCCTTTGCAAGTCAGAGGGAAACACACTACCATATGTTATGGATGAGCTACTAAAAACAAAAACATAAAATTACATTAGATGAATAAATGCAGTCTAAATATCCTGGAAGAAAAAACACATTGTGCAGCATCAGAATCCTGCAAACCACGAACTTCTGAAAGGTACTTCAAAACTGAAGAGTCTGTACAAGTAACAACTGCAACACAGAGAACTAGTGAGCAATCCATACATGCTGCTAGCCAGCTAGAGGCCTGATAATTTGTACCCAGAAGTTTTAATTGTCTAGTCTCCAAGTATTTTTACATACAAAGGGATGAAAATTAGGTTCAAAAAAACCTTTTTGGACCAAATGCCTCTCATGTTGCTGATGGTGCATGTATCTCAATCCTTCCTTTTTCAATTAAAAAAAAAACACCAAAACCCAAACCCAACTAAAACTAAACAGAGTATGAAACAGAGTGAACAATGTCCAGCCAAGCTGCTGCAAAGCCATCTAGCTTCAAAAAAGTAAGAACTAGAGCAGATTAGAAGTTTTTCTACCTTAGATTGTCCATTTCCTTCAGAGGCTCCTCTCTGGATGCAAGACTTTTCTTAATCTGTACATCTTGCACCTATGAGCAAAGGTTATAGAGAGCAACAAATATCATTGTCACTAGGAACTTGTGGACTTTATCACATAAGGATATCTACATTGAATGTCACAGACTATGAAAAAAGGCTGTGTGATAAGCAATACAACCACAATAGCCACATCTTCAGGTTGCATATCTGAGATGGTTTCCAGAAATTTCATCTACAAAGAAGTTTCACTCACTACTAAATACATTTTATACGGTACTATTATATCCCTTCCATTTTCAAGCCAGAAGCAATCACCTACTCTGGGGTAAAGTAGGAGCCTGGATAACCATAAATTCTTTCTACTCCATCTGAGAAGCAAAATGACTACTCATCTCAGTTGACTCTTGAGACTATACCTGGTAAAGTTCACAGTATTCAGTAGCCATTTCATAGCTTACTTTTACTGAATTCAAAGGAGAAAACATATGTTTGTATGCTCATAATGGAATTTCCTAAAGTACTTACAATTTGGCTGGTTGTGGTAAGGAAGAACTGTTCTCAAATGGTAGATCAAAAATAGTGGCTTTCTGCCTCATTTTAAATACAGCCTAGATTGCAACTTTTTCTTAATATCTTCTATTTATTTTTCATAAGACAAGCATTCAACTACATAATGTTTTACATATCTTAGGAGGCTTCAAATTAAGATAAAGACCTAGAAGTTGGGGAATCCAGCCATTGATATTGCAAGGCAGAAGAGAGTGATTCAGTCTGAAGACAGTACCCAAATTCTTATTTTCCATGTAAAATCAGAAATCAGGGTACCACTGATCAGTTAATTTCATCCATATGGCCATGTTAGGACAGGGATAACTACCCTATTTTTCACTGGCCTCATGTATATAGCACACACATGTCAACCCCGCGCAGAACCCATAAATTATCCACTGTTAACCTGAAGGAAAAACAAGGCAGATGAGAGAAGTTTATTTTCCATGCCCCCCCTGCTAAAGCACTGTAGTTCTCAAACTGACCTACCACAGGGCTCACCCCAGGGAAAGGTCTGTAATTTGAAACTGCCCTGTTGCTCTTGTCACTGAGAGATCTCCTGTTGAGATCAATGGAGCGTAACAAGACTGAATTTTACACTGAGCTAGGAATGGCACCAATCCAGCACATCATACAAGTTTCTTGAGTTCTCTTTGAAACACTTGCTATTTTTAAATTACTGCTACAGATATGAAAGTGATTACAAATAAACCAAGTTCCTTTCAAAGGAACTAGCTTCATCTCCAGTACTGTACTTCATGTAACAGAACAGTGAAACTGTCACACCACTGAGAAAACAATGATTTGTTCAGTGTGCCTTTTAAAACTGCCAATTTGAAGTTGTGTCGCAACAAAGCAATTCCACATTTCTAATTATGAGATCCAGAAATAAACTCATTTTTATTTACAAGAAAAACAAATGTTTTAAACGTAGCAGTAATCCCAAAGAAAGATACAGTTCCACAGCAGCTCATCCCAATCACTCAGATGTTTATGACAATACTCACTTTCAAAACTATCTGGCAATTCCCCAATACCTCAATGATCACTGTGCTCTCCAGAGAGATGCCACTGCTGTTGTAAACACTTCCCTGCAGGAATGTGCTGGTGACAGCTGAATACCTGTAACTGTATCTACCTCTTCTGGGGAAGTACGATGCACTGTGTCCTAGGAAACAAACAAAAAAAAAGGTTTTTTACTCTATTTGGCTTTCTTCCTACCCCTACTATTTTTTCTTCTTTTTAATCTTTTGGCCACTGAAACCAACTAAACATGGAGCTAGATATTCAGAACATTCCCTTCCCACTTGGACTTACAATTGAAAGAACTGGGTTTCTGAAACCCTGCATGCTAGTGATAGCTCCTGTATAGATAGTGAGAATAATTCCCCTCTCTCCTATGCACACAACCTCAGAGTTTCCATCAAGGCAGGAATGTAATTTCCAAGAGCAGAAAAGGAATGCAATGTATTTACAGCATGATGCTCTTTTTACACCTTTTAGAGCAGCAAAGCAGGACTTTTGGAACCGCAAGACAAAAAAGATCTGCTGATGTTTTCAGTGCTTTTCATGCCCATGCTGTGAGCTACACATATGCAGACAAACTAAATTACATGTTTCTTATGTAAAGAACTTTGGTTCTGAAAGCCTGCCTGAAAAGATCCAGGCTGAGGAAATGAAAGCATGGGAAGATAAGGATTATTCGTATTTGTATGAAGACACTGTAATGACCTGGCAAGCATCCATGGGCAGCACTGTCTTCTAGTAAATACAATGTCAGACACCCTCATGTGTGCCACATGGTCTCTGTATTCCTCTAGTCGAAGCAGATTCTCTTCTAAAGCAGGTGATAAGAATTAGCCCTGAAAGGATGAGAAGTTCACAATCCTAGTACCTTCAATGCAACACATTTTGGTGGCTGTGGTGTGTGAGATTGTAACAAATACAGTGTCCCTAACAGATAAGACATCACGGTACAACCTTAACTGGGACCACTGAAGTGCAGAAGAGGGAAAATTCAAAGAAAATACTCTCACTTTCCTTAGATGAAGAAAACAACACCTAAGAAAAATGACCACTGTGGCTCTCATATTGAGCTGCTTTTTTCTCTGCCTCACAGTGGCACCGCAACACTCGAGCACTTTCAGTGACAAAGCAACACAGAGATGAAGTAGTGTTGCACTAATGAAGGGTCTCTGAGCCACACTGAGTAGGTAGCTGAGAGGACATGGCAAGATCTCTCTGGGAGCAGAATATCCACGTGCTCCCCTTGCTGTTGCACTGAAAAGCACTCCTGAACACTCAGCTACCTGCTGGCAACGTGAATGAGAAGCACAAGTTATAAAATATACCTCAAGCCTTTCAACCAAAACTTTTCAGGGCAGTTCAATATCCTGTCTTCCCATCAGTTCCTCCTTTCACAGAATATATGTTTTGTGCCTGTTTACTGAAGAAGTCTTTTTTCAAGCCTGTTTCAGTATGAAATGTGCTAAAAACTGTGTAGTGGAAAAAAAAAGACACTCATACATGACCGGGTTTTGTCCTGAACTCCTTTAGTAATTTGCTGAGCTCTACTGTCTGTGAGTTTTCTGAGTTTGCAGAATGCAAACTTTAGACAGGTGTGGGCCTGGTAAAGCTTAGTGCAAGTTCTCCGCTACTTCCATGAACGCTGATCACTCAGACATAGGTATCATTCTTCTAAGAACACAATATCCCCGCTGAAGAGAAGAAAGTTTTCAAATCTTTCCTTGTTTATCACATAAAAGGCCTGAATACAGTCTTGTTTTACTCACCTACACAGTCTGCAAAACAGGAAGCTCCATAACTTAAACTCTCCAAGGATCCTGCAATGACAGGTAAGATAATAGAAAAGCACTGAAAATTTGTGTGCAGCTCAGGATGGACCCGCTGCTTTTCAGTTACAATGAAATAACTGAAACCAAAGCATGGCCTTAAAAAAAAAAAAAAAAAAAATCTATGAGTTTTGCTACCAAGTGTACAGGAACAAGTATCGGTCTTGTCCTTTTTCACATATCTATACCACACAAGCACATACATAAAGGAATGACATGCCTTAGTGTAGGTATGGAAATGCAACAATACCATGGATTATCAAGCAAATAAAAAAAAGGGGTTCTTAATGCAAGAAAGAAATACTCATTTTATATACCACACTTCTTCACACCCATAGGCTTTTAACTTTATTGCAGTTAGGGAAAATTTATGCTTAGCTAAGATTTTTATTGCACATGGCCATTCAAGAACTCATAAGTATCATTTAAAGCAGAACAAGATCAAGCTTTACTGCCAAAGAAAAACTTTTCCAGCACTAGCACACTAAGGAACATTTAAACATCACAATTCAAGGGTGGCAGTTGGTTAAGACATCCTTTAACACTGGAGCCTGTTCTCCAACATGACGCTCCTTCAGACTTTGACTGGAAGGGCAGCGAATTCAAGAGGATGCAGAACACTCACCACACATGCAACTGTGATTCAGATTCACATGGGCATGAAGAGGGGAAAGAGTTGGGGCTGCTACGTACAGAGCCTTCATGCCTTCTCTTCACTCTGTGCACAAACATCTGCACAATAAACTAGTAAGACTCCCATTCTACTGCTCTGATGCTGAATGATCTTAAATAAGCCTGGCAGAATTACAGTCATCAGTTACTGCAAGCACCACTAGACAACATAAAAGTCCATAATGAACTGGAGGAAAAAATCTGTTTTCATAACGAAGTTATGCAACAGTGAAATTTTTAGGGTATCTATTTCTTTCACATCACTGTGATTGCCTCTACAAGCATGATGGCTGGGCACCTAAAGGGCTAGACTGATATAAATCATGCTTCAGCACATGAAAAAAAATCATTGCAAATTGCTTTCACCCCTGGCAAATACACTAGTACTATATTAAAGACTGGCCTACTGGTCCCCATCTCTTGAGAACTTCTGTGAAAAATCTGAGCTGAATTACAGGAATTTTGGGAGAGAAGCCCCAGGACGGACACATGTGATATACACTTTAATACACAGCACTTGGATGTACCACAGTGAAAGAAAATACTACTTTATTAATCAATCATATATTATATGATTTAATTAGTATTAAAAGCATTCAAACCTAACTTGCCATAATTGATAAATCTTTCTTTAAAATAACTCCCACAAGAAGTTCAATAGTGAGTATAATTGCCCTCAACCGCTATGCTACACTATATGCTAATGAATCTTCCTGTTAAGCAATAACTAACATCCCTGTGTTGCTCAGCTTTGTCTCCCACTGGAGACACAAGTTAAAAAAGCCTCTTTATTCTGGTTCTGTGCTTTTAGAAGCTTTATATGTGCTACACGACTGAAGGAAATGCTCTTGTCAAACTACAACATTTTAAAATCCACATTTATATTATTTATTGGAACCATATTTTTCCTTCTCTTAATCCCTTTCTTTGAAGTGTCAAAATTATTGGCAGGATGAAAGAAGGGAATTCACTGGGTTTGGAATAAAAATAAGAAAGCGTTTGTTTCTTCAGCGCCCACTCAAGCTTAGATATGTATGTTTTTATTCCCGAGTTAAATTTTAAGTTTCTGGTGAGTAGAATTACATTTTTCTTGGAATGGTCTTACCCCCACATTTATATTTACCTCCCAACAAATGCTCCTTTTTATTTTGCAGAATTAATTCTCTGTTTGGAACTTCAGATTTTACCTTTAAAAAGTATGAATAACATGTTATTTTCAAGCAAACATGGTCTAGACCTACAGATAGCTACAAAACTAGAAAACTTGCTCGCATAGAGAGACGAGGTCATGTAACATATGAGAATTATCACTCAACTATTAATTCTTATAAATATACCTATCTATACCTAAAACATATGCATTAACTTTACCATTCCAAACATACTACATCTGGAGAGAAGGAAATGCACTTCTCAGTTTCCTTGGGGAAAAAAATCATCCCTAAGTATCCAGTGGATCAGGTAAAAAAAGTGCTACCTAGTTCAACCTTTTCAGCAGTGGAAATAAATAGTGTTAAGTTAATGACTTTTAATGAAGAAATCAGTACAACTTATTCAAGAACCTTAAAATATATATGGTAAGACAAAATTGGAAAATTCATCTGTTATGTAGCATCAGGTTTTTAAAATGTTGAGCATATGTCTCCAGGACCAGATTAACAAGCTCTCTAAACTCCCCTGTGGATACCTGAATGCTGTGCTCAGAATTTTTAGACATGCTTATCAGAGAGAGCGTGGTAGTCTGAGCACCTTGGACAATTAAGCATTTCAACTTTGTGTGAAGGTGCCTAAATTTAGAGTTTCTGCTCTTTGCTTTGTTATTTTTAAATTTTAAATTTCCTTCCATAATTTATTTTGGTTCTAGAAACAGCATGCACTTATCTCTTTTCAGTTGCCAAGAGTAACAAAGGACCACTTCACTGACATCTCATGATCTGTTTACAGTTTTCAGAATCCTTTATCTGCTAAATACCGAAGTGAGCACAATTTTAGAGCATGATACTAACATGTTCACTTTCATGTGAGATAATGAACTGACTGGTGCAATCCCACTGTTTCTGTTGCTTTTCCTAGGAATGCTGAAGAAAGATGCACTATTTAACTGCACTCCTTTATAGATAGGGTGCCTTCCCATCTGCCCAGTATCACCCAGAGAGCTCAGTAAGGTGCATTGCTATGCTACACTGAAAATCAAGACAAAACTGCTACAAGAATCACTGCAAACCTACAAGTTCTAACAGAATTTACAGCATCTCAGAAGTTTTGCTAGTGAGATCATTCCTTATCAGAATTATTTTGCATTGAGAGAGATTGATCTTAGCAGAGGAAAACGTTTCTTCTACTTACTCCCTGAAGCTCCTGCCACAACAGCACAGAGTAAAATGATGGCTTGCAGTCCCATGGCCATCGAAATCACCTCCTCAGCCCAAAAGTTAACAAAACCACATCAGTTCTCCTCTCAAAGGCACCTCTGAGCAAGGCAGTGAAAGAAGATTTCCTTCACAAAGCAGGAGCTCACTATTTCAACTCCCCTCTTCCAGGCAGAGGAGGGGCTCTGGCAGGGCAGACTGCAGAGGGGAGGGGGCGCACCATGTAGCAAGGGGGAGAGACAGACACACACAAACATTTATCCAATCTCTAACAGTATTTCAGCCTTTTTGCAAAAAAAAAAAAAAAAAAAAAAAAAAAAAAAAAAAGAAGTTAACCTAATAGAAATTCCACAAACCACAAGGAAAATAAATCAAGTATACAGCATCACAATATAGCAAATGCTCGTAGCAGTCCCACACAGTAAGTTTGAAATAAATAAATAAATTTTAAAATCACCCTAGAAATCATTCTGTGATGATTAATCAATCAAAAAACACACAGGATGAAAGCAAAAGCTTTGGGGCTGAAGGCAAGGTGTTTCCATTGGGCACAGGCAAGTTCATGGGAGGCAGCTCATCCCTTCAATCAAAGTCCCAAACCTAAGATGGATGAAATTGTGTGTAAATAATACACAAAACCACTAAACTACAGTCCTTCTGGTAGCAAGCAGGCTTTTACAACACATCAGAGACAGGTCTTCCAGGGTTCACTGAACTTGTGATAAAGACCTTCCCCTCCTTCTTGGGGGAGATTCACCATCTTCCTCCTGTTGTACTGGCTCATTCTTCTAGAACCAGGGCTCTCTTCATGAGCCTGCCCTGGCAGCCTGTGACCGTGTTTACCCTTCACATGTAACAGGATCGATGTTCACTTACACCACTGAGGTACTGTCAAAACTCAGTTACACTTGCATGCCAAGACTTCTGTAGGAAGCTGCTGTGGACAGGCAAAGATTTATTTTCTCCTGCTGCCACATCTTAACCTGCCTCTCTGGTTTACCCTAAGCTACTGTTCACTTCAAACCACGTTCACAAGTAGAAATAACAGATAACAATCCCAGTCACCAGTATCACTCTCTCCCACTAAGCTTGTGTTGTCACAGCATCTTGTCTGAACTTACTCTCTCCATCTGGTCACTTCCTCAGTTCAATATGCTTACCAATTTTACATAAAGGGAAAACAACTTCTGACATGTGCTTTGCATAGATCAATGACCAAAGATGATGAGAGCGAGCAAGTCAAGACTAAAGAGTTAATAAAATATTCCATGATGAAAGCTGGGCCACTCTATCAAAATCCCAGATCTACCAAATGCCAAACTCAGGGACAGCTCAGGTCTGAAATTTAAACAAAAAAAAAAACCAAAACACCTTACAGATTCCATTCAGCAGCTCAGATTTCCTATGATCAACCCAAAGTGGTAACTAAGAAAGCCTTCTTCTGTCTCCACTGTGATTTTTCAGAATATTCTAATTTTGAAACTGCTTCAGAACTTCATTGCGAAAATCTTGCAACTTGCTGGGTTTCTCATTTTTACTCTGCTGTTACTCAGTCTTGTATTTGTTCTAATTTTTCATTTTAAGATTACAGCTCATCTGGACATAATATATTATCCTGCAGTCATTCAGCTCTTGTTCTACTATCAGCAATATGGATAGAATCAAGTAAGTTAATAGCTGGACATGAATATGAAAACATTATTTTTACTGGAAAATTGATGTATTGTGACAACTCTCTTCTTGAATCACTACTGTTGCTGGTTCTCCATGGTAGTCTGACTTTCAACTCTTTATATAGCAAGATTTTTCTACATATTTCACATAGCTATTGCAAAATAACTTAAAAGCACAAAACTTTTACTGCAGTCAGTGGGAATATCAGAATTGGAATTAGAGGGAATTTCTGCCTTATCATGACTCTCCTAAGAACCACATAGTCCAACAGCAACAAGTTACACACAGTGTTTGTGTGCTGAGCATTTGTAGCCCTACCCTTATATTAATGCATTTGCCACTTTACAGGAAGTTTTCCACTTAGTTTATATGTTAGTCTCATGTACGGCAACAATGTCTGGAATCAGCAAAGTACATAAACAGGAGCTTAATTTTAAGCATAAGCACATCTCCAAAATTAATTGTGTGCTCGTATCGAAATGCTTTCTTGGAACAAAGCCATTTTATTAGTCATTTCATCCCCTACTCCAGAAGCTTTCTCAGAAACCTTTTTGTCTCTAAATAGCTACTTTCCTTAGAGCACTGGGGTGGGTTTCTCATGAAGAAAAAAAAAAAAAAACCTCAAATTTTCAGTTACATTTCTAATTTTCATCCAGAATAATTCACGCAGGTCACAGGCAACTCCTTTCCCACAAGGAAGCAGTTTTAGGAAAGAGGATGGCCAGGAAAGGTCGTATGAACTATGCTGAGAGATAGGCTGTGCCCAAAATCCCTGAAATAAAACAAGGTCTAACAAAGTAGACCAAAAACGTCAGTCCTCTTCACAAGGCTGCAGCACACTAGATTTTAGGATGCTTCAGAACTGCTGCACATGGGCAGACCAACAACACTGCATGTATGTCTTATCATGTGGCAAGAGAGCATCTTTCTAAGAGGCTATACAACAGGCATCACACTAAGAAAACTGGACTGGACTCTTCTGATGAGCTTTTTGATAGGCTGCCATAGTATTTAGTAAGAGACATGTTTTATAGCTTTAAGACAAATACTTAGCTACAGATACTAGCATTTCAATCACAGTTTCTAGAGTAACAACACTTTCATGCAAAAATAGCCGGTGTGTCATAGAAGAAGAGTTCTCTTTAAAGATTAGCAAACTTTCTCAAAAGATTCAAGAGGGAGCAACAGTTTTCATTTGTAAACACTGGATATCAATGAAGTTATACATACGCTTAATTTTAAGCACAAGCAATCTTGTCAAATGTAAAGGCTCAAGTAAGTGCAGACACACAACACACGCTTGAGCAGAGTTAACAGAAATTCAAATGTCTGTAAAAACAAAGAAACAGCTATTCAGAAGTTTCCATCAGAAGTCATCAGTAATCCTGGTGTCTGAGAACTGAACAGGCCCAACTTCAGACATCAGCACAACCTGAGTGTGGCTGAGTCTCTCCCTTTCTAATACCAAACTGAAGATCAACAGCCAGCAGTAACACTGAGAGCCACAGACTGAATACTGACATAGAAGATCCATGCAAAATAACAGATATGGTGAATTTCTATGTAAAAATATTCATTACAGAATGGGTTACATGCCAACACATTGAGAGACTTACAAGTCAGGCTCAGATTTAAACTCGGATTCAGGTGAATTCTAGCTGTGATCCCAAGTTACATTATATATGGGGAGGACTACTGGAACAAAAAGCTTGAGGATTTAGGCTTTGGTTGAAGAAAGAAAACAGAATTTGGTGTTACTTGGTAACTGCATCTAATTTTCTATTTTGTTCTAATTCTCTTGCTCTGCTTTTTCAGTTACAGCTGTAAATCACACTTTCCAAAATAATCAAATTTGCATTTTAATTTCAAGTTTTAGCTTTGCGGCTTTCCATTTCTAAGGGAAGAAACTATATTAATAAAAAAGAAAAAAAATATCTTAAGTGTATGAGCACACTCAAGAATTTATAAATCTGAGCTTGCTTGAATCTTGGCAATTTCATACACTAAAGAACAAAGAAACTCACAAACAAAACTCCACAGCTTTCTTATCAAAAATATTTCAAAGAGGTTTTTTTTTCAGCATATCACAGATTTTGGGCCCTTTGTACTGAAACTTCTAAATTAGGAATTAAATGCCTGATTTGCAGTAGACTCTTAAATGCATGTTGAAGCCAAATCTTTATGATAAAACACAACATAACATTAGTGTCCTGTGTACCTGCCTAACTCCACTCATTTGAGTGGGTTGATAAGTTCAACATCTTTAATATCTTTTAAGCATTTTTTTCCTACCTCCTCCAAAACGAGATTTTTGTAAAAAATCAAAACACCACCCCAAAACAGGCAGACAAAGAACCTCCCAAAGAGGAATTTCCACCATGGTGCTGTCCTAGATAAAATACTGAAGAAAATCAGGCACATGTGCTGCAAACACGTGTTTAACGACACACAGGTGAAGCCAAGACCAACACTGGTAGTTAGTCTGAGAAAAGTATTCATCCATTTTAATGGATATTGTACACAAGTTTGCAAAATGAATTCAATCAAAAATACTATGTAACATATAACAGACTAAGGATATCTGTGGACACCTGAAAACTCTACACTAGTATTGCCAAGAAAATCTGAGCTTTAAGAATCTGGTAAAGTCTGCTCTGTAAAGACCTCACATGTTCGCTTAAATTAATATTACTGTAAAACTCACGTTTAACCCCCAAAGCAGGATGAAAGCACCCTTGGCCACGGCTCCAGACCTACACCTCTAGGCATCAACACCCGCGATGGCGGCTGGGGCCTCTGCAGCTCCCGCGGCGCCCGCTCCCACCCGCCTGGCCTTACACCCTGGCTCTGCCAGCAGCTGTTGCCAGGCCCGGACCTTCTAACGAGGGGTACAGAGGGGCTGCCGCCGGAGCGGGCATGCGGCCCCGCAGCCCCTCACAGGCCGGGACGCTTCTCCGGGCAGAGGTCCGGGGAAAGGGTTCCACACACGTTACCTCCCTAGGGAAAAAAAAAAAAAAAAAAAAAAAAAAGAAAGAAAAAAAAAAAAAAAAAGCCACAAAACCGACCAGTGCTTTGAGACACGTACATTTTTCTGGCCGCTAACTAAGAGGAAATTAAGCAACGAAAGGGCCAACCGCCTTCCCCAGGGCTGTGGCAGCGCGCGGCGGCGCTCGCTGCACACCGCGCGACCTCGCACCGAAACGCGCCCCTCACCCAACGCCGACCGCTGCCCCCGGGGCGCAGAGGGGAAGCCGAGAAACCGCCCCACGGCCGTGCCGAGGAGGAGGCGGAGGAGGAAGAACAGGGAAAACCGAGCGGAGGCGGCTCTAGCCCGAGCCAGCGCGAGGCGCCCCAGCCACCCCGCGCGGGAGCGCCCCCTGGCGCCGCCCGCGAGCAGAAGCGGCCGCCACCGCGCAGCCGGGAAGCGCCGAAAAGGAGCCAAAAGGGTCAATTCCGGCCGCGCGGCAAGGGGGCGGGTGGGCTCGGCCAGGGGCTGGCGAGGTTCATCAGCGTTAAATACGTATGCACTTCTATTATTCCGGGGTGAAAAATTCTTCAGCGCTATTTTGTGAAGAACTAGAGCATCCTGTGAAGCGTGAGCCCGAGGTAAGCTGCCAAGACAGAGGGGCAGCCTCGGGGCAGCGTGCCCAGAGAAAGTGCTCCAGAGCCCGCCTGCAGCAAGAGATGGAAAGTACTTTGGGTTTGTGTTTTTTTCCCCCTCTCGCCACGGTCTTGTGAGAGCCCCCTTGTCACATTCGAACGCTCCAGAGCTTCAGGGTCGAGAGCAGGGCCAGCCACACACCTCCTCAGTCCAATAGTCCTCAGGAGCTCAGTTTACAGAGACCAAAATGGTGCATGAAGCAAAATAGACAACCACAAAGGGAGTTTGAGAAAGCCTCCCCCTCACTCTTGGTTTATTCTGAACTTAAGCGCAACTACATTTAGCATCTCAAAACCACAGAGGCACCTGCTCAAACGGACACTAGATTTTCAGATTCTTTAAAAAATATAACAAAAATGAATTATAAGTGGTTATAAGAAGCACTTTGGTATCAGCAGGTTTCACCATGCACCTTTTGGTGTCCTGATTTGAAAAAGCAGTAAGGCGCGCATTGGAAAAATTTATTTCTATACTGGGTTCATGTCCAGCACATCATATACGAGGGTATTTGCCTCACAAAAATACATTAGAAGCCATCCTAAGGTAATAAATTTGTATCATGTTGCTGGAACTTCCAAAGAAAACAGGAACATAATGGTTAATTTGCTATAAAGTAAATTCACTCGAACTATAAACACTTCACACCTCTGTCACAGTACTTGCACTTCTTAGTTTTTATTCCTGGGATGACAATGTATACTCCATTACTCACCTTTTGTTGCTCAGTTATGAAGAATAATTAGCTGGGTTTGAGTATACAAATCAACTCATTTCTTCAAAAAATATCTTGTGGTTAGACTGCCAGAAGTGTTTTTCACAAACACTGCAATAGATAGCAGCTTTTTGAAACCACTTTGCTTTTAACAACCCCCTCTTGTAATGTTATCAGCTGCTTTTTACTTGGTTTGACACCTTTTATTTTAGATCCTCTTTGCATGCCAAAACAAATTTTATTTCCCTCTGGCTCAAGCCTCAGCAGAATTAATTCAGTTTGAACATTGTGCAAGTTTCGTCAATTAAAAATAGAAGCCTGATGGAAATAACACTCTCAAAGTGTAACAGAAAGCAATGTCATCCTGGAAAGCTAATGAAGGCGGGGGTAAGGCAAGACTTCACCCAAATTTGTTATGCGAGGCTGAAGGATTTCAGATGGCCTACGCCCCTTCCTTACTTATTTGTGGAAATGAGCACATAAATCATGAGCACATAAAGACAGCATGCCGCTTCTGTATCTATCAACAGGAAAAAAGTTCACAACTCATTACCAAATTAAGCAAAAAGTTGCTTAATAAAAATAATAAATATCAATGCATTAGAACAAAATTGAGGTATTAATCTTGCCTTTCTGTATATTCTGCACCTCAGAAGAAAAATAAAAGCTTCAGACATTAAAAAATAGCAGGGTATTGTCACGTGATTAATAGGGATTCTTTCTGACTGAACATAATGATATTCGATATCTATTTTCTCCCTACGGGTCACTGATATGTAAAAGTGTAGCCACATCTATCTGTGTTTGTTTAGTTGTACTGCAAGTGAAAGTTTAACCTGAAGCAGTTTTAACTTTAAAAATACTTAAAGGGCTGGAGTTGCAGGAATAAAACACATTTTCAAATGTGGCTCTGTGTGTAAACAGTTGTTCTGCAGGCCAGAGAATGCCATTTACCAGAGACTTGGCCCAAAGTGAGACTCTGAAAAATTTCACCCTGTAATTACATTTGACTTAATGTTTCAGCCATTCATGTGTTTGGAAACATTCCAAATGTTATGATTTTCCAATTACAAGCACTAAATACAAAAGACAAAGTTTTTATTTTAAATATAGTCAGTTTTAAAAACAGTAACTTCAATGTAATCAAACACAAAACACTTTCACACAAAGCAAGTTATATCCTGCATTTGTCTGTCTAAAACAAGTTTAACAAAGCAAGTTACTTTGGCACATTCTGTAGATAGTTCCATACACAAGAGAACAAACACAGGCTTTGTATTTAAGGAAATTTAAGTATAGAAGGGGCAGCAGCAAGTTTTGCAGAATGCTTAATTAGATGGAATAGCTGCCAAGCTGTGTCCCATTCTCAATTCATACAATGAATTTAAGGAGATGTAATGGGCTGTGCCCATAAAACAAAATGAAGAAAACCCCTGCATACCTTAGTTTTTTGGTCAATATTCCTCTGCATTCTGGTGTCACCACCTCAGATTTTCCAACCATCATTTTGCAGAGAAAAGGGGAGGTAAGGTAATAACAATTTGAAGATGTACTCACCAAATGAATATGTGGCAGGATTATCCAGGCCAGACTGACATGGGTACTAATGAAAAGAACTAAAAATCCTCCCCACCATGCAAGCAAACATCAAGTTTGGAAACCCTGCATGCTTCACTGCTTCTTCCTGGCTTGCTCTGATGATAAACTGATAAGTAGTACGTTTTCTGTGAAATCCAGTGTTAATGAAATGCATGTAACTTGCATAAGTTAGAATCAGTGCCTGCATCATTAGAACAGAAAATTCAATGGATCATCACCCAGGCCCTTAAAGAACATGGAATGCATTACGGTGGTGCAGCAGCGGACAAAACAACACAAGCTAGTATCACATCATCAAAGTGAAAAGCTACAAAACTACCAGCTTCTTATCTCCAACACTTTCTTGCCAGTTAGCAGCTACTCCTGTAAATTCCTATGGTACAGGGAGACATATGATCAGAAACCTCTTCCAAATGCACCAGGAAGCTCTTAAACCAATTGCAGACTGACTGACAAGCAGCAGCAGTTTACAAAAACTAATGAACTCAAGGCCTACAAGTTGTATTTGTGATCCAAGAAACTCCTGGATTTCAAACAAAAAATGTTGAAAGACTTTTGAAAAGTTGACTTATACCAAATATTCACAGAAGGCACATTTGGCAAGAACAGTAGATGTAGTATTTTTTTATTTGTATTTATTTTAGATTTTTATTTTTACAGAGATTAATACAGCATTAGCATCATAGCCTTGTTTAAACACTTGTCTGCCTTTTCTAGACAGGTATCATTCAAATGCAACAAGATGTTATTTGGACCAAGTCTGCTGCTTGTGACATAGTAAAATACTTCAACCTTCAGAGCCTCATTCTCTAATTTTTTGTGATCATCATCTTCAATAAGCATATCCAGCTTAAGTTTCTGAAAACAGAACTTCTCTTTTATTTAGAAAAATCAGGGTCCAAGTCTAAATAATCAGAGAAACTTCTTAACAAACACGTAACCTTCTTAAGAAACAGTAATTAACAAACAGATCAACAATTAAAAGCCCAAGTCCTGTATCTGTGTTTTGCAGGTGGAAATCAAGCCTTAAAATAAGGCTGAGGTTTGTTTATGATCTATCAGTTGATTTATGTAAATGTACAAGAAAGTTTTCCAATGCTATAACCGAGGTTCTATGGGCATTTCCACTGGGGTGGAGAGAAGAGAACACAGACTTATAAATCAGCAGTAAAAAAAAACCAACCAAACAAAAAACACCGAACAAGTATCTATTAAAAATTCCTGTACAAATATCTTTACTGCAGAGTAGAGATATGACTACACTTGAAACTGGCAAGGAAATTCAGGTACTATATTGAATCACCACTGATGCACAATAACCTGAGTTGTCCATTTGGTAAAGCAGCCTCCAAGAAAGAAGAAGCCTTTAGGTTTGGTTCTCTTTCAGCTAAGAAAGTTTTAAAGTGAATTCTAGTGCTCATGAAAAGATGCCAACAAATCACTTCTTTGTCAAAGAGGAACACCTGTCTTGGAGGCAAGCAACTCCTGCCAGTTTGTGAACAGTGCTGCTGCAAAAGCATCAACACCAAGCAATGAGATTATAGTCTCCACAGACGTTCTCCTCTTGGTCTGCAATGAGCCTGTAAGCAAGCACACCAGAGTGCAACATGATCAAAACAAGATTAACTGAAGAACATCACCAACCTGTTTTGCATAAAGCAGAAAGGGAAAACATTTAGTTGCTATCAACTGGTGCTGGACTGAGTGGCCCATAAAGATTACCTATACTTTTTACAGACCTAAGTCAGAATCCTCTCAAGCAAAGTCCTATTCAAACAATCTAGCAATAAACATTACTTTTTATTGTTTTCCAGTGACAGGATGCACAGAAACAACCAGAAGTCTCCATGAAGCTTCAGAGAGGGCTTGTAGAGGTGCTAACCAACTTCATCAATGTGTAAACACTGCCTATAAACGTTTGTAAGAACCAATAAGAGTACTGCAGTTTGGGCAGATGTGATCCACATCCTTTAGGGCATCAATGCAGAAGGGAATTAAACAGCAGCCAGCTATACACCTGCAAAGGGAAAAAACAAACAAAGTCTGTTTTACCACTTGTTACATACACAAGAAAGTAAAATATATTTCCAGCAAAAGCCATCATGGTGCCATGAAGCTTTGGGAAGAACACACATGACTATGGATTCCATCACTCTAGTGTTCCAGAGCTGCTTTAAGATCCTATAGGACTTAAATGCAGGTGTAGGCTACTCAAACCATAAAGGATCAGGTCCCACACAGAATGAAAAAGCAACAAACCTGAGAGCCTTAAAGCTATAAAAGGTCATGTAAGAAGAGAAAAATAAAGTGCAAATTGGACCCAACCTACCCCAGCAGGCAAAGGCCACCACAGGAGAGCCAAGTCAAAGCTCCTGAGTCATACGAGAGACGTGTCACTATCATCTGGTTACAGGAAGGGCAGCACATCTGAATTGGGCGGTCATAAAACACTACTGGTTGTTGCACGTACACTGTCTGAACTGTAACTGAGCAGAGAAATATGTTGTGTTACTCATGGGTAAATAAGAAAAAAAGGATAGTTAATCATCTTCCTCTGAGCTAGAACCAGCTTTTACTCTGAAATATTTGAGGCTCAGAGCAATGAAATACACAATGACAAATCACCATGACATTTCCTAATGCAGAAACACATTGTCTTAAGAATAAGGCTGCATTAAACACTGCAGAAAGCCAAATGACGTTATTAATATTAGTGCACACTGAAGGATTCACAAGAACTGATTCACCCTATTCCCTTCAAAAATATTTTTTGGAAGGTGAGGAACACCTGCAAACCACAATCTTTCATCTTCTGCACAGCACCTATTACACAGTCACTTGACACCACCTTAACATGAGGTACAGTAGAGTTTTTGAGGCTTACTGGGGTTATTTGCTGGTGCAGGCTGCCCCATGTACGGTGGAGGGTTCATTCCCTTCCCATCCAGTTTCTGGCCAGGTTCTGGGACAGGATAGGGGTGAGGATAGTTCACGTTGATTCCTGTTGTTTCTTCATAAGAAGGTGGGGCAGATGGTACAGGGACACCACTTGGAGCAGACATTGTATCTAAAACATAGTAGAGAGAAAATTGTAACAAAATACATTACTTATTGAGGGAAAGTGACAACCAATTAGGATCTATCCAGACAGAAAGCAAGAAGATAACTAGATTAAAATGCACCTTTACCAGCATAAAATTTATTGACTGTTATTTGTTTCTGATAGTATGAAATACTATTCTAAATTTCATGGCTGTTGTTGCTTCCTTCCCTCTTCCTTTTCACAGGGTAGTTTTTATACTTTTTCACACCACGAATACTTGCTTTATAAATTAAAAATGCTAACACAGGGACATGGGGCACCTTTATTAGTACACTAAGCTATGTGACAGTTTCTCCCAATTCTCCAAGAACAGTATGTCAGATCCCTCTCCTCCTCCTGAAAAAAAATCAAACAGTATGATAAGCCACATGGTAGCTGCTAACTAACATGAACCTAATTTGTGGCAAAGCTCGAATACTTTTAAAAAGGCTATTTATCTCTAATGTGATTGGAAATTAAAAGAAAATTTATACTGAAGGAAAAAGAAACCCCAAACAATTAAGTATATCCAACTCAATGCTTTTACAACTCTCAAATATGTCTAAGGTTGCCATTTTTGCTGCTAACCAAAGTTTCAATGAGTCTGTTAATGCAACTTGCCTCCACCAATTGTTATGTCATTACAGATTGTAAGAATGCTAACCATCATCTTTTCCCAAAGCGGAAAGAAACTACTGTGATTTCAATGCAGACTTCCTCTCTTTCTCCCTGCCTACCCACTTCCTATGCTCTGCCCACCAATTTGTTGAACAATCTCTTGTGGACATCAATGCTGATGAAGTGTCTCCCTTTTTCTCTTCCTCCTAAGGACCATCAGACAGCTCTCTGAGAACCACACTCCATTCTCTGTTGTTGCACATTCAATCCCTCTGTATACATCAAATCTTTTCACTCAGTACTATCTAGGAAGGGCAACCTGTATTTGGCATATCAATTCTATATTCTTATAGTAATACAGAAGCTATAATTAACCATAGCTCTAGTATGAATAAAAGAAATAAGAGAAATTGCACTGATGAGGGGGGGGGAAAGAAGAAAAAAGTATGTTAGGAAATAAAAATATCCGTAACAATAGAGCATTATTTTCAAAGCTTGTTGCACTGAAAATAGCAGCTTGCTGGTCATATGCAGTGTCTTGCAGTGCAAGACACCAGACATTCTAAGCAAAACCATTCTCCCCACTGTTCTTATCACATCTTAGGACAGCACTGCATAATAATAACAGGACCTAAACACAGACAACTTAGCTAACTTGGTAGTCACATAATTCAGAAAACTATTTACAAGGTTCACAGCCCAACTTTCCTTTTCTACCTTATACAAAAATGATACCTCCTCCCCAAAATAAACCAAAGAGGAAAGTCACTAAGAGCAGACACAAGATGATTCAAAGTTGAACATTAAAGATCAGAGTTCAGACCTGGTTAAACTCTCAAGACCAACCAGTGAACAATCCTTTCCTCACAGGCTACGTTGGGGATTTTTACAATCCAGGAAGTAGACTGTAACTTGGCCGACCAATACGCAGAGTCACTGCACATAAGGACAAGGAAAAAGAAGAGTGAACAATCAAAGAGTAACATTGTCCATGAAGACCTTGCTAGCTTTCTGGCCCAAAAGACGAAACAGGGGAAAAATAAATCTCAGCATAAAACCTGATTAATCTTTAAATTGTTAAATTGCCTTTGGGGAATTAAATTCCTGACAAAATGGAAGATCACAATTTCTTTCACACTGAAATCAATACATAGTCACAGCAGAGAGTGGAAGAACAAGAGTCAGTGGAGAACCAACCTAGAACTGTTGTGTAATGACCTAGTGCACCATAGTTTCCCGCACAGTGGCCTGAATAATTCTTTTAAACTAGAATGATTACTTTATCAGAGAATTTATTATTCCAAAGTAGAGATAAACTGTTGCTAAACTATGCAACTACAACCACCTTCTCCCAGATTACCCCATTCTGTTTACGTGTGCGGATGAAGTCCAGAATGCGTCTGCTGTTCTCAGTATATTGTAATGCTTCAAAGCACCATTTGAACAACCAATTGCATCAACAAGATTGATCCCAGGAAATAGTGTGCCTATTTTGTGCACTGTAAGGGGCAACTTGTAACTCCCTGAAACCAGGACTGAGAGAAGCAGCCTGAGGGAAGCGTGAACAATGGCAAGAGATGAGGGGTGAGGAGGCCCTCTGAGCTAAGGAATGACTCACACACTCTCAAGTAACTAAGCTATAGTCACGGGTGGATAATGTGGAGTCAGGAGCTGATAAAGCTGCCTGAACAGCACAGGATTCAGTGGGGGGAGGGAGCCCTGGGAAGACAGGACAGTTCTGCTCTGGTGCATCTTGTAAAGTTTCAAGGGCCGTCTGTCTGGTAAATGACCTTTCCTTCGTTATCCGCAAAATACATATTAAAGTTGACCTCTGCATATGCTAAGGAAGATTAACAAAACCATACTAGTTACATCATCCCATAATGCACCTTACCCCTCCCCATACATGTGATACGTAGATAGGTAGGTCAACCTAGGGGAGGGACCCAAGTAAAGTGTGTGTAAATTGAGAGGGGGCAAGGATAACTGAACTGAAGAAGATGGATGCATCCTTGAACCGTCATCAATGGGACCAATGCAGGAATCCGGACCAGTGATCTTTAATTCTACCTCTCTTATTTTCTTTTTTCCCCTTCTCCATTATTATCATTAGGTAATGCAAGGCACACCGTATCACTTGCCATAATTCGTTACATACTCAGTCAATTATTGTGTATCCAATTAGTACATTTTGGGAAATGAATAAATGTCTATGTATGGACTTTGAGATTTGCCTCACCATCGTCCACTCCATTGGGGATTTACAAATCTAAATCACTTCTCTCTTGTCTGATCAGGAGGTGACATGCACAGATCTGGAACTTTCCCACTGCGTATACTCAAAAAGGATCTTCTCATCACCATTTCAAGACATTTGTGTAACAGCCACCCTGAGGTCAAAGCATCGTGGACTATGCAATCCAGCTATTAGTGAGCTATGAAAGAACTGCCTAATGAAACCCCCTTTTCTTTTGCTCTCCTGAAATCTGGATTTTTGTACTGATTAAGATGCACCTCTTTCCATCTGTCACCCAATAAATATATCACATTCCTCATTCAGAAGAACTGATTATTTCAGCAGCTAGACTGCAAATAAGGATCCAGCAGTTCTACCAGACCAGAAGCTAAATAAAAGCTGACAGTGTCATAAAAATGGCAAACACCATGCAGGGATGTGTAAGCAAAACCAGTATCTGTATGACAGCTGAAAAAGTTCTGCTGCTCTGGGAAAGCTTCCATGCGAGTACAGTATCTAAGAAACAAATTGGTGGACGGATTCCAAAGAAAAGCAACACAAACAATCATAAAGGCTAGAAAAGAGGAGTCCTAAGAAAAAGCCAAAGAAACAGGTTTTTTAGCTTCAAGAGACCACAGAAAATAATGAAGACATACAGGTAGCAATGAAGAGGAACTAACAGTCCTCTGAGGGTAAACTTTCAGAAAAACCTTAAAATAGTATGCTTTTCCCTATGTCTATTAATAAGGCTATTTAAGCACTAGATAAATTAGCGAGAGTTGTGGAGCCTTCCCTCATGAAAGTTTTAAGAATGGATACACATGTCAAAAGTTGTGTCATACAGCATTGAGTGGATTAGAGAACCTCTTCACATTTCTTCCAACTGTTTTTTCCGTTATTTCAACATTTGCTTTTGAAAATAAATCCAACGCCTTTTAAACACCTACTTTTATGTACACTGTTTCAGAAGTGAGATGCTACATTTTCTAAAGAAAAGGACCAATTCTGAACAAACTGCTTGCAAATCAAGCCCCTGTCCCTAGAGCTCGTCGCAAGACTGCGTCTAGAACTACCTGAAAACCAGCAGCTTCTACTTAAAAACCAAACCAAAACACAAAAGAACCCCACAACCCCAACCAACCAAAGAAAAAGCAAACAAACCATGATTACAAAGAGTTTCTGAGTATCAAACTTATTCAAGCTTCAGATAAGTAACTACAGCACATTGTTATGGCAATAAGCATTAACCCAAGGATTAGATACTAATGAAAACAAAGGCGAGAGGGCTATTCTAGAAAAGATTTTCAGCATTTTATTTTAGCTTAGGCAAGACTTACAGCCTGAGTTAGTAAGTAGAGTGCATGTTGTATTTCCCTACGCAATCTCTTAAAGCACTAATAGACTTCCCATAGCTTCCATTTGCACTTTACTCCCTGCAAATAGGTACAGAGCAGCTTATAACTTTCATCATACTATGTTTTACAGATTCATCTGGGAAGAGCAACTAATGCATAATGCCTGATTACAAAGAAGACAAAACATTAATATTACCAACCAACCTTAGATCATCTAAAAAGTGACACAGAATCTTAAGCATCCATACAGGATAGGGAAGACTTTAATTTCTAACAACTTAACAAATTGCACCCAGCTACTTACCAAACAGCAGCAATTTGCTGCTTGGAAGATAAACAGGAACAAAAGCAAGCTGATGGCAGAAGCAGAAACTGAACCCACAAGTTTTGTCTTCTTAAAGCAGACTCTCAAATGCTGCTCCCAAATAATTCAAAAAGGGAAGACTGTTCGGTGACAGGTACCCAACTGCAAGAAAAGACAAAGAATAAGATGGGTAACAGGGAAGTCAAATACACCAAATAGTTAGTTACCTGTAAGTAGCATATATGCAAACCATTAGACAACATTAAAGCTATCTCAAACCAGGATATGCAAACACTGAAAGACAAACTGGCACACAAAATGCAAGAGCAGGCCTTTTACGCTGATACACAAGAAGTTTCCATTTACATCTGGAAGTTTCAGATCCAAACACCATTAAGCACAGAGAAGAACCGAGCAATTGAAGCTTCAGTTCCCAGACTCTCACTACTTTTTTGCTTTGGGTCTTTAGAAATGCATGTGGGTAAGACAAAGACTAATGGCTTCAGCTATCCATCCATGTCATTCTTCTGCTCTTCATAAAAAACCTCTTGTATTCCAGGTGCTCAATGGTAAGGTGGCCATTGACTCACTGGGCCCAGCTGCACTCTAAATTTGGGCAGATGAGTCACTAAACTCCAGAGAAGAATTAATAAAGCAGCAAAAGCATCATCTCCCTCATCCAGATTTTTCTTTTTTGCTCATTTGCTCAAGAAAAAGAATCACAAGTACATAGAGCTGTGAGCACTCTTCTTGGCCCAATTTCCTTCATAAGTACACATTGGAACAACATTGGCATGGGACAAAGCACCTTTCTAGTTTGTTCGTTCCTTCCTGCAGAGGTCTATTGTTCCACGTATAGAAGAAAGTTGGCATAAAGGGAGGGAAAAGGCTGGTAAAAGCCGCAGCATTCACAAACCACTCCATTCAAATTAAACCAGATTAGTATTTATGCTAGCTGGAGAGACCAGGAAGACAAGTAACAGATTCTACTGACAGAACAACGCATGGATACCCTTCTCTCCAATGGAGAGTGCAACACAGCTCTACGTCAATTTTACAACTTCACTAAAGCCACATGAATTTTGGGGAATGGCAGCCTTTTGAAACTGTTGAATACTTAGTAAAACTCAGTGGTGTGAAGAAGTTTTTGCAGGGTTTTGCATTTTGCAAAATTGTATGTCAGCTAATTCAAACACTCCCCTTGCCTGCTCCCATTTCAACTCCTGAAATCTAACTCTATGCAGCAATCTGAAACCAGAAGCAGGGTCTGCAGTTGCTCCCTACCCAGAACTGCCAATTTTAACACACCAAGAGAATTTGCAGGCTGTACCTGGAAATAAAAACACAACACCTGGCTAAACTTTCCTTTTATCTTGATATTGGAAATAGTGAATTAAGTGAATCAGAACTTCTAAGGTAACTTAACTGAAGAACTTATGAATCAAACATTCGTTACAAAGTCAAGATTCTTACAGCCTTCTACCATCGGCTTCAATGTTTGTATCTGACTAAAATCATCCAAGATAAAACTTTGACTGGAAATTAGCAGTATGATCGGAGGCAGCTCCACATTGCAGAAGGATTCAGCAGAGTTATATCTCATCAAACAAGACAACTGTCCAATAAAGTTTATGTAATTGATTAAAATATAGACTATGACCTACACAATAGTTGCAGAGTTCCTCAGTACACCCTCCCACAACACTGGTTTGTAAAAAGTTGGACAGTTTCTTCAGAATGCTAATTGAAATATCTAACTGTAAAACCTAGTGTAGATGAGGAAGACTCTTACTCTGACCTTCTTCATCAAGATGTATACAGGCATTACAGGAAAAATAAGAAAGAAGGTGTGTTTATCACAGTCCAGAAGTTACGCAGGTCTTACTCAATGCATCCAAAACAATAGGTTGCCCTGTAATAACCTACACCTGCTACACCTGCCAGATAATACATATTTACACATTAACTTATGCCATTGTCTATTCTAGGAAGGGAAATGTATTCAAGATTCCCTTCCTCCCAAGGGGCAGATTTACCATAAGGATGTTAAAGCGCCATTATCTGTGTCATGGTTGGACAAAGCTACAGGGCTGCAGTCATTTTCCTCTTTCCCTCCTCACACCCCATTCATGACGCAGACCGGTCAGGGTCAAAGCCTGGATGACACGTCTTTCATGCATCTTTACCAACTGACAATCACTGTAACTACAAATTGTCTTCCCCACACCCAAAACTGACCATGTATTTATTACCATTTTCTCACCACAGGATGCATTCCCCTTCTTGTGAAATTTTTTTATATTGTCCAGATTGGTATGTTAACATTATGTAGTTTAAAACCACAGCCTTTTTCTGAAGACGGGATGCAAATGTATATTCTAAGAATGCAGAAAAATACCTTTTGCCCAAGGATAAACAGGAAAAAAAAAATGGGAGGGGAACAAATCAAAAGCAGAAAGGTAAGTCATTCAAGCCTTACCCAACAATTACAGATGAATCATTAGGTAACAATTTTTTTTTAATCCTAGCTGTTTTCCTGACCCACACAAGAGTCTAGTAGAAACAGATTCCACAGCAGCACACAGGTAACGTCAAACAGCATCTCAAGGATAACTGTGGGTAGATAATCTCTCTGCACCTTTCCAGGAGCAGAGAAGAGTCCTGAGCAGTCCCCACACTAACATGCCATGTGAGGAGAAACTTATTCACAGAAGTGTTGCTTCTGGGAGGCTGGAGAAGATGAAGGAAGCTGTAGAATCATCCCTCTCCCCCTGTCCAGCCAAATCTGAGCCTAGCACCTGCTTCTAATGCAATAGCAAGTACCACTCTTCTAAGAATGGAAGAGCAAATACACTTACTACTTTACAGAACAATCTTCCTTACCTGAAATCTTCCTTAGCCACTCAAGTACAGACCAAAAATGCTCTGCTTGCTTTTAAATAGGCTCCCCTGAAACTAAATAATTATGTAATTATGTCTGTATTTGCTTGAAGTCCTTCTGAAACAAAGCTTAGTATAAAGAAAATACAGTATCTTTAGTTTAAATCGGTGTATGTCTGTCATAAAAATTTTTTATAACAGATAGGCATAGTTAGATACATGAAAGTTTCAACTAACATTATTTTTATTGCTTGGTATGGATTTACAACTTTCCTGGTTTTATCAAATTAAATTTATATCCTTAAAACAATGCAATAGCAAATGTCCTAAATCAGTCTAAGTCTATTCCTATGAAAAGAAAGATCCAACTTGCCACTTCGGCCACCCACCTCTATGGAGTGAGTTTTCAGCCGGATCAGTTCCTCGCTCTCACTGGCCACACAATAGCATAAATGGTAGTGTTACAAGGGGAGATTGCAACAACATTCATGCAAGGGAATGTATGCAGATCATGAAACCAGACTGAAGATCTCAGACCATCTGTTTTTACTTTCATAGATCATCATTCCAAAACTCAGAATCAATACATATGTCCCCTCAGCAAGAAGAGAGACATTTCCGTTATACACATTTTTTAGGATGACTTAGAAAAGTACATAGTTTGTTTTTATCTTCCACTGTAAGGAATATTGCTGAATGTGAATTTATCTGAATTCATTACATCAAATTGCTTTCTAGAGAATTTTTACTGAGAGGTATAATACACTAGCAAAGATATCATGAAAGACAAGGCAAAGACAATAAAATAAAATAAGTCTGTATCTGGCTATGCAAGTGATGAACAAAGTGGCAATACCATCAAGAATGCATACTTTTTATAAGAATGTAAGAAGTGATTCTTTTCTTAGATTTCTTAGTTTTCATTTTTTCAGGGACTTTTATGGAATGGTATATATGTTGGATGAAAAGAAACCAGACATGTTTATGTACGTATATTGTAAATTGTTTATGTATGTAAATGCAAATTCAGTCATTCACACTTGGGTGCAAGACAATAGATCTCAGGCAGGGACATACTAGCTTTTACCCAGGATGAAGACACAGTGCTGGGCACCAACTGTTGGGAGCACAGCAGATGAGGTGGCAGGAGAGATGGGGCCAGAGGAAGGCTGCAAAATAGCATGGTGTGTAAGGGGCTTCATCTAGGCAAGGGAACAGACACCACTGAGAACCAAACCGGAAGATGCATATGGCTGCCAGGAGTGCAAGAGCCAACCCACTGTCTCCCTGCCATTGCCATCCAATCCTGAGAGTGTGCAGCTTCTCTCAGAAACTCCTGCTGCTCTATTCTCAGCCCAACTACCTTCTCCTGGATGTCCTTCACATAGCCCCATTGTCCCATCTTATCCCAAGAAGCTATGCACCTCAATCTGAAACATTACCTAAGCAAGCCTCAAAGCACATCGTACAGCACAGCCTACATCGGGCAGGGAGAGAAACATGAGGAAAAATAGTCTAAGGCACTAAGAAAATTTTTAAAAACCCATGTTTGACTTTCTTAGATTGTTGCACGTTTGTTACACACAGCAGAATGTTGCTGGCTATACAAAACTGTGGTATCTAATCTTTTAAGTCCAGGAAAACACTCACTGGGGATACCAACAGACTCTGCAGGCAACATACACAAGGACAAAGACCAGATTAATTGGAAGGAAACAGAAGCTACAACTGGACAGTTTTTACTAGAAGAAAACAAAAGCTACAGTAAATGAGCCAGATAATGCAGAATTTCCCCATTGGGACCATAGGTGGCTGTAAATAATTCCATAACAAGAACATAAGTAGGAAACACACTTTGGAATAGAAAGCTGTAACAGAGTACAAAGTCAAAGGGCCTTGAACAACTTCACCTTATTAGATCATAAGCAGGTGGCTGATCCAAATGACCTCCGGTGATCCGTTGTCCAACCTAAATTACTTTCTAATAACCCAGAAAACAGTAGTTAGGTTACTATACTAGAGATTACAAAAGTCCAGTTCTGTTTTTATCTATACACTAAAGACTAAATACTAAGTTATGAAAAAACTCATGCAATAAATACCAGTCATGATGTAAACAACATAAATTGCTTAAATCACTTCTTCACTGAGGGCAATTCTCCAAAAAACTGCCTTAATTGCTGGACTGTCTCCCTTGCTGCCAACTTGTTCAGGTCAGAGAAGCACTAATTCATCCCACGTACAGAAACTAGCAGCAACAATAGGAACTGTATGGCTATTAAACACTTCTTCTGCCCCAAGTGCTGTTGTACATCTAGTGTAGTTATCAGTGGACCTGACTAGGTTTTTGCCCCTTACTTCACAAGACATAATGTAAATATACCTATTTGAGAACACAGGAATTTCAGACCATTTTAAGACAAATTTTATTTTCTTGCTTTTTTGTGAGAAGCTCTAGAAACTCCAATCTATCATGGTTCCAAACTTTGTAATAAGTTTTAGCCTTAACTCATAACCATCTTCTCTCGTGTCTACATCATTTAAGCAGTTATATATCGTAAAGTTTATTTCATATATTTCTACTACTGTAACTTCTCAACTACAGTTCTCAACCACTGCCTCTTGCCTGGTAAACCTCCGCTGCTCTTGCACTGTCCATGTTGCTTCCTCACCACTCATGTCTGTATCTGTCCCTGTCAACACTGCTGCCCTCCAGGATCAGCTGTCTTTTCCTTTCCACACCATCCCCAGGAATAACCAACTACCGCCACGCACCAGCTCAGCCAGTGCAGAGCTCAGTTATGCAGCCAGTCATCCTCAGTGCCTCCGGAGCCATGCTGGCCAATTCCTCTAATCAGTCAGTAGCCAGTACTTAGTTTCCTTATCACATATACCACCCACACACCTGTCTGCATACCAGAAAGAATATAAGTAATTAAAACTGCTGTTGGTTTCCTGCTCTGGTATGCTATTTATTCAGCCTTTCCCTGACCATCCAAAAATCTCTCCCTTAAACCTTCAACTACAAGGATAAGGCTCTGTGGACACATATCTCCAGACTACAAACCTCAAAGAAAGTAGATGTTATTTGCAAGCAATGTAAAGAAGTTCATTTGTAATCCATGACTGCTCTTCTCCAACCAGCTCAATTCCTGTACATGTTTCCATGGTTGCTCTTCAAAGTTTTAAAACAGGCCCCAGGTAGCATCTCTAGATTTTACACTTTTTCTGACCATGTCTCAAGTCATAAAGCCCTTTCAACACCTGAAAGATGCCTATAGAGACCTTCACAGGTAGAAAAGACAACATGCAAAGAAAAAGATTTTCAGGTTTAAATATCCGATTAGGGCTGGAGTCACTCCATCCACACAAAGTACAGATAAGACCCAGCGCATAAGCTTCCCAACAATGACACAAGCCTCTTTGCTTCCCTGGAGTGCAGAAAAGTCTCAGGAATACTGCTGATTGCTTTCTTTAAATGACACAGCTTTTGTCAGGATTTCAGTGAAGCCTATAAACATTTGTATAAAGAACTTGTCACAAGTTTGCTCATTCTTTCAGGTCACACAGGACTGATCTGCTGCACCAGAGGCATGGTAATACATCAGTAAACACTACTAATGTTTATACATTTCAGCAGTCCCATGGTCTTCCCAGTAGACTATTCTAATGAACCTTTCTGCATTTCTGCAAAGGCAACTGTGTACTTAGTCCAGTGTGGGTTTTACAGTAGCCACGTAGCTAGGACAAACACAAGAGCTGGTACAGAAGGACAGACGTGGCTACAGGTGCAGTGTGTACACAGGAGCAGTAATGGTGGTAACCCATCACTTCCTTGAGGACAGGCATCAATCGCTCCTTCACACCATTCTCGTACTCACACTGCAGCTTTGGCAGACTGAAGAGGGAACAAAACAGCAAAGATGACTAAACTCAGTAAGTTTTTGTGACAATATTTGTAGTATCAAATATTCCACAGCTATATATTTAAAAACCACTGGCCTCCTCTTTTCTTTAGAAAAATAGAAGTTTTCCCTTGTGACTAAACTAAAGAAATGAATACTGATCAACTGCCCCCAGTCACAGTGTGCTGGTTTTGGCTGGGGATGCACAAGGAACTGGGAGGGGCCACAGCTGGGACAGCTGACCCCAACTGACAAAAGGGATATTCCAGACCATATAGCGTCATGCTCAGCAATAAAAATAAGGTTGCCAGCAGGGACCACTGCTCAGGGACTGGCTGGGGGGCATCGGTTGGTTGGTGGTGAGCAACTGTTTTCACGTGCATCACTTGTCTGTCTTGGGTTTTGTTTCTCTCTGTTACTCTCCTTTCCATTACAACTTTAATTATTATTATTATTTCAATTATTAAACTGTTCTTAACCCACGAGTTTTCTCATTTTTACCATTCCAATTCTCTTCTCCCCACCCCACTGTGGGGGGAGTGAGCAAGCAGCTGTTTGGGGCTTAGTTACTGTCTGGGGTTAAACCACAACACAGTTACTTCTGCTGCGCAGACACTGGGTGACCAAAGACCATCCTCACCTCTGCTTTACTGAAGAGTCAGTTCTAAGAAATCAACACGCTTTCATAGATTTCAAAATGGTCATGACCGTAACTTCCAGTATGAACACTTCTAGACTTGATATTTAACATTCAATACTTATTTTTATTGTTGCATTTTTCATTTCTTACCACCAACTAGTTTTGGACAGCTGGTTCAATTTAAAAATGACTGCTATGCTTTTTCTGCTTTTTCGCTTTCCCTTCCTGACAACAGATGCAAACAAGCCTCAGGTCTCTGCAACACTTGGCAGCATCCCTGGCATGGCAGCCACCTCTCATGCGCCTTCCTCTTCTTTTTTTTTTAAATTAAAGTTTAAAATCTGAAGCATAAATACCATTTACCAAGTACTACAGTGGATGGTATAAAACTAAAACCAAGTATCAGCGCCTCTAAGTTATCTATGAAAACAGAATTCCTAGTAACATGATGACATCAAGTCTACAAAACAATCTCTTCAAAATGCTGAGTATTGTGGATGTAACTACAACTTCAGCTTTTCAACTTAATTTTGCTGATGTCCCTTCTGCTTTAAATGTCAGCTTTAAAGAGATATTTGAACCATTAGTTCATACAGCCAGTGCAAACATGTGCCTCACAATCCTGAGCACTACTTGAAGATTAGCCTGGGGACAAAAGGAAGAGAAAGTAATAACTTACCTCTCTGCACGGTATTAAAAAAACACACACACACAAAAAAAAAAAAAAAACAAAAACAACACAAAACAAAAAACCCCAAAACCACAGAAGATAATTGCTTACAAATACAGCTTTCCTAACACAGCTTGGCCAAGCTAGTATGTTGTTGCCTCTCTCTTATTCTTTATCTCTTGCTAAAACTTGACAAAACTTCATACCTTAAATTAATCAATTCCTACTCAGTTCTCTTCACTAGAAATCCCAAATTGCTCTACAACGCCACAGGTAATTATAGGGGCTCCCTACACAGCAGAGTTTCAGACAGCTGCTGATCAGCAGCACCTGGAATTAAACACCAGTTTAAGGCTAATCTTTTTTTAAAACAATCAGGCAGGATATACAGGTTCATCAGAGCACTCAGGATTTTTTCAGTGCACAGCAGTAACCTAGAACATAGCACTTGCTTGGGCCACCACCTTGGTTATCTGAACTCCGGACAATAACATTCTAGTTTCCCAACCTGCTGAGAAATATTAAAGTTGTGTAAATTTCTCAGTCATCACAAAAAAGATGTTGATATATTATTATTTTAGTAATAGAACCAATGTAATTCAAGTCATGCTGAATTTTATACTAGCAAAACAGAAATGGGACTAACACAGTGTGTTCTGCCCAGCAGGAGGGGTTACAGACGTTTAGTAGGTTACTTTTAACAAACAATCAACAATCTCGGAATAAGCCTGCGAGTGGCTTCAACTCGGGTCCTGGTGAGGCCTCTAAACCCCCTCCCCGGGGTAAGGCAGGGCTGTTTGGAAATAAACCGTTGCTGCGCCGCTCTCCAGCCCATTCCCCGGGGAAAGGGGCACCCTCCGCCCGAGCCCAGCGCCGCCCGCAACAGTTGGGTTTCGCTTCTCTCGGCTCCAGCGGCGGCTCCGGCCCCGCGCCCGCAGCCACACGCCGCCGCCCACGGCCTCTCCCGGGCCGTCCCCTGACCGGCCCACCGGGCCCGGGGCCGGCGCCCGCGAAGCCCCAGCTTCCCCCAGCGCCCCGGGACCGGCCCGCCGAGCCGAGGCGGCTCCCCGGCTCCGCAGCCGGGCCGGGGACGAAGTCTGTTGGGGGGTGGTGGCATCCGGTCCTGCCTGGGCGCCGCGGAAGGGCTGGGAGCGACCCCGGGAGCGGCGGCTACCGCTGCGCCCCCCAAGAGCGGCCCCGGCAGCGGAGCCCTGCGCACCGCGGGAGCGGGGCCCGTCCGGCAGCAGCCGAGCTCAGGGCGGCGCGACACAGCTCGGCGCGCCCAGCGGCCCTTACCGCTCCGCAGCGGGTGCCCGCCCTCCGCTCCGCTGAGGCGAAGCCACCGTCCCGCAGGGCTCGTCCCGTCCCCACCCGCGCCTTCGCCCCGAGGACCTCGAGCGGGCGCTGGCTCGAGGAGCCACCCGGCCGCCCCCGGCCCTGGGCCCGCGACAGCAACCGCCGGCCCCGGGACGGGCCCTGCCCCGAGCCCCCGCGGCCGGGAGGGAGCCGCCTCCCCTCGCCCCCCCCCCCCCGCACCGGACCTACCGGCAGCGCCTGGGCCGCGCCGTGCCGGGGCTGCGAGCGGTGCCAGCGAGTCCCCACACCTGGGAGCGGCGCGTCTGAGCACGGGCGGGAGGGAAAAGAAAGGGGGGAGGCGGGGGGAAAAGTCTGTGGAAGTATGAAGATAAGTGACGCAAAGCGCTGTGACTGCCCCCCTTCGCCAGACAGCCAGGCCCGAGTACCGGGAACTCCGCGGCTCTCGCCAAAAGGCTTACTCAGAGATTGTCAAATTCAAACAAGTTGTCTTCAACTTTCCCGTAATGAGCGTACCCAGACTCCACGTTTTGCAGCACAGGAAAAAAACCCTTCTCTAACTCTACCATACCCCCTATGTTACAAGATCAGTTATTTCTGACAACACCGCATGCAAGAAAACATAAAAAGATCAAAGAAACCTTCACCACACATAGTGATTTTAACTAACGCCTTCACAGGCAATTAAATCAGATTCAGGCTTTGGGTAATACAGAGTATGTCACTTCTTCCTCTATCCAACCTAACAGCTCAAAGGTAAGACAAATTAATTACTGTCCAGGTCCCTGGGAGGGATTCAACAAGGACTGCTTCACCCACTGTAGTTAAGGTGAGCCAGCTGGCTGGAGTTAGTAGTTAAGTGCTTTAATCTACTTTAGACTGGAGGGAGTCAGTAACCCCTGAGAGCTCAGCAGGGATTTTGGCTGAAAACATCTAAAATCCATTAAAGTCCTATTTTTGTGTTAAAATCCTTTCTTGGACCTTATCCTAAGTAATATGTATAAAGCTCCAACTCAGACCCATCCCAGAGCCAGGATTCAGGTTTCATAGGACAAAAGGGGCTCTTACTCCAAGTGACAATGAGCCCGACAGTGAGCCTGGCAGTCCCAGTGACCTACTGAGGCACCTGCAGGTACGGGCACGAGGAGCCTTCAGCAGGTGTTGGAGTACAAGGGCTCTGGCAGCTTGAATACTCCTAGTCCCCTGATTTGGGGTGAAGGGGGTGGGGGGTGATTCCTCAGCATTCAGCCTTTCCTACATATTAGCGTTTGAACCCGAGAGTAGAGCTAGACTTAGAGCTGAATACATTTTCATCATTATCAAGAAAACACATTATATATTATGATATTTTCCTCATGAGGAGAATACAAGTAATTTTGGCTTTGGTGTCCTGTGTTAACTAAAACTGGAATAATTGTCTTTGTAACTAAATCCCCTTCCCCAGGTGGCTATGAGCATTTTATAAGCCACACAAGAGAGAAGCCATGACTGAACACATCTCCCAGGGTGAAATAAGGCATAACCTTCATCTGAAAGCCTTCTTTCTTGGACTGCTCTATCGCGCAGGGTGCACCCAGCACAGCTTCCCCAGCATGGCCCCTCTGCCGTGGCACCCGCCAAAGTTGTCTTCCTGCAAGAGCCTGGGTGACTGGGTGGGGGACACGGGCAGTGCCAGCTCAAGGCATGCTTGAGGGAACATGGCTAGAAATTAGGATAAGTCTTTATTATCTTTCCCCCCCTCCCAATGAGCCGTGTACCTATCTGAATATTTATTATATATCTATATTATAATATAGATTATAAACAAATTTTATTTTAAAAAATTCATAAGAAAAAAGGCCACATGGCAGTTTCAGAAGCTTGAAATCTGAATGCAGCATGCTGTAACTATGAGAGCTTCACTTCATCACCTTTCCAGGGGCAGCCCCACCTGCTATACTTGGCTGTTACTGTTTTCTCCACCCTACTGTCATCAACAGGGCTGCTGACAGCGTCACGGAAATGGAAACGTACACAGAATATTGCGTACTTTTTGTCATCACATTAATTGCCTGTATTGTATTACAGAACACCAGTAGATGTCAGTTTAGCCCGAAAAATTAATGCATGCTAGGTTTATTAGCTTTTGCTTTTACAACAGTAAGTTTACACCAAAGAAACTAAACAAAGTTTATAAGTTGATGTATATTCAAAAGCCTGTTAGCCATATTTTATATACCGTAATATGCTCTCACTATGTAAAATAAGAAAAGCTCAATGTCACCTTATTTTTCTCCTGCCTGGAAATCATACGACTTGCATGCATACAATTTTTTTTTTTTCATAATTTTGCATATACTGATTTGTTTAATTTCTATGAGTATTGATCATTTCAATAATACTAGATTCTTCAGGAGAGTTGTGCCATAATGCAGTTTCCGACCAGTAATCAGCTTGCACACATAGGTTTATAGAAAATGCAAGGTAGATATGTTAAATCAAATAATCTGAAAGAACGTTGTTTTTTTTCCCCAGTGTTGCAATGGCTGATTCAAGTTGCAAAACAAACAGAACAGAACTGCAACGCAATTTGCAGTTAGTACAAGCAAAATATAGCCAGTCATTTTGGTTTTGCAGTTGCCAGTCAATGTTCTGACCTACTATAACAGCTAAAATTTAAGCCACTCATACACTTGCTTTTCACAATATAAATATTTTTTTAAAGAGAAAAATATAAACTTGATGGGGTTAAAAAAAAAAAGACACAAGTAGCAGTGCCATCTAGAAAATTAACACTTTCAAATATTTTGGAAGATTTATATTTAAAGTCATGAACAAAACCAAACCAGACCAAAACCACAGAATTATCATTTCTACATAATTCACTGCTGCAAGCATCAGTTGGTTGAACAAAACCTACTTCAAAGTCTCAAGGGCATGAACTTCCAGACAGGATCAATACTGATGAACAAATTAGTTACACTTACAATGTCAAGTGGTACTCAATCAAAATTCAGCTTCTGACCACGGGAATGTTGACTGCCTGAGAAAGCAGAGCTTGAATTTTGGTTAAACTGGTATAACTTAACACTGATTTTGCTAATTCTAAATCTTTTCTCTGAGCGAGCCTCACAGACAATTTAGCTCACCTATGAGCTAAATTTTTTCTCATTAATTTTGTGTATAACACTGACAAAAAGCAAAACTGGAGAGGAATTATATGTTATTATTTAAATGAGTCAAAATAATCTTTCCCCTCTTGTCCTTTTACCCTCCATTATCAGATCCTGTTCTGCAAGGTTGTTACTGATAAAGAATTTAGATTAAAATTTTTCTAGGAAGTAAAATACATTAAATAAATTTAATTGTACATATTTGTCAAAACAATCAGCATATAGAATCCACAGGTTTTTCTTAGGCTTCTCCTTAATTAAATAATACTGATATGAAAATCAGTATTTAGTCTGAGTAGTGAATCTCCTCAATTATGAAATGTTACAATTTCTTTAAATTTAGAAAATTATTGTCCCAAATCACTCACTGGATTATAGGGGGAAAGCATCAGATGGTAAAGAGCTTTTTAATCAAAGAGAGGAATGTATAGTAAAAATCTGTGTTCACAGGAGAAAGCTGGGAAAATGAAGATTAATGTCTTATTTTTCCATTTCAATAGTTAAGTGATAAGCAAGTGGAACAAAGTGAGTAAGGAAGAAAGAGACTACATCTTCTGATTACTTCCAGACAAACTTGGCTGACTTTCTGGAAAACACATTTAAGACAAGCCTAGATCATTACAAATCACATGTGTGATTACACCCACATTGTATAACATGTCCCACTGGCGAGCTAATAATCCCATCTGGTTTAAGAAATAAAGCATCAGTTAAAAATAAAATAAAATAAAACAACACCACCACAAAACAGTAGTACAACTTGGTATTGTGTCATTTGATTTCTAGTGACTTTGGTCAAACTTTGCCTCTTTAAAATTGATCTGCATTTTAACCAATAATAAACTACACATACCGTCAGTGCCACGAGTGTAAATCAACATTCTGTTCTACAGGTCCAAGGTACAAATGAAGATGTGCTGCCTCTTCAGCTAACAGCAGCTAATCTTCAAGGGAGATTTTCTAACTCTGACTAGCCAAGCAACCTGTGACGTGAGCTTTGAGGTTCACACTTCAAGCCTCAAAGCTGAAAACAAGGTACACATCCCACATTGCAGTGTAAAGTGCACTGGTAATACTTAGCTGTCATGAGCTGGGCACACAGTTTGCCCAGATGAGATTCAGTTACCTAAGCAGCTTCTTCATGGTAGATGGGAGCATGAAAACTGGAATTTTGGCTGTCTGAGAAAAGCCTCCCTATTGCTTTAGCTTCACTTGGACACTGGAGTGCTGAGAGGAAGGAAGGTCTGAGCCTCTCTGAGACTGCCTGCTGACAAACAGGAAAAGCACCTATTAGCCACAGTAGCCAACTCAAACTTCGTGAGGCACTATGGCTTTATAAAGGTGGTATTTGCATAAATACATGTATTTGTTAGCCACAAAATGTGATTTGCATATCCCTACTAAAGTACCAACAGCACCCTTATTAGCACCCAGTAGAGTAATTCTAGCTATCCTGGCTGAGGTTCTGAATGTAAAACACTCATGGGAGAAGAGAGTCCCCTTAACTAGTTCTATGGAGTTTTATACAATGCTTTTAATGGCTGGCACTCTGGATGTTTTTTGATCGGGAAGGAAACAGTGTTGTTGACTTTTGTTTTTAAATATGTTCTCATTTAGGTTGGATTTAGGTCTTAGAGCTTTGATAAAACAGAGACTGGGACAGCATATTAGTTGATTTGGTAAATATTAAAAAATTTTAAGAATCTGCCAAATGCTTCATGAGTCAAGGTAATGAATGGTGGGCAAGAGCTACATTTTGAAAGAATGTTACCATGTAATAATTCTGTCTACTCTAAGTTTACTCAATTAACTTTAGTGCAGGAGAAATTAATTTCGACTTCTACATGGTCCTCTCCAGGCTTATTGCGCAGAGGAGAAATAAAACAACCACGGGCTCAAGCTTTTGTTGAGCTCAGGGTTTAGGGTTTCATCAGCTTCCAGACCCACGCTGTAGTAACTTCAGCACTTCCTGATTGTACTGTGCAGACAGCTTCAGTTTTATTCTCTAAGCCACTTTTAACAGTGAGTGCACATAAAAACGTCTGCAATAATTAAAACTAAGTACTGCCATAATATACTTCTTTTCATGTACTACTACAGAAATACTAATCACAAAATACTTCAGAGCTAACAATGTAATAATTAACAGCTTGCAGAGACAGGCCTAGATAACACTGCTGTATTGTTTCTGTGCTAGCCCTGTTCAATAGACAACTACACCAACATCTGCAGTTATCAGAG